TAACGCCTATTCCCGCCTCGGACTTTCCAGTGCTAGCCTGGAGGACCTTCTGCATCCGCGGGCAACGCGAGCTGTGATAGACATGGCACTAAAAAAACTAATAACTTACATGAAGGACACGGAACTCCTAGAAATTCTTTAGGAGACCACCTACAGTTCAACACACCAGAACAAGGCACTACCCAATCTACCGTTCCAGCTCATGATTACGACATCTGCATTTCAGACACAGCTTGTTCTGCCAAGACAAGAAACGTCATTCCTTCAACCGAACGTTCGTGCCGACATTACCTTGAGGCACAGTTACCAGCCAACGCAGCTTTAAGATATTTAGCTATTCGCCCTAAGACGGCTCCACATCAAACTTCGACAGGCTTTGCGTGCTGAGGCTTGGGTCGTCCTATGACTCGACATGCCGGCGACGGCCAGGACATCCCCCTGCACCTCGCCCCCCCCCCCCCCCCCAAACCTAATCCTCTCTCTTTCTATCCTTTCTTTTTCACCCAATCCCCTTCCCTATCGACAGTGACATGTGCACACTAAGTGCACAAGCAACAGTCGATTTTTCAACAAAAAAAAAGATATAATAAACATCGCTTTCACTCACTCACGCAAGCAAATGTGAAAGCCATGCGCCCGCGCCGTGCCTTGGCCTTTGCTGCACACAATTCCTGAGACAAAGTATACGTGATGCACGTTAGACCCCCGGCTAGCAGTCGTCCTGCACTGGCTAAATTTCTCATCTACAGCTACATTGTTCTCAAAGAATGTAGCTGTACGAAACTTTTGGTGTCTAAAATATAACGATTAATTTTGAATGCGCCATGGCATTGCATTTTAATGTGCGCGCGTGTTCGCGTTTTGGTTTTTGTTTACACCTTCGATTAGGCGGCTCTTACATATGACGAAAGAGTGTATAGCTGTCGGAGTTCAGGGAAAATATTGTATAACCGAAAAATAAACACGCCAACGCAAAACAAACAAATATGGCGCTTTTAATTTAAAAAAATAACACAAAATAAGAGCGGTTATGACAATTGTCTTTTAAATTCAATAGAAGTTTGCGCCTAAATTACTTTAGGTATGAGCGTATCGAAGGCTATAAAAGCGATCTCCATGATACGGCTCTACCAACCCCGTGCGCTTTCCCACTGGTAGATTAGTTCAGGGCAGCATGGTCGTACTTGTTTACAAGCACGAACATGCTGCGAGCGAACCGGAATCTATGGGTTCAGCTTCGCTCGCACGTCTGCTGAAACCAAATACTTCAGCGTATTTGGTGAAACAAAGCTTACCTTCTTCATGTGTGCAAAGCCCTCAGTTTTCTCGAGACAGCACGCATTTCTATTTTTACTGGTTTCGTTTGTAGTCCTACTACGATTCATCTCGTGCTCTTTTGTGTGCGGCGTGCATTAGACACCAAGGTAACCCAGGAGCAAACTACTTCGCTTATTGCAGAAAAACTAATGCTAGTGGCCACGCGTGTCACAATCGGCGCACTTCACATATGGTCGGTAGTCTGGGTAACAGTGTTGTTCTTCGAGAAGAACTGCGACGGTATGAAATCACGTGGCAGAAAACACTCTGTCATCACGCGCTCAGTTGCAAACACTTGGCAGCCAGTGAATACTCATCATCCGAGCCACCATTATAAGTAGCTGTCAGCAGGTGGAGTTTTTCAATCGACCCAGAATTAGAGTGTTTCCTATATTATATTGTAAGCAATTAGGAGACAGCTACACCAAGCCTCAAGGTACTAAGGTAGTAATATGAACATTCAAACGTTACGGCCTGAGCAGTATGTGAACTTTCGACGCACCATTAACTTTCGATGCGCGCAACGCTAGTAAAAAAACGTAGCTCTGTTTCAGCGTTCATCAACGTGCGATGTGCCTACTTACAGCATATTTATACGTCACACTCTACCCTTTGTATATTCTCCATTTTTCTTGCATACCACATGTTTGCATGCACATATCACCAAATTAAGACTTATATTGCTTAAACGTTTTGCAATAGCTCTCCACAGAAACAGAATCTTTGACTGGCCAATCGCTTCATTTATCACAGTACTCGGACTAAAATTATTTTTGATCAATATCTGCACCTTAGAGGCTTTTTTTTTTTTCCGTTTCCGAGTCTCATGGTTCTGGTCAAAATAAACACCTAAATGACCTAAATGAGACACCTGATCAAAAAAAAATTATTTTCAGAAAATTAATTTTTAAAGCTAGAATTTTGGAACACTACGCTTATCATGGCATTATGTTCCGGTGTGCTAGCGGCGCAAAGGCGATCTTATATTTTTCAACGCGTCAGTGCTTTGTTGTGCATCTGTCTCGCCATTTGGCTGAGAACGATTTTCGCGTTTTGTTCTCACCACATTTGCTGGAGGCGCGAGCTCGGAGCGTAGGCAACTGGTCCTTTCGCACGAGAACTGACGCAGCCGTGCGCGTTTCAAAGAAAGCTCGTGCAAAGAAAAACAAGCGAAGGACCAGGAATGTCAAATTCAGGACATGGAAAAATACCCCACTGTATCGAAGCGCCACCACACACGAGTTTTCGCCTTGATGTACAGGCCTGGAAGGCGATCCCAGCGCCATCAGTTGGTTCAGAATCACACTAACGAGGGGTGGGGTTGCACCTTAAGAGCAGCGCGAAATGTGCTCCCTGTCTCTCGCTGCAACACGCAGACCTTCGGCAAGGAAAAAGTTGGTCGAAATTTGAAGGTTCATCTTTTCAAAGCGCGAAAGGTTTGGAACAAATGTCTGTGCACGTAAGTGAACTTCATAAAGGTATCATGCATGATGACAAAAATATTTCTATGCCTGTCCCCCGGCCCAGACGGTATTCACAAAGGACAAACATAGATTCGTACTAAACGTTGCATTCTGAAGTATCATTTTGCGAAATAGCGCAAAGACCGGAGCAGCGAATAAAAATTACGAATCAACAGAGATCCACTTGCCTGTCCCCATTCTGATTGAGAACAATGAAAATGCAAGCTCCATGCCGCATGGGCTCACACTTGACAGCGTGCTTCGAGGCGATTTTCTACTCGTTTCTGGTTTTTTATAAGCGCCCCACGCGGAGACCTAGAGACCTGGCTCGGTTCGCTTTTTCTGCTGGGCAGCCGAATGTTTGGACAGGCCTGAAAGGAGCGCGCGAAATCCTCGGAGGCCATGAAGTATGCAACGTAGTTGCTCTCAGCCTGTATGGAAGCGCTGGTATCGTTTCGCGCATGCGCATTAGCTTTCTTTTTTTTTTGTTGAAAATATCAATTGCCTGACCACGGCACAACTTAGTTGTCCAGACGACGTTTATTTGGCCGTTAGGAATCGCACAAACATATTGTTTGTTGATTGCTCACGGCATATCCTTGTCGAATGGCGTGACATCACTACAGGAAACGGGCACTGTTAATCTGTCTACTCAGATCTCAGATGAAGTCGAGCGGAGGCAGGTTGGATTCATTGAACATGGGAGGCAAGCAGACTCCAAAATCACTCGCCTTGTACATCACACAGCGGCAGTGTGCTACGCATTGAACCTGAACGAAGCCTCCGCATATTTTCCCGCAATCTGCTCTCGTTCGTCCGAGGGCGTGAGGCACCAGGCAGAGCAAGAGTGTCGCCAAGACGACGAAGATGGTCCGCACTGTTGCCGTGGCCATGACTACTTCTTCGGGATTTCTTTTTCCAATGTCCTCTTCGCTCGAAACAAGATGTTATCTTCCCTGGAAGAAGCCGACCAGAGTTGATAGCGTCCTCGAAAACAGTATTCGGGAGGAAATGGGGACTGAATTTATCAACAGTGCTCTCAAGATGAACATCCGATGTGGTTTTTTTCTTCGTTCTCTTTTTCAAGCTTGGAGGCTTGTTTCTTGCATAAATTCCTACACAGTGAAAGTAAAGACGGCCCCAAACGCACCCTTTCAGCCGCTACAGTTTGACCACTGCAGTGCCGATGGTAACCTGAAAGTCTTTAATGTGCATTAGGTAACTGTTGCTGCGCAGACCTGCGAAGGCGTAAGGCCTTATTAAACTGCACCCTTCAAGAGAAAGGGTTTTTAGACCGCTATGGATCTTTTTCATTCAGTTATAGCATCAGAAATAGCTCTAAACACGTGACCACATAACATAATGTTTTAGGCAATGAAAACGACGTATTCTTTGGTTGTTCTAGGTACCCACATGCCGACCGCGCTCATAATTAGGCCACAATTGTCTAGATTTATTCGAAACTACTCCTAACTTAATAGATTATTAAGAACTATGCAATAGGTGGTTTTGAGCCTGCTGTCGCGGAGCGCGAGCTCACGATATGCTTCCACAAAGCTTCCGCAACGTGCAGGTTTACACCACCAAGATTGTAAGTCCCCTTGGAAGATAAGCGGCGTATCGTGTTGAGCATGCGCTGTGAACGCTGCGCTCGAGTACTGGGCCCAGTGAATACCACTTACGCTAACCAAAAAAAAGCATGAGTTCAAGTCAACTTTAATTAACATGAAAACCAGAAGTACCACTGATCGCAAAGTTAAATTGCAGTACAGAAGAATTAGAAGGCCGTGTGCTGCAGCACGATTTCTTTTTGTGCCTTGCGATCGTAATCTGGCGGCTCGCACCCGTGTTCCGGCCGGCAAATTCCGCCCGCTTGGTCACGTACGCGTGCCTCCCGCTGCTTCGGTAGATAAGGCGAAGCAGACCGATACTACCTACAAGACAATGCCACCGTATGACGTCATTAATAGTAGATTCCCCAACCGCTCCTAGGGACATATGCGACGCCCCCCCCCCGGTAGTCGCGAGGCCGTTCTTGACTCCCGCCCTATGTTAAAACAAAAACAAAAAGAACAAGCGCTCCAATCACCAACTCTGAAACAACAACTTCGAGATAAAGGGCGGATAAAAAAAGAGCCATGCTCCCGCTTCTCCAAATGTGCGATAAACAGCTGGAAAGTCAAAACAACGCTGCCTCTTGACCTGCTAGTGCTTCGCGCAATGTCCGTGGCAAAAGCCGTTTTAGTCTTGACCGTCCTCGTGAGCTCCTACTCCGCAAGCGATGACGTCGCACTGGCAAGAGCAACAAACGTGTTCGGTATAAATCTTCTCAGGGAACTCTCTTCGGTGAAGCCAAGACAAAATATCGTGTTCTCGCCCAGCAGCATCTCCGTGGAAGTCGCTATGGTCTACGCCGGAGCAGCAGGTCAGTGTGCCGAAGAGACATCCAGGGTGCTCGGCCACATTGGCGTAGGACTGCTGGATCGGGACACTGTTCTTGCTTCTTACAAGAAGCGCATCAATGACACCAGTGACATCCTCATGATGGCCAATGCAGTTCTTGTTCGCAACACTTCTAGCGTTTTGGACACATACAAGAGGACTCTTCAAGAAGTGTTTGCTGCACAGTTTAAGTCAGTCGACTTCTTGGCTTATGGTTATAGAATGGCAGCTGAAATAAACGAGTGGATGTGTGAGAAGACAGAAGGGCGTGTAACCAAAGGAATTCTGGATGGTATGCCCATGAACACGGTGGTCTATGTCGTCAGCGCGGCTTCTCTCGCGACCTTGCCTTGGATTTCCCAGTTTGAACCCAACAACACCAGGATCCTACCGTTTTTTAATCACGGAACTGAGCTCGCGCGGCGGGAGGTCATGACCGCCACAGCTAACATAAGACACGCCAAGCTTCCTGATCTGGAGTCAGAGGCCATTGAGTTGTTGGGCACAGACCTCCGACGTAGCATGGTCATCGTGCTGCCTGACAGCATAACAGGATTGTCCAAGCTCAGAGCCACCTTCAATGCACAGAATATAGACGACATTGACACAGAGTTGCGATCGCAGCGGGTTAATCTGAGGCTGCCTAAATTCAAGATCAACAACCGGCATAACCTGGTGCCAACATTGAGGGAATTAGGAATTAATTGTGTCTTCGGTACAGAGCCCGATTTGTCAAAAATGTCTTGTGACAAGAATTTGTACGTGTCAGAAATCGCCCACGTAGCGGTGATGACCGTCAACGAAGAGGGTGCCGGTTTCATTAATCCAACACCAGGCTGGACGCCTAACGCCGAAAGGGCCATGAGACTTCGACCGCTCGATTTTTACGTGGATCATCCTTTCCTCTTCTATATCAGGGACAGACTTGCCAACACCATTTTGCTGATGGGGGAAGTGCATGAATTGTGAGCACGAAACGGCTTGCTTTCAAGATATCGTCTTCAGGGTTTCCGTACGCTAGAACAAATATTCGGAAGGGTCTCGGCTGGATGGCTTCACTTCTTGAACGTTGATTGAATGTTTGATTTTTTTTTATATTGGAGTGAAATAAACCTGGCATTTAACCAACTTACTTAAAACACTGGTTTTGCATGACATTTCTCGTATGTCGCAGTATACCTGTTAAACCCACCCGAAAGGTTTGTAAAAATATGTCTCCCTGTCAAATATCTAAACCGACAGAACTTGTAACACAATGAAAAGAAAACAGCTGGCTATACTGCTATCTATATATCTGTCCCTCAAACTTTATATACCACACCAAATAAACACGTCCCACTGTCCTCAAACCAGATGCGCAAACTGGAATATTAGCCTCTTGTCCACTAGCCCTCTGAAGTACAAAATTGCCTTCGAAAATAAAGCTAGGCCGTATTTTTCCCTTATTCCAGTGCTTTTACTTTTTCGTTTCGCACCATGGCGAATTTGCCTAATTAAAATGCACGTATCCAGATGGAGAGCACTATAACAGGCGCACGTTGTTTTGTGAATTTGGCTGTATCACGGAGGCACAGTGGTGTCGTTGAATCTTCAACAGTGGTAGGTAGGTAGGAACGTTTATTTCACCCTTTTGCATTAAGAAATGCTGCGGTGAAAGGATTTAGGGTACAGGAGCGGGGGACAGGGGGCTTCCATTCTTCTCTGTTGGCCCGGTTGGTGCGACGGCGTCAGAGGATAGATGTACAGTGAGATCGATTATTTTCTTGGTTACAACGTCCTTCGAGTTCTTCCTACCAGCCTCGACCACCTTGGGGTCTTAACAGCACCAGGTGCTGACGACCGCTCCGGTAAGACCTTGAAGAAGCTAAGTATATATGCGAAAAATAAGGTGGCACTTTATAACACTGCTCAGTGCTCATAGATCGTACACAAGACACGGAGTTCGCTACGGACATGATGCCAGAACTATTTGGCGACACTCCTCAAGAGCATGTTTGCTTTATACACTTATACGCTTCGAAAATTTCTGCAGAGTTTCAGAGCGCAGCTCTTAGGCGCCTGTTTCCGGCTTGAGCGGCGACGCCGTCGCCGTCGGCGTAACCGCGCGTTGCATTATGGGATGTTTCCCATAATGACGTCACACGTGACGTCACGAGGGTAACCCTTGTGAAGCTTACGAGGGTTACCCTCACGAAGGTCAAGAGGGTTCCCTCAAAAAGGTCACGAGGGTTACCCTCAAGAGGGTTACCCTCGTAACGTCACACGTGACGTCAGGTGTGACGTAATAGCAAACACGTGACGTGTGATGTCACACGCATCTAATATTGCCAATATTCCCGCTAAATTTACCCTCGTGACGTCACGCGTGAGGTCACGAGGGTAAAATTTTCTCGCTAAATTTAACGGGGAAGGAAGAGGGGCATAGCCTCCCCTCCGTACCCTCCCCTCCTCCTTCCCCTCAAGAGCTGCGCTCTAATTCGGCGTTACAGTAAATTGTAAGTGTCTAATTTTAGAGCGCAGCTCTTAGGGGCCCGTTTCCAGCTTGAGCGGCGTCGGCGTAACCGGGGAGGGGGTCACGTGACTCCCCCCCCCCCCCCCGAGGTCACGTGACCCCCCTCCCACGAGATCACGTGACCCCAGGGGGTCACGTGACTACCCGCAGGTGACGTGCCCCCCTCAGTACCCTTCCCTACTCCTCCTCAAGAGCTGCGCTCCAATTCGGCGTTACAGGGATTTGTAAACGGCTTTCATTTGTTTTCTTACGACCAATGTAACATGACCGCCGTACACGGAAGAAACGGGACAGAGAGTGTTTGCTGACTGTTTTTGTACGATGTATGGCCAGTGTGACCGCGGCTGAATGTCTTGGTAGGACCTCCCTGCAAGGTTCTGACCGCTGCTGGTAAGACCCCGAAGAAGCTTCTTCTTCGGTCTTCGCGAAACGTCCGCTGACACTTTGAGGCTTCTAGGGCATTCCTCTAGGAAATCGAACCAATCCATGTGAGATCCCCATCGGAGCCGTTGACGCTGAGAGCGGGCGCGTCGACGCAGGACGGCAACATCCCGCTGTTCCTGGCCGTGGAAGTCGGCAACCACGGCGTGTGTCGAGACCTGTTGGGCGCCATGACGAGGGAGCAGGTGACCTACGTGCATCCGACCACGGGAAACACGGCGCTGCACCTGGCCACCAAGAGGAAAGACCTGGACATCATGCGCTTCCTGGTCGAGTGCAACAGCCCCATCAACCACCAGAACGTGAGTGGGACGATCAAACTTCGCCCGTTTCATCTCTTGAAACTGATACCAATTCAAACTCTAAAATATTGTTTTTTTATATCTCGTTTTCGTAGGGAACCAGGTCGCGTATGCGGATAATTTTACTTTTTGTTTTCTAATTATTACAGACTTCATAAGGTTCGTGCCCTAAGAGTACGAGGTCAAATACTTCTTTCTATCTGCTTTACTCCAGGATAAGAACGGCGGGCGGTTCTTTCAGCTTCCGATGCCAGCTTCCTACCATCGATAACACTCCGCTGTCTTGCGATCCTCGAGCGTGCGCGAGGAACCAAAGCACGACGGAAGGCAACGACTGGAGGCCGCGGGCATTTCAAAGAGGCGGCCCCGCCGTTCCCCTCCTATCAGTGGCTCGTGCGTGCTTTCGTAGAGGCGAATCCCGGTTCGCGTTCGGTTCGCAGAAAGAGGGCCAGAGTCCCCTCCACGTGGCGGCCCGGGAAGGGGACGAGCATGCCGTGAAGCTCTTCCACCACGCCAACGCCAACCCAAACCTCATCGACCTCGAGGACCGCACCCCGCTGCACATCGCCACGCAGCTAGGACACGTGGGCGTCGTGGAACTTCTCATCGACAAGTACAAGGCGTCCGTCCACCACAGGACAAAGGTCTGCCCTGCTGTGTTTCGCACGCGCTCTTGACCCGCGACGATCATCACCAGCTTGTAATATACAGGAACCGCTGTGGAGTATTTGGTGCCTCACTTCGGAAAAACACTGAAGGCCTTCCCAGCGTCGTTTTCTTTCTTACCAAAAAAAAAAAATTCTCCGGCAATAGACGCTACTGACTAGGTCTCGCATCGGATCCCGTGAGCATTTCCTGCGCGTAAATTGTGGTCCACTAAATTTAGCGGGAAAATGTGTCCTTTAAATGTAGAAGGTAGTAAACGTCACGCACGTCACAGTGTCACGTGATGTCCTGGCGTCACGCTATATCAGTAAAAATCAGAACTAGATACTTAGATCCGGTGAGCTTGCCAACAAATAACCGCTGCTTTTTTATCTTAAATAACCGCTGCTTTTTTGTCTTTTTTTTTTTTTTTTTTTTTTTGAACGCAGGACGGCAGCACACTGATGCACATCGCCGCCGAAGCCGGAAGACCCGAGACCGCCATGGTCTTCATGAAGAAGGGCGTCCCACTTCACATGTCCAACAAGGTAACGGGAACATCCTCCGCACTCGCAAACCACTCCTTTCTGCAAGAGTCATTTGGTCGTCGGTCTTTCATCTAACCACCAAAGACTGACGACGCTTGCAGTTCTTTGGACCAAAGAACTGCAAGAGTTATTTGGTCGCCAAGATTCCTTTGGTCGTCGACAAACGGGCCTTGACGGCGGTACTCAGAAGTAGAGTACATCAGGGAATCAGAGAGAATACGAGTTCTTTACGCATGAAAGCCTTCGGAAGAACAAAAAAACCTATTGGTCCGCGTGATTGTGAAGCATGAAGCAGAAGGGTTCTCTTTACTCCCTGATTGAATCGTACACCATCGGTGCACCCTGAAGAAAGTGCAAAACGCAGTGCAATCCCATCTGAGATTAAAAGAGTAATGCAGACATTTCTGGTATTTGTACTGCCGCGAACCCCTTCGCGGCATTGGACCACTATTCCCATATGTGAATCACCATCTTAAAATTCTTGAAATAGCGCACAGTAATCACGTATACTAGAACTAAACAAAATCAAGCAGAATATTTTGGAAAGTACCCGAGACTGACCCCAAAAAACGTTTCAAAAAGTTTTTTTTCTTTTTTTAACGTTGTTATTTTGGAAGTTTGTAAGGTGGAAAGAGCATCGATCATTTTTTTCCCCCGCAGGCCGGCGCCAAGTGCATCCACACGGCGGCACAGAAAGGATACGTCGAAATCGTGCGGACGTTGCTGCAGAAGGGCGAACACGTCGACGTCAAGACAAATGTGAGCCCTGTCCTTGTATTCCTCCCAGTCACTGAGGGGCTAGGAAGCCTCGATTGCATCCTTGCTGGTTGTATACGCCAAGGTAAACAAGACTTAAAAAAAAAAAAAGAATGCGGGAAGCACCGGACACTGCAAACGACTCGAGTTTGAGGGCAAACTTGTGATTCCACTTGACAGCATTTGAGCCGAGAAACAATAAAAAACCAGGTGCAACTCCTCGAAGTAGCACATCCGTCAGCACCAGAAAGTATTTGGTGTCTTGCAAGCTTCCTGACGAGGCGTCTTGCCGCAGTTCAGTTTCGGATCTACCAGATCCAAGAAGCCGTAATTTTGAGAGGGATCTACTGAATGCGGCCCAAGACACGGGGCAAGGATGTCGTCACCTCGAAATACGCCCGCTAGCACGTTATCGATATAAGTATCCGTTGACCGCATCGTCTGCAGTACGATGATGTGTACTCGGTGTTTCCACGTGAGATCGTAAAATGTCAGGTCATCTTTTATAGTTATGTAAAAAATATATACGTGAGAGCCATGGTCTTGGTAGGAGCATTCAGCTATATATAAACGCCATAGTTTTTTGTTTTTTGGAGACATAAACCATTTTGAATTTCAAGGTGTTGAGATTGCCAAGGCTTCACTGTGGTACTTTGTACAGCCGTCATTTTCACGCCAAAGCATACACGTAGTAATACTTTTTGGTTTGATTTTATTAAAGGTTTACAACATATACACAAAATATCAAGAATTAAAATTGAAGATCTCGATGCAAACACATTTACGAAACACGACGAGTAAAGGCATTTTAGAGATATTCACGAAATATTTACCAACAAACTACTTTATATAAAATGGTGCGCAGTGTATCGAAATCAGCCCCTTTAAATGTACTTCACTAATATATATTAATATATACGTCTATCCATTGTTGTAGCTGTGTTATTAACAGAGCTGGCCAAATTATTCATATTTTGTAATTAAATTACATTACTAATTACTTTGCTGAAAATTGCTGAAATGTAATTAAATTACATTACAAATTACCACAGCCAGAAAGTAATTAATTACCATTACAAATTACTTTTAAAAGTAATGACATTACTTTCGCATTACTTTTGTATAGTTTTAAATATAAAGGAGCTATTGATAACTTCCTTTTAAAGATAACTTTATTTACATTATTTACACAGTTCATGGCACACAGCTAGAACTCTGTTGCATGTTTACCGATGGACAGAGGAACGCACGCGACTGATCCGTTTCCCACCCCAACCCGGGCAACTCTTTTTGGAGATAACTGAGGACCCTATGCGGATTATCTCTGGGAGGGGGGAGAACAATTGTCATTGTTCGCAAAATCGCGTCGAGGGCCGTTCCACCAGGGGCCTTAGTTCGACCTACTTCCCCTCCTTCGTTTCCCGAGAATGTCGAGCAGAAAAGCTCGAATGAAAGGCACTTAACAGCCCTATTTCTCACAGTGGAAGATAACACAGAGAGGGTACGCAGTATGCATCAGAAAAAGTAAGCGGAAACTTTCAAGAGGGGCCAGAAAACGTCGAATGCAAAGCCGCAAAACATAGGTAGAGAATATTAAAAAAAAATTTTTGAACACCAACCAAGCCCTTCTGTGGGACCCAACGTTTCAAGGCCAATTCGGCCTCTTCTTCAGGCCTGAAGAAGAGGCCGAATTGGCCTTGAAACGTTGTGTCGCTACAGAAGGGCTTGGTTGGTGTTCAAAAAAAATTTTTTAATATTAATTACTCCCAACCAGACAGATTTCTGTCAAATGTTTACTTTTAAATAGGTAGAGAATCGCGCTGAGCGGGTTTTCACAGTTCAAGAGAGTGGCAGAAAATGTCTAGCTGATAGCGGGCGCGAGAGTCGCACCAGCCGCATTAGCATCAGCAACATAGCGGCGGCCAAAGAGCGTTTTTTGGAAAGGTGTAGAGTAAAAAGAAAAAGTAAAATAAAAAGAAAAGCGCTCTTGTGTATTGTGGACACAAAAAATATGCCTGGTGCGAAAAAGTAATTAGGTAATTTAATTACAATTACCGTCGCTGGAGTAATTAATTACATTACTAAATTACCTGCTACAAGAAGTAATGAATTACATTACTAATTACTGGAACAAGTAATTAAATTACTGTAATTTCATTACAGTAATTGCATTACTGCCAGCTCTGGACTTATTAATGCAGAAACGCGGCTGATCTCTAAATGTAAAAAAGTGCACGTCAATATTTTAAAGAAACATTAATTTTTTTAAGCTTTTTTCTTAATTATTTGCCGTGACTATAGCTAACTTGTGATAACAGAACATTAAGTAACATATAATCTCCAAAAAATAAAAAACGATAAAAAAAAAAAAAAACTTCACTGAAGTTGAGCCACTTTGTATTCGTCCAGGAGTTATACTGCACGACGTCGGATCCAAAGAGACATATCTTAGAGCGAACAAGAGCTGTACATAGATGCTTCTCTATCCTAGTGTGTAGAAAGTCGTGCTGTCCCTAGCTTAGCTTCATATTTGTGCTTTCATGCGTTGCCGTTTGAGACTCTCGGCGGACGCCACTCCTGGCGACACTTGAGAACTGTATGTACAGAACTAACGTGGCGATGCAGGCGAGTTGGTTAGGCATGTTGAAAAGTAGTGAAAGCGCACAAAAAAGACGAACACGAAGACGGAGTGCTCGCCCTGCTTGGCTCTGCGTCTTCGTATTTGTTGTGCGCTTTCACTACTTTTCCACATGTATGCACAGCCCATTATACCGTGAACCGTAAAGCCCGCACACGAGGAACGTCTGTCAATGCGAAAACAATTGCCCAAAGAAGCAGTATCTGGAAATTCGGTATCTTAGTGTTCAACATCGTCTGAGAGCAAGCAAAGCAGCTCACCATTTCTAAGTATGGATCCGTACCCTACAATGAAATATAGATACAAGTTCACAACTACAAGGGCTCTGTTGTTTGATGTTTTCATGTAGGTTGATACAATATTATAGTTCGAATCATATTTTTGCATATTCCTGTCAAATATATACGGTATACGTCCTCGTGAGAAGTACTCAGCTATACTATACCTATACTTATACAGGGTGCTTCCCGGAACCCGGGCCAAATCCTTGCTCTGGAAAATACGCATCGCACAGAAAAAAAGGTTGTAGTATTGGTCCCTCCCAAAGGGCAAATTTAGGAAAAAGAGTAGCGTTTGTTATAATTAAGTTAATAATTACGTTTATTAACTACCTTCGCAACTGATACATTTTAAGGTATCATTTCATTTAGAAAATAGTAGGGTTTGTCATAATTAGATTAATAATTACGTTTTGTAACTACCTTCGTAATTAATACATTTTAAGGTATCGTTTCATGTAGAAACATAAATGGCATAATCGAGAACTATTAAAGCCACCTATATTATAAAGATATAGCGCAGCGCAGCACTTTATGGCGCACCGAAAAACACTCAATTTGCACGCGTTATCAAGGAGGAGGTTGGGGGGGGGGGGGGGGGGGCAGGAATTTTAGAGAAATCCGCTGTGTTTCTGCTTTGATAACACACCTACAATAATGGCTAAGCATGACTTTTTATATACTAGAAAAATGCATTTAAAGATGCTCATTTACATGCGTTTTGCGACATTTTATATTAAGTTGTGTGTATACGTAAATAATGTGTGAATGTATCACTAAAACGAGTTCACCTGAAGGTTTTCGTTGCTTTTTTTTTCTTGCATAAACTTTTTTTATTGCAGTTTTCAATATTTTGTTTATATATGTTATAAACCTTTTGCAAAATAATTAGGAAATATTATTATTACTTGAATGCTTCGGTGTGAAATTGACATCTGTGCAAAGTACTATAGTGAGACCTTGGGTATCCTCCGGCATCGAGCGTCGAAATTTCATATCTCCGGAAGAAAATTAGCTACAACGTTCAAATATAGCTGAATGCTCCTCCCAAGAAAATGGCTTTCATATATATATATATATATATTTTTTACAAAAATATCTAAAAATATCTAAAAACAACCCCGTACCATCATTGTAAGATATGACGTAACACACTACTTGTAAAAAGTGTGCATATGCGCGTCTTCACATAAGTAATACAACCACCACACTTCCCCAAACTCACGGCACTTTCCTTCACGCGTCACGACGTCACTCATGAGATTGTTCATTCTGTACATGTTGCAGGTGTCCGTGTTTTCTTATGCTGCACCGTATTACCCTTCTTTTAAAGGACGGTCACACGGCACTCCACGTTGCCGTATCCGCGGGGCAAGGGCTCGTGGTTGAAACGCTTCTGGGTCACGGAGCGCAAGTACAATTCAAAGCTGGACCAGTGAGTACTTTACATTTTACTTCCTTTTAGAGGCACGAATAAAGACCTCCGCAAGGAAAAGGAATGTGTGTGTGTTTATGCGTGTGAAGAAAATGGTAGGGGGGGTGGGGTGTAATAAAGTCATATTTCCTTAGTCAAATTGAATTCTGTACCGTCCGTCTGCTCACCAATCACATCATTTTAAGCTACGACCGCCGTTTTTTACTTTGGCAGTAGAATCGAGGACAGACGCATGGTGACCAAACAAAGATTACGTGTGCTTGCGCGGATTTGTGTCCGTGTTATTTTATTTCCGCGTCTTGGTATTTACGCCGTGCCTGTGAATGTGCCCTGTGATATTGCTACTCAACTAAGACAAATATAATAAAAGTTGAACGATGATTTAAAGCTGTTCATTCGTTTCAGAACAACGAAACTCCCCTCCACATTGCAGCGAGGGTCAAAAACGCGGATGACTGCGCAGAACTATTGATCAAAAGCGGAGCCAATGTCAACGAAAAAGAAGCTGTAAGTAGGACACATCCGGTCGCTAGTCCGAACTGTTGTCGAAACATCAGTTCCTCGCGCTGTCGCATCATGACCTCACAGTTCCTACAACGGCCCCTTCCTTCCAGAACGGCGAGATACCGCTGCATTTCGCAGCGAGGGAAGGGCACCTCAGAACCACCAAGCTCCTTCTAGCCGACGACAGCATCACGGACCTGCTGAATAAGGTACTACTCCTCTTTCTTTGTCTTCCCTTTTATCTACAAAATGTGCCGAGTGGGACATTTGCCAACTCGAACGTCACTCTTGGCAAAAGTCTTGTCCAACTTAAAAACAAGCGCAGGTGTCATTTAAGGGACGCAGCAGATGGCGTGCCGCGACACAGCATCAGCATACGCCGTGAAAGTTGCTGTGCACGCTTCAGTTTACAGTTTGGGCAACAACCACGCAAAGAGTACGGCTTTCCTCCCCATCTCCTCGCTGTCGGCTCTTCCCTTTTCTTGTTTTTGGGAGACTGGGGACCGGTAACAACGGCGGGGGGCCTTGACGACAGCCACAGAGCGTGTGAGTGGCTCTACGCGCCCACGTGATGAGCACGCTCTAAGACTCCGTCCAAGGATGCAAGCGGCGGAAAGCTTTCCCCCGGCAAGAAAAACGCACGAAAAATGCACGAAAAACGCCATGAATTTAGAAAACACTTCATTTGCTGCGAGAACACACGCCATCTGTGGTGTCCTGCATGGGCACCACAGATGCGTCCAGTGCTGGAAAACCTCTCCATCTTCAGAAGACGTTCAATTCAGAAGTGTTTGAATGATGGGATTTCATTGCACTTGTGTCATCATATAGTATAGGGCTGTGGTAAAAAGAAAGGCTCTCTGGCATGTCTTCATTGTTTCATCGCTCTCTTTCCGTTTTGCCTTCCAACAGGACGGGGAGAGTCCGCTGCACGTCGCAGTGAAGAACTGCCATTTTCCGGTCGTAGAAGCGCTGCTCGAGCATTGGGACAAGAAGAACGCGGACCCCGAAGAAAAAAAGAAATTGACCAACCAAAAAAATCTGGTAATAGACTTTCGCGATTTGATGCGCCAAAAAATGTTTTTGCTTGACCCAAAACAATCGTTACGCGGCTCATTCCAATGATCTTGTCGATCCAAGCAGTCATCTACTGCCTACATCTGGACAGTGTAGGAAAATAAGAATACGTCCTCGTGGTCAATAACGATAAGGAAACTACAGATGAGCTTTCAGGTGTGTCACAGAAAAATGTATATAACTTTGCGCAACTTGTTCCATATTGATTTGTGAGGAGATCTTTTAAGCTCACGAATACTGGCGTAGTCAGCTCATGACTTGGTGATGCAAGCTGCACGGTAATCGCAGCCACAAAGAAAAAACGAATAAGCAACACTTTGTAATGCTCGAAGTTTGAGCTGAAAGCCTTGCTGAAAACAAGCGGATGCTTGAGGCCACGTAGGGCCAAGTACCTCCGTCTATTTTAGAGAAGAAACTAAACCGGAGGACAGTCACAAGTTGATGAAAGAGAACTTGTTCAACAATAACGATTCGTCGTCACGCGATTACGATAGAAACATTGTGTGACGGCGACACGCGCATGAAACGTTGGCTCGTGTTTGTGCAGGAGGGAGAAAACTCGCTCCACTACGCGGCCACCATCACCGAAAAACAGAAGCACTACCCTACGGAGGACAGGGACATCATGCGTTTCCTGCTCAAACATGGCGGAGACGTCAACGCCGAAACCAGAACGGTAAGAGAACAAACTGTTTGTGTTTTTTTTTTTCTTTATCATAAACAAATAAGAGTTGGTGCAATTAGAAATGCATCGTCTTTTTGTTCTTTCAAATAGACGATGGAAACACCGATACACCACTGCGCACGAACTGGCAATGTGGTCATTCTTCAAGAGATCATCGACACTCTGCCGCCAGCCGCCGTGATGCTCTCTTGCAATCAACAAGCCAGGGTATGATTTCACTTTGCGTTCAACTACAAGGCTTCCCATTCTCTCTGCTGCGCACGTTAAAAAAAGGCGCTCTTCGGTTGCCCTTGGCGAACTGACCACCCAATTTGCGTCTTGGGTCTACCCTAATCGTTGTGACAAAAGAAAAAAAGGCTACATTTTTGTCATTACAGTGACAATAATTTATATCTGTATTGACCCAGAGACCGTGGCACTAGACATATAACCTTTCTTTTTTTGTATTTACTGCCATAACCGTGTTTTACCTCCATTTTTCCTTTCAAAATCACTGCGTCTATTGAGTACAAACTTGCGCTGCGTACAAACCTGGTAGTACACTCCTTTAGTATCGAAGTAATTACCGACGTGCCGCCTCTTTTATGCTGGTTAATTTTTTTTAACCAACTGCAATGATTTCAGTTTGTACATTACTACACCAATCAGCATAGTTTTGTACGGCTTACTTTGATCAGCTGTCTCAGTGATGAAACCCCAAACTATTCTCACCAAAATTAGCAAAGCAACGAACTTCGTAATTGCTAGTTCTTTTTGAATCCAGGGATTAGCGCTGCCATGCATCTTGGAGAAGTATGCCCATTATTCGTTTATAGTGCATGACTGACCAGCTAGTAGAGTAATGCACAATGCCCAACATTGATCATCGGCGGTAATGTTAAAACTCACAATGCGCTCACTTTTCTGCACCTTTCAGAACGGATGGGCTCCTCTTTTGTACGCTTGTGATGCCGGACATGCACGCGCCGCCAGTTTACTCATCCAGAACGGCGCCCGAGTCGACACATTTGACGAGGTAAGCGCCTGAACTATACCGCTTTGTTTCAGCAACCTCTCCGTGGCTTTGTTAGATTCCATGCTACATATATATATATGCTTAAACAATGACATATACCCTACAGCTGCGGAGTCGCATTGAATTTCGCAGTTGTATTCGTCAATTGTATCATTTGAGCGTGCGGAAATGTAACTTAATTGAGGCTAGAATCTTGAGAAGTTACAGTAGAGGTTAAAGCCGAGAAAACTTGTTATTCCGCACAATACGCTAGGCACGTATCAAAAATGGGTTATTCAAGGAATGTATTTATTTATTTCAAAATTATAATACTTTTTGCGATGAACTGAAGCCCCCTCGGAGCTAGTAAGGAACAAATAAAGACTTCAGTATAATTTTCTCCTCGCCATATTACTTAATAACATTACCAATTTGTCTGATTCTCATTTGGCAATACGACATCTTACCGACAAAAGAACACGGAATTCGATGTTAGCAATACTAGATCGTCCCGGATAAAAGGGGGTCATCCTGTCTGTAGATTTCATCAAACGTATAATGTTGGCAAGTCGCAATTCTGAAAAGTGTACATAGCAAAGTGCGCAGCACAGGAGATGTGGTTCCCCTGGGCAACCCCTAACATCTGCTCTACCTTTTGCGCAAAGACCGGCAAGGCGGCACTCCACCTGGCGGCTGAAAAAGGCCACGAGGAGCTGGCCGACATCCTGCTCAACGCCAAGGCCTTCGTCAACGTTCGCTCGCAGAAGGGACTCACACCCCTCCACCTGGCAGCGGAGAAGGGCTACGCCAACCTCGTGATGAAACTCGTCGCGGAACACGGAGCCATCCTCGACGCGCTAAGCCTCGTGAGGACTCGTTGAGTATTAGGCGGGTGTTAAGTATAGATCTTAACTGGATTGCTAAACGCTCAGAGGCGTGAACTTTACTTCCACTGTCTGGAATTCATGAAATATAATAAAGTTTGCGTTCGTGTATGTTGGAATCGCTTGGTCATTTCCTAAGAAAGTATTTTGTGTCGCGCAGGGATGTGCTTTGAAATGTTGACTCTTATAGTATTCAAGTAACGCAACGAATCGCAGGAGGTAAAGTTGTGTCTTGCGTTTCCTAAAAGTAAACTTTTTAAGCGTTGCATTTTTTTTTTTTTTTTGCAATATGCAAAATTTGCAAAACGATGTTAAAGAGCCTCTTAGTTTCAAGATGTTTGGTCTTAGAAAAAGAAAAGGATACTTTCGTGTAAGCTTTTTACAGAACTCGAAAAAACGCAAATAAATGAAACTAACCACGCTCTGTCTTTGAACGACTTGTGGTCTTGCCCTGCAGAGCAAAAAGACGCCACTCCATTTGGCGGCAGGGGAAGGGAGGCTGGAAGTCTGCAAGATACTGCTGGATCTCAAGGCGGATACCAACGCACTCGACGATGTAAGTCCCAATGACAGTGTGACCTCGGCCGACAGACTCGCGAAATAACACGTGTTCCCCTCGTTCACAGCAAGGACAGACACCGATGATGCTGGCCATCGAAAACGACCACTCCGAAGTTGTGAAGCTCTTTCTCAGGGTAAAGCCGGACCTCGCAATGATGTCCAATGCGGTAAGTCGGACTTTTCTTCTTTTGGATGACTGTCTTGCGTGTTCATGATGGATCTGCTGGAAGATTGTCGTGCATGAAGGGAACCTGCTGGAAGCCTTAGTGACAACCGAGGCTTTGCCAAGAAACTTGGTTTCTTCAGTGCTTAACTCCTTCGGGGACTTGGTATCTTCATGCTCAGGATAAGCACATCTAAAACGTCGGTGGTCATTCTGGGGTTTCCAGGACGTCCCTTTTCAAGTTTTTCAACCGGCTTCATATACCTTCTTATCTTTTTTGGACTCATGTAGAAAGGCTTCACGTGTGCACACATCGCTGCGATGAAAGGAAGCACGGCCGTCATCAAGGAGCTTATGAAATTCAACAAGTCCATAGTGACAAGCTCCAGGAACAGGGTAAGAGTCTATGCAAACTAACCTCTCAGTTCATACTCAGATTTTTTGTTTTGTTTTTGTATTTTCCTGTGGCCTCAAAGGGCGAAGTAGAACATCGGTTTTCAGTAAGGAAGAAACTCCTTTTGGTGTCCTTCTGTCCTACCTAAAGCCCCTTTATACTTAAAAATAGCGACATCCTTAGAAGGCCACCTGCTATCTTGGGCCAAACCAGGCGGCGCTAACGTCGACGCGCGGGTGTAAAAAAGCAAAACATAAAGATAAAAGGTGTGCGCGTCAAAGGAGGAGGGAGAAGGAATGCCTATGCTGTCGGAGTGCAGTGCATGCTATGAGCTCACGTCGCCAATCAAATAACGCCGACTGTGCAACGTCACGGCTTTCATCGTCTTTCTTTGAGCACATCCTTCGAGGCTGGTAGACCGTGATAGTGCGCTTTTAGCCTGTCTGTATGTACTTGTGTCTTTCAGCCTTTGACTGCGCTCTGACTCGAGTATAGAAAGCCGTCTGCTATCTTGGGCCAAACCAGGAGGCGCTACAGTAGACGCGCGGGTGTAAAAAAGCAAAACATAAAGAAAAAAAGTTGTGGGCGTCAGAGGGGGAGGGAGAAGATGTCGCTACCTTTTCTTATTCAGGGGCATCAGTCCTACCTGCGAGGGTAAGTCGGGGAAGAACGTGGCAGTGGACGGAAGTAAAGTATTTGTTTGACGCCTCACGCGTAGTTGAGGAACAAAGAGAAAAATTTGTATCATGACAGTTTTTTAAGAAGTACGTTCAAATAAGAGCACATACCTATTAATTCCTTCATAAATGTGGAGCGTCTGAGTAGCTAGCCAAAGTAGAAAAAAAGAAATTCATTGTTCCATTAGGAGTTTTACAGAATATTTCTATACTTAAAGTGCTAGGAGAGAAGCGTAAAAGTAAGAAAATAATCACCCTAGGTTTCTAGTACATCCCAGGTACATCCAACATAGTTTTTGTTGTCTTTTTTCGAGCTGCTATAGTTGCGCCCAGAAGGCACTGACAGCTTACGAACATCAAGGCGCAGGTCATTATGATAGCGCGCGTCAATTTTCTTAGTTCCCGATGGTTCGTATTCGGTAACGCTGTGGTTTCTGAGAAGCCTAAATGGTGATCAGATGATCGGGAACGTTAACACCATCGTTCGTGAGTTGTCAGTGACCAGCTTTAGGAAGACTAGACGCACCTCTTTTCGAAACTGACGGTTAGACGAGAGCGCATTGTCTTGACTCTTCCAGACAACAGATTCGACACCTCTTCACCTTGCATCCGCCGGTGGGCATGCAAACGTAGTCAAGATGTTACTTCAAGCAGGAGCCGATGCCAAAGAAGAGAATGCTGTAAGCGTCCCTACCTCGAAAACGCTGGTGTTGAAATCAACGACTATGTTAATAGTTTCCATGCAATCATCACATTTCATTGATTCTTGTCCATGCAATGCTGTAGGACGGAGACACTGCACTGCACTTGGCAGCAAAGAATGGTCACGTGGCCGTGGCTAGGGTTCTTAGTGCTGTTGTACCCTGGTCCACCACAAGCAAGAAGGTAAGGTACCTTTGGTTGGATTTCCTGTGCGTCCCAAGCATATTACTTGGCAAAAACATATGAAACCAACAAAAAAAAGTATATTTGTGTAATACGAGATACCAGTGAGTATGAATTACGTTCAGCACAGGGCTAAACAGGTTCCTTCTCAGCATTTTTCTTTTCTTAAAATATTCCCAGCAATATAAAGTAAGGAGTTTTAGCCTGTAAGTAATGTCGTCGGGAACAGCTTTCTTAGTTTTCAGTGATAGCCATTGCTTCTCAGAGAACATTTTTTTTAATTCAAGCAATGATATTTGCTTTGCCTTATTTTATATAACTAAAGTTTTGTTCAGCCTCTAGATATTCTGGAGCATGATCGATTACACCTAAACTAATTTAGTACTGATTTGCACCAGCCAAGTCAGAACGCAAAGTTCGCACTACGATGTGACAGAACTTAAAGATCTGTACAACAACTGTTAAGGATATTTTCAGAGTGCGTCGAATTTAGCCTGCTTAGCTGGTTTTTCCAACCACCATGAAAGCAGTCAGAGTAGCCAATTATCACGGAAGGTAGCAGAAGAGCACATAGTCTGATTTCAACTAGCACTGCACGTTAACGAAATGTCATTGTTTGTTTCTTTTATATTTAGACGGGACTGACAGCGCTTCACGTGGCAGCCAAGAACGGTCAGATGGACTTTGTTAGGGAGATGTTGACGGAGGTCCAAGCTGCTCTTGCTAGCGAACCACTCCCAGATGGAGGAGACGTAAGTTTTCAGAAAATTCTATACCTCATGTAAAACAAGATTTTGTCTTTACTTTCTTCATAAACAGGGTGAATTTTTCCCTTCTTCTATACTGATCTGTAAGATCTGGACGTCGTTGTAAGGAGTCATTGCTTTCAGTACGGCATGACCGCGCTCCACATGGCGGCAGCCGCGGGACACGAAGGAGTCGTCCGGATGCTACTCAACAGCTCCGGAATTCAAGCAGACGCCCCCACATTCCAAGAGGTATGTTACCCTTCCTTCACGTTTTCAAGAGTTTCCTCTCTAAATTAATTATAGATTCTTTCGTCAACACGAGTCCCGTTACAAACGGTTCACATAACGAACTTACGCGCTTCCACTCCCGTTTATGCTTATTCCGGAAAAGAAGCAACCAAATCTGACATGCATAACGTTACACCTGATTTAACAAAGCGATTTAAAATAACTTCGACATATTGGGGGATTGCCATATACGTGCTGCAAACGGCTTTAGCTTCGCGGGTTAAACATTTCGCGAACTTCACGCTGTATGGATTTCGGGAATATTTCGCGAGTACAAAATTTCGCGATTTAAAGTGATATGCTGTGCTTGTTATCATGGGCTCATATAATTGCGGGATACATTTTTCACTATATCTTTTAAGTCACGAAATTCGCGAAAATGAGGTCCTCGTGCAAATTAAGTTGTTTACATTATATACTAGGGCGGAGCACTAACGAATTCAGCATTATAAAATGCACGCACGCAAATGTCGGAAGAGCTATAGAGCATACGTGCCTTCCTAAGACTTATTTGTACATTCGTTCCCCATTCCCAAATATTGGCATGTTAAACCTTTATCAGGCAGCTTAGGGCTATGGTTGTTTTTAGTTTCAAGATAGAATCTACTGTTTTCTTTATCGAGTTTTGAAAGGCTTAGAGGCACGCTACCTATCAATGGAAGAAATACAGTGCGATTCCTGATGCAATTCTAGACTGGAATGACCTTCCCGAAGACAGTCACCATTCAGGAACCTATCAGATTCCCAGAAGCAGTGTCAAACACTGTACTTAACACCACTTAACACCACCTCCTCTCTAACGCCTTGTGGTCCTGAGGGTATTGTAAATAAATAAATAAATAAATAAATAAATCCACCAATAACAAGAATGAGAAAACTCGAAAATTCAAATCGGTATAACCAATTATCGTTGTGTCTGGACTAGAAACCGAGCGTTTCTAGTTTAACTGATCGTTATAAGCAGTACATTGTTATATGTGTTATCGTCGTAAGCGCATTGCACTGTTAGTGCTACTCACAGTAATTCTTCTCGTTCTCGTAGGGGATGTACCCGCTGCACTTCGCAGCTCAAGGTGGCCACTTGGCAGTGGCAAGCATCCTGCTGAGCAGGGCGACATCACAGCTGCAGTGCGTCGACAAACTCGGCCGCACGCCGTTGCACGTGGCGTCGGCGAGCGGCAAGAGGGAGATGGTCGGACTCCTTCACAGTCAGGGCGCCGATATCAACGCTGCTGACAATGTAAACCAACCAAACTTTTAAGCCAATGGCGCCGCTAATACGTCGTACAAAAGGCAGTCTGTAGACACTTTCTGAGGTGTGTTTACTTCTTGTATGGCGATTCGGTCACACTGGTCATACAAAAACCGTCTGCACACATGTTCGAAGCATATACATGTATAAAGCAAACATTCTTCGAACATGCTTCAGGCGTGTCTACACCCTCTTTTGTATGATGTACGAGATGCACACCTCATGTACATCCATGCAATTTAATCATGTCTTTGCTTCTCGCATTTTCAGATGGGCTGGACCGCGCTGCATTTTGCGGCGCGCAACGGCTACCTCGGTGTGGTCAAGATTCTCGTCGAGAATGGCGCCTATGCAAAGTCAGTCACTAAGGCAAGAACCTTCCTTAATACTCTTGTTAGTTTCACGAACTGATATGCGGGAAGTGACACTCGTGAGACTGGAGGTGATGCAGATATACAGAACCGCTAAGTAGTGTTATCACTGGGATAGTTAGCACAAGGGAGATCACCCTAGAGCTTCCAGTGAAAAAACGTTATACTCCATTGCTTTGTGAAATCTCATCTATGCAGGACGGGAAGGTCCCATTGTGTCTAGCAGCTGCGGAAGGCCACTATGACATCATCAGCTACTTGCTGAAGAAGGACCATGACACAACAGACCTCATGGATGACAAACACGTAAGCAATTCTGTCCATCCAGAACCATTTGCATGTCCCGTACGGCATGTGTACGTTTAGTGAAACTCCCTTTTCTTGTTTTACGGTTCTAGTTCCTCATCGACCTTATGGTATCGGGCAAGGTCCACCAGAACAGACCAATGGTGGACTTCATCCTAGCCTCCAAAGCCCCGATCGACACGGCAGTCAAGATGGCCCGCAGTTACGAGCTCCTCTCGCTCCGAGAGAAAGAACGGGCCATGGAACTTGAGGAGATGGCCGGCTTCTGCGACAACCTCGCAAACGACCTGCTCTCCATCGCCGCTTCCAACAACAACACAGCCGCCCTACTCCGCGCTCTCGACGCCAGGAACACCCCGTTCCTGGACGTCCTCATCGAGCTCCAGCGGAAGACCGTCGTCGCACATCCGGCGGCTCAGAAGTACCTCACAGAGCTCTGGATGGGCAGCTACACCTGGTCGACCATGAGGGTCGTCATGCTCTTCCTCGGCTTCCTCCTCTGCCCCATCTTATGGGCGGCATCCTCGCTGCTCTGCGGGAACCATTTCTCCAACATCCCCATCGTCAAGTTCATGTCCTACCTGGTTTCGCACATCTTCTTCGTCATCATCCTCAGCATCACAATCATCAATCCGTGGCAGCCACTTTACGTGTCTACGCACCTCGTCCCTCATTGGAACGAGTGGCTGCTCCTTTTCTGGCTCCTCGGGATGTTCATCACCGAGATGAACAACCCGTCCGACCGGGAGGGACTCGGTTACATCAAGACGGTCGTGCTGTTTGTGAGCGCATTCGCCATCACAGTACACGTGGTCGCCATCTTCTTCAAGGAAGAGTACTACCGCCTCATCTGCCTCTACATCCGAAACCAGCTCTTCGCCGTCGCGCTACTCCTGGGCTTCCTAGAGTTCCTAAACTTCCTCACGTTCCACCACCTCTTTGGGCCGTGGGCCGTCATCATCAGGGATCTCATCAAGGACCTGATGCGTTTCCTGGCCATCCTGCTCATCTTCCTCGTCGGCTTCTCGTTGAACATGTGCGCCGTGTACCAGCCGGTGTTCGTGCCACCCAAAGGGGACAACATCACGCTGCCCATCTTCGGCCAGGAGTTCCAGTCGCCCCTCAACACGTTCGAGATGCTCTTCTTCTCGCTCTTCGGGCTCGTGGAGCCGGACTACATGCCACCGCTGCACCTGAGCCCGCCTTTCGCCAAGATCATCGTGAAGGTGGTCTTCGGCGTGTACATGATGGTGACGGTGGTGGTGCTTATCAACCTGCTTATTGCCATGATGTCCGACACGTATCAGCGAATCCAGGCCCAGTCGGACACGGAGTGGAAGTTCGGCCGGGCCAAACTCATTCGCAACATGAAGAGGGCCTCCGCGGCGCCGGCACCCCTCAACTGCATCACTTTTGTGCCGGAGCTCATTATGAACAAGTGCTCCAGAAAGAAGGGTAAGAGTCGCTGCGTCGCTTTTTACTTTCTTTTTTTTTTTTTTTTTTTTCATGAGACGAGTTTGTTAGATGCGGGATCTATTGGAATATACCATATTAGAAAGAACTTGCGTCACCTCGTAGAAGATGGGGTTCGAGCATTCCGAGGATGAAATAATGCGCGGACTAGGATGGAGAGGTAACAGTCACCTTAGAACTAACTGGGTGGCAAAAATGTCAGCCACAACAGAAACAAATTAGACAGTGGAGGAGCCCAATCTAGGTCACTGCAGGTCAGCAGAGCTAGCAGGGTCTTCCTTCCTTGGTCGAGGGAGTGCCTGCAGCGTTCAACTGAGCATGTGCTCACGTATCTTCATACAAGAGTCTGCTGAACCGGAGGTTTCCTATAACGGTCCGTTTGTTTATTTATTTATTTATTTTCAACTTCGCAATGTCTCAATCTACAACTGCAGGACATTTCGAAAGCTTTACTCAAACCTAAACCTGCAGGGCAGAAATACTGATTTTTTATCCGTTCAATAAATGCTTACACCCCAGTCCCACTAGAGCGACAAACAAAAAAAAAAATGATAGCGACGAGCCTCAAACACATGCAGCATGTTCGCGATGATACCTTTGGCAGGCGTTCAGTCGTTTGGTGCTCGTGAAGTAAGCACGAGTTATTGCAAGCCTGCCAAAGATACCCTCGCGTGTGATACTTGGGTTTCAGCATAGCCTCTCTTATTCTGCAAAGCCTGTCAAATCGCGAAAGACTCTGGTTTGAGGCTCGTCGCTGTCGTTTCTGTTTGTCGCTCTAGTGGGACTCGAGCATTATAAAACTATAAACTCAATATGGTTATTTTTGTCCATAATGGTACCAAAAATATTAGCGGGAAATTTGTGTTGCAGTGTTATAAACTCGAACATATTGCCCAGTTTCCTCCAATTCAAAAGAACATCATGGGACCTTTGGAATCGGTGCAGATTCGTGATGGATATGTACATAAAGGCCCAATATCAGCATCTGAGAAGTTCAAAACAAAACTTGCTCATCAAGTCAAGTATAAAGCCACTTGTTGAGTTTCCCGCACATGTCTAGTAAAAAAATACAAAAATACATAGATATATTCACTTTAAAACAAAAAGGGTCTAGGATTTCTCCTAGACCTATGCAATCGATAGTTAAAAATTAATCGCCAAACATTAGTGATGATGATCAAACGGCATGTTTAAAGGGGCACTAAGCTGGATTTTGAGATACTCTTTTTAAGGCGCAAACTCTGTTACGCACACTAAGCATCCTATAAAACACAATCATATGTGGCCTTTTTCGCCCTTAAAAACGCGACACTTCTTTTTCTCTGAGATCTCAGAAAAAGGGGCGTGTCGCAGTGTTTGGTCGGTTTTTTAAGGGCGAAAAAGGCCACACATGACTGTAGTTTTGGGTCTGAGGATGCTTAGGGTACGTAGATTGAGTTCGCACCACAAAAAGACAATCTATGCCCCTTTAACGTTTAGATTTTTTGCAACTGCCATTGTGTGAAGAAAAAAAAACAAACTAACGTGTGTTTCATAGGCTACGAATGACAAAAGATAATTCTAACCCGTATTTAGCGAAACTACAAAAATTGTTGCATTACTCGTTTAAAATGCTGGGTATGCCCTTTGAGCCATCTGCAGTTTTTACTTCCGATTCGGGGATGGTTATGGGTCTATCTCTAATGATGGTGTAGTAAGCTAAGTGTATTTGCATATAAAACCACGTTCGGCATCTTAAACAAACAAAAAAAATTAAAGAAGACTTTTTTTTTTTTTTTCAAGTGAAGCATATATTACTTTAAAGCACCAAAAAACAACCGTAAAAAGCCGCGGAAGCGCCCACTTTGTCCAAGCGCCCACTACTAACATTTGACAAACTTCCGGACTCTGCAAATTATAAGTTAGGCGCCCCGATTTGATCAGACAAGCGCTCACGCCTGGATTAACCCAGTTTTCAGTGAAGCTGGGGTGGGCCCGCTCCCCCTGGTATTTTACGGTGGGTACGACGGTGCCATGCGAGGTACTAGTACTTCAAAAATGAGCTCCTGGAGTGGTTTGAAACTGACGGTTCGAAGAAAACAACCCGAAGAAGGTGAGAACGGCAGGAAGGAACTTCAGTTGCCCCGCCTCTAGCGCGAGCTTCCTACCTTCGACAACGCTTGGGCGTCTCGTGCGCTTCGAGTGCGTGCGTGCAGCCAAAGCACGACGGAAGGCGCGGAGCACGTGCCAGAGGCCTGGCGTTCGAAAAACACGCATTGTCGTTCTCATTCTGTGAGCGACTACCGTATCGTGAGAGGTATCGGTGTCCTGTGTGGGCCGACGTTAATGAACAAGTGAACCGGTCGCTCGTTTTGCAGCAAAGGGAGGGAGCAGTCTATCGACCCTCAAGGACATGGGCTCGGGACAGACTCAGAGCAGGACCAACTCTGCAGCTGGTGCAAGAGCTGGAAGGAGGATCATGCCTCTGGGTAAGCAAACATCGTCGAGCACAGAATGCCTCGGGTGGAACATCAAGTGGAACAAAAACTGTGCAAGTCCCAAGGGGTTTCATTCATTGGTAGCCGTGTATGGTTTCTCTTTGGTATCAGAATTTTCTACCTCGTAAAAGTTCAGGAGCTAGTCTGTGCTTTCAGCATACATCCTCCAAAAAACAACCCTAAACAAAAAGGAAGAAAATTCTTTAGCATAGTTAGTGTCGAGATTTAACAAACTAGCAGCGCCAGCAAAAAGCTACATAATTGAGGTGCTCACCGAGCAACCACTACCATTAGATTTACGATTACGGATTTCTGGGGAAGCAGCTACTTCATGAACACAAAATCGCCTATTCCTGGAAATTAGTATGGCATCCAGTGAAAATTCCTACAGCCATTGCATTCCTGAATCAAAAAATGTGCCCCATGGTCTCAAATTCATTTGAACTACACTGCACCATGACTTGAACATAAACTATCTGGTCTGCTCTAAGCGATTCCAGTCCAATGAAAAGCCTCGTAAAAAAGTTTGAGAGAACAGAGCCAAGAAGGTTAATAAAAATCTGCAATTTACATTTCATGTCAGCTTATTGCTGCCAAGTGCAAGCATTATAAACCTGGAAAGATGCATGCCATGGGATGCATGTCATGTCATGTGATGGATGCGTACAAGGTCTTGACTGAGCATGGACATCTCGCTGAACCCATCGCCAAATTGGGTGGCAGCTTGCATTAACGACGACAAGATAGGCACCCTGCTGACGTTAACAGTTTCTTTCGCATTTTAAGATGCAATGAACGGTACCAAAGAACACGCATTCTGTATGTTTACGATTCCAGTGGTGTGATAGGTTCTAGTCATTTTGGAGCAGCTGTTGGAGCAGCCAAAAGTTCATTTTGGAGAAGCAAAAACAGCTTTTAGAGCATAACCGCACACTTCATTTTCATTTATATCACTGCAAATGTGAGGAGAAGAGACGGCAAATATTAGGAGAGCAAACACTAGCTGTTTAGTGGTTGTGGAAGCACCAGAAACGGTAACAAGACGACTGGTGATGAAGGCAGCGCAAACTACCTTGAATGATTATTTTAGGTGCAAAATCCCGCTAAAAAAAAAAAGAAAAAAAGTTAAAATACAATCATTTTCAGCACCTGTATTTATGTGCCCTTCAAGTTCTAGGGGGTGGGCGGGGGGAGGGGTGACAAAACTGAAATTCTTAATTCAAAAAAAAAAAAGCATAAAAAATAAACCTACAATAGAGTGCATATACCTCCTTGCACCACGTCTCGCTCCGGAGGAGTACCTTTCCCCTTAGCACGCGGGTGCGCTGCGGCGAAGCAAGACACGCAACATCGCGACACCTATCACTCTAAAAAAAAAAACGTGCGTCTGCTTTCCTGCACAACACTCGGAGAGCCAATCGCCGCAATTTACAGAGGCAGCTCAGCAAATGACGATGCCGAAACATCTGTTTAGACCAAAAAACGCAGTCTGAGCTGTGACATTAAGCAATGGAAAACGTCACGCTTGCATTGCTTAATGTCACAACTCAGACTTCTTCTTCTTCTTCTAAGCGTTGTGAAAGATGGTGGGGGGGGGGGGGGGGGGGGAGGAGAGGGCCAATAGTGGTTGCGCACCGGGCGCTTGGTCACTGGCTCTCGGGGGGAGGGGGGTGTGGGGAGAAAGGTTGGGGGTGGAGGGGGGAGATAGAAATAGATTTGTAGAAGGGGAGGGGGGGCGGGCATGTCGGAGTACGCGCGAGGGGGATTAATTTAGTTGCATCGAATACCGGGTGGCCGGGGATGGGGGGGCGGGGGGAGTTGGGGGTCCAGCGCTGGAGGCTGGCACGGCGCGGTGTCCGGCGATCAAGCAATCGTCCGGGGCGACCACGTCGTGTGGTGGGAGGTCCCACTCTAGTCCACCCGCGCCGGAGTCCGGGCGCGTTCGTCGAGCACGCGGCAGGTGCGCGCCAAAGCGAGCGTCCAGGGCACGACTGAGCACAGCCGTCAGGGCCCCGCTCCGCAGTCGGCGGGCGCCCGGAGGAAGTTCAGAGGGACCACAGGAGCCCGGTTTCTTCCAGAAAGGTCAGTAGGGCCCTGAGCGCGCGGTCTTTGCCGCGCCGGTCGCCCCTGCGTTTTTTGGTCTAAACATATGTTTCGGCATCGTCATTCGTTGAGCTGCCTCCGTAAGTTGCGGTGCTTGGCTCTCCGAGTGCCGTGCGGGAAAGCAGACGCACGTGCTTTTTTTAGAGTGTAAATTGTTGCTTCACTGCATTACACCAGTATGCGGTGAGAAGCGCACTCAACAAAGCTGACTAACCCACCAGAACAGACCGCGAGACTAGTTGAGAAACTTCTAAGTACTGTCCGTGCTTGGTGCGAGACCAAATCGAATAGTATGTTATTTGAGGCGATTATCGAAAGTCCCGAAAACCCGCACGAGCCTACCCTAACGATCCGGCCTGGTAGCGAGGCCTGCAGCTGTTATATTTTCAGTATTATTTAATTGAACTTAAGTTCTGGCGCAATGTTGGCGCAAATTCCTCACATTTTGGTCAAGTGTAGCAAGTGTAGCATAATAAGCACTTTGGCGCAGTTTGGCGCAAATGGCGCAGCAATCACATCACTGCGATTCACACGCAGTATTGAGTCCTGTTTAGCCCGCATTCTTAGCATCTGTTCAAGTGTCGATTGCCGTTGTTTAATGGGTGTTCGCTGACGACGTACATCACTTCGCTGTGGGTGGGTGTTCTCTCAGAACTCTGTGTAAATAAGCTGCAACTGCACAACAGTTTAGCCGAGGTGTTTCGTCTCTAACCTTTCGATCTCGAGAAACCGTTCCCTGTTCCGGCACGGGTGTAATAAACCAGTGTAGAAGCCTGCAGACCTTGCAAGCATTCATGCATGGTTTACTGTATTTGGCTCATAGTTATGCATCAACCCGTGAATAGTGCTAAACCTGTGAAACCCTTTACTTGGGGGCAAAGATGGCCGAGGACGTTTGGGAGCTTCGGGAACTCACGACTGTACTCTGGGTAGCTTCTGGGTTCTTTGGAGCCCAGTTTGAGAAACCATGAAGCTGTAATGCTGAGCTTGGGAGCCAATACTGGTAGTGCATTATTGCTGTACTACAAGCGGCAACAAAAAAAAAATGAATATGGATATACCAGTTGCTTCTGCAAAGACGTTCAAAAATTTCCACAAACGGGATGGTTGACAAGAAACGCAGAGGATATTCCAGTCATCTGCGTTTTTGCATTGCCAGCCTTCCGCCGACGTGCAGCGGCACTCCCCACGTGCTTCAAGTCCTCCCAAAATTGACCAATTTGTGGGCTGTTCATGACGCTCAACAAACTTCTAATTGAAACCATTTCGGGTAGTCATTTTGCAAATTAGTGTTATTTTGCAATCCCCAACATCCAATGTGGCTGGCAATTTGTTCCCAAAAAGATTTTTTTTTTTTTTTTTCAATTCTGACGTTCGTAAGAAAGGTTTTTGCAGAAAAAGCCTGTGTGGATTTGTGGGAAAATGGTTATCACTAGGACAGATGTAAGCCTAACCGTGTCTTGATTTTCCAGAGGAGATGATGCAAGGCATGAACAAGCTCACCAATGTTGTCGACTGGCCTTCTATCTCAAACAAGTATCTGGAGAACTTCGAAGTTCGCAGGGCTTCCCTCTCCATCGTCGAGACTCTCACCAAGACCAAAGAAAAGAAGAAGGAGTAGAGACTAAAACCATGCTCAAGCCACAAGCTCGAAGTGATGGCCCTCTTAAAAAACGTGCAGACTCGTGAAACTCAACAGCAGTCACTTGAGCACTTACTCAGAGATGGCCCCAAGGTTTAACATTAAGGCAGTGGCCCATCATGAACTTGGAAGTTCATTGGTTAAACTGTCGAGCCATCCACCTTTTTAAAGAGGGTTCAAATATGAAGCATGAATCTATGGTGTGCAATATTGAGTCCTAAGATCTGCTCCTGGCCCCATAGAGAGTTTCATCCATGCTATGTTCAAGGCAGTGCCTCATCGTAAACCTTGAAGTTCATGTGGTAAACTGTCGCATCACTTACCTATTTAGGAGGGATTCACATCAGAAGTATATGAATTTATGGAAAGCAGTGATGGGTCCCAAGGTCTGCTCATGACATCATACACAGTCCCATCTATGCTATGTCACACAGTAAGCTTTCAGACCTTCCAAATGAAATGCTTATTCATAGCGATATCTACGACGCAGTAAAGGTTCCAGACTGAAGTGTACTGCAACCAGAAAACTTGATCGAGGAGAGGCTTATGAAAGTGCGAGGTAGTCCCAAGTTTTGTGAGCGTTCAGCCTCGAGGTGAACAGGGGTCGAAGTCTGCTCGGCACACTGCTGCCAGATGTTAGTGATAGGCACATTCGCTACCTCCCCTAAAAGGGAGAGACCGCAACAGTCACCAGACTTTTCAAATCCACTTCTCGCTTCGAAACTAGCATGTTCAACTCGCATACTGTACATAAGTAGTTGAGCCGCAAAATAATGAAACAAAAACTTCTGTCTGTACATACGAGCAAACAGCTATGAAACTACCTTCTTTGGCACCTAACCTGTACATAATCTACTGTTAACTCCCACCAAAAACTTATTTTCTTCACTTTGTGAACAGAGATACAGAAGGTTGTCATGTTTGTACAGCGGGGCAAATAGGCTACATTAAAATCGCTTTCCACCTCCACCACCTTGTCAATACCTGGGAAGGGGGGGGGGGGGGGGGGGGGGAGATCCAGTTTTGAAGCGAGTGCTCTTCATGCTCCAAGACTTCTTGGAGCATGAAGTGCTTCACATTGGTTGTTGCTAGAAAAAAATTTTGTGACCAGTTGCTTCAAGCCATCATGATGCTGGCTGGATAGAACAGTCAAAGAGCCTATGAGGGTAATTCTCAGAATATAACTTTCTAGATTAGAAAAGATAATGTGTTTTTTGCTTTTATACAAGAAATCTGGAAGAACTGAGTAGCATTCTTTCTCTCAATCTAGCTTGGGAAAGGGGACCCCACGTGGGTCACAAAGTACCGTGCAGGGGTGGAAGCAAGCTTCAGCCTTTTGTAGCAGGTCTGGGAGCAGCAAATATGCCCCTTTGGAGCAGCTTTGGAGCAGCAAGAGTTCTGCTTTGGAGCAGCTCAGGAGCCACAAAAGTCGAGTTTCGTAGCGGTATATAAGTCAATTTTGGAGCTGGTCACCCAGGTCAAACTTGGGGATATAAGTGCAGAGGTGTTTTTATTAAATAGAAAAAAATATAATGAAAAAGCATCTTCATAAGACGTTTCAGAACCATTTCCCTTATACTCTTTTCTTAAATATAATTCAGCCCAGAGCATAAAAAGCAAACTGTGTCATTGCAATTTATCTGAATGGCAGCTATTCAGAACCGCCCTGGTAGTAGCGGGTTGGTTCCTCTTATGGATTTACAATAAAAACCATAGTCAACAAAAGAAGCACAACTAAAGCCTCATAAAAAAAAAAACATTGCACCTATTTAACAACCCAAATCACAAGTTTCATAAGTTGAAAACAAAACTACTTCAAGATGCAATAGTATACAGTAAAACCTCGTTATAACAAAGTTCAAGGAGCGGTCGTAATTATTTCGTTATAACCATTAGTTTGTTATAGCCAATGTCCATTTCTTCCCAATATTAGCAAGCAAGGGGAATTATGATTGCTTTGTTATATCCATTAGTTGTTGCATCCCATTTTGTTATAACAAGGTTTTACTGTAGTATGAAATGAAGACCATTACTTACTGACTAGTTTTCATTGTTAGAAAATACAAATGTTTCAAGTCCACGGTTAGAAAAAATAAATGTACTCCAATAGTGAAGTTAACAGAGCCATTCTATCTGATAAAACTATAAATGCAAAATATTCTAAAGTTTATGATATCATCATTGCTCACACATATGTGCTTAAGCCCTTAATAAAACAAGCATGACTAAATAGAATTTTAAAAAAAAAATTGTTTAGAAAAATATGATGAGGGTGCAGGTGAGCAGTGTAAGTTTACCATTTTGTTAACACTTTTGGTTGTCTTAAGATTTTCTCACCCAGTCTCAGGCGTTTTAACAAAACTTTAAAAAAAGTGGCTGATAAAACTATGAAGTAAGATTGTAAAATGGAAGGATTTTCTCACGAGCCAATTGCTTGGATGTGTTCTAGCACAACGGTTTAGAGTTTACGTCGCTCAGCAGGACATACCCACTGTTCTCCTTGTCCTCCCATCGGCTTGTTGTTAGTGTGCCAGCGCATGCATTCACCACATACATCATTTACAAGACAGTTTACAGATGAGGCAACCAATTATCTCTTCTATTGTTATGTTTAAGACTCAAATGTGGAGCACGGAAACAATCTTAACAAACATAAACACAAAAAAAAAATTATGCCAAATGTTTGTTTAACTCTGCTCAATTCCAAAAATTTTGGGCTTATTTGCGATTCCATTTCCCAAAGCACTACTAAACAGCTCTACGTCTTCGGATTCGCGAAATGTGGAATATTATTTGTGTAATCTTAATTTAAACATCAACAGATACCGAAACCGAAACTTTGGAGCCTTAAAAGTTCAGCTTTGGAGCAGCTCAGGAGCAACAAAATCGAGTTTCGTAGCAGTAAAAGCAAATCTTGGAGCTGGTAACCTGAATCAAACTCTGTGCTATAAGCACAGATGTGTTTTTCGAAATACAAATAGAAATGTATATAAAAAAGCATCTCCATGTGACGTTCCAGAACCATTTCCAAACGGGACCTTTCCTTAAATATATTCCAGCCCACAGCAAAAAAAAAAAAAAAAATATTTGAATGGCTGTTATTGAGAACTGTCCTGGTGGTAGCGGGTTGGTTCCTCTCATGGATTTAGAATAATAGACATAGGCAACTAAAGAAAAACTTAAGCCTCATGAAAACAAAACATTTTCACTATTTAACAAGCTAAATCACACGTTCCATAACTTTAAAACAAAACCATTTCGAGCTGCAATAGTATGGTATGAAATAAAGTCCAATACTGACTACAGTTTATAATTAGGAAATACAAATGTTTCAAGTCCCTGTTTAGCAAACAAAAGTATTCCAATACTCAACAGAGTACAAATCTACTCTGTCTGATAGAAGTACAAATGCAAAATATTGAAAACTTCATACCACCTATACAATTCCTGCTTCTACATACGCACTTAATTAACCTTTACTGAAACTGGCATAACTGACTAAAAAGAAACAAGAAAGCTTGTTTAGGAGTTTAATAAAAGAAAATGTGACTGACAAAACTAGCGAGTAAGACCATAAAACGGAAGGTTTTCCTTAAGTTAATGCAGAGCGCAAGTTTGTCTGCTTCTAGCACAGGGGTTGCGTGACGTCAGAACGCCAACCTCTTATTGGCTGATTAAAAAAAAAAGATATATAGTGGGTATACCTCAAAGGCATTTTGCATTGGGGTCTACCCACTATCATTTCAATCAAAACCCAATCAGAGCTGGCGTCGTTCTGAAGTCACCGCATCTCCTGCGCAAGAAGCAGACGACTTGCTCTCCGCATTGCTTGGATGCGTTCTAGCCCAACGGTTTAGAATATGCTTCGCTTAGCAGGACATTCCCACTGTTCTCCTCGTCCTCCCGCCGGCTTGCTGTTTGGGTGCCAGCAGGTATATTCGCCACATACTTCATTTACAAGAAACTTCACAGAAGATTCAGTCAACTAATTATCGCTTTTATATGTTAGATTACAACACGAATGAGGAACGTTGAAGCAGTCTCAGCAAAAGAACTCACCCCAAACATGCAAAATAAATATATATTATGCCAAATGTTTAATTTGATAGAGTAGTTATTGGTTTCCCCAGAAATTAGATGATAGGTGAACAAATGCCAGCAAGCTTTTATGTGCATTTATATACCATAAGGTCCTGAAAGAATGCCCACCCAAAATGAAAAGCTAAATGGTGTGTGTGTGTGTGCGTGCGTGCACGTGTGTGTGTGGTGGGTGGAGGGGGGGGGGGGGGGCACTACAAGCTAAGTGAAACAAGAACTCTTCAACTTCAAAGTTTCCTAACTTTTCCTTCACCACAGTCTCGCGTTTCAAAGATGATTAACTATCACCAGCTCACCTGAGCACTCACTGTCTTTTCATTAATGATACATATCGCAGACACGGCGAACTCGCGTGTCCAGTAAGTCATGTGGGAATTTTCCATGAACTCTCCTGTCACGGGTACGGCAGCAGAACGCAGACGCAGCGCATTCGTGCTTCACGTGCGACATAGACGCAAGAACCCGGCCGCTAGAAACTTGGGTGTCACGGGAACCAATATCACGCGCGAAAATCAGACAAAACAAAATACGGGAACGAGTTAGGTATTTGCATGTCACGGAAAGGGATACCTTGCATAGTGTGGATGCTGCAAATTTGTGTGTCGCGGTGCAATAAGCATGAGAGAACCCGCAGCGAGCACGCTTGTCGCGTACCAATACCGCAAATCACACAGTAAATGTAATTTAAAAAAAAAAAAAAAACGAGATATGTGATTTTTTGGGGGCGGTCGTTTGTACGGGCCATGTGTGGTATTTTGAATACACGCGGTCATCCTCAATGCCACTGTGCAAAAAAAAAAAAAAAGAGAAAGATTAAGTAAATGACGAAACAATGCATCGAGAGTTCTGATGAGTACTCTGACAAAAGCGACCTGTGCATGTGCCATTTTCAGAGATCAGACTTGCACGCCGTTGACGTGACCACATTGGTAGGTTTCATAACGATGGGGCCTTTTAGCAAACCGTCGCCGTTTTCCGCGTGCCGCACTACCGGAGCCTTTGAAGCATGCTTTTAAGTGCACGCCCCGAACTCGAACGCGCGCTTAAAAGCATGCTTCAAAGGCTCCGGTAGTGCGCGGTACGCGGAGCACGGTAACAGTTTGCTAAAAGTCTCTATTGGTTCAGAATTACCTTAACGAACACAACACGGTAAACCACTGTGGCCACTAACGAAAAATACTCCAAAAAATATAGCCATAAAAAAAAAACTTGTTCGGCTAGTTTTGGCGCAACGTGGGCGCTTGGGAGCAGGATGGCACAGCAAAGGTGGATTGGCGCACAATGGCGCAATTGGCGCAGCGCTTCCACCCCTGAAATAGGCACTTGGCACCAGTTTTCGTCAAACAAGAGTGACCTGTTTTAGACATAACACAAGCTTAAAACAAAAGAAATTTCCTAGTTTTGGCACATCTGCACTTGGGAGCAGGATGGCTCAGCGAAAGTGGATTGGCGCACAATGGCGCAGTGCTTCCACTGACCGTGGCCAAAACAAGCATGTTGTTAATGTACATCAGTCGATAAGCGTATGGAGCCCAAATTGATCTTACCGTAGTCTATCAAAATAGGACACAACAAAAGGCTGATGTGGTATCTACATGGATGCAGCAAAAGAGTAAGTTTACACTTTCCCCAACTGCACACAATGTGCAACCCACATAGGCTGATGCGAGACCCACGAGCCAAAATAAAGCCTAACTAAGCCCATGTGCAATTCATGTAAGGCCAAACTGGCCCATTTGTGGCCCAAATGATCCAAGACGAAACACACATGTTCAGGTGGGATCCACATAAGCAAAATGGGCCCATGTGGGACTTATAAAAGTTGAAGGGGATGCCAACATGAGACCCCCATGGGGCTCACATTGTCCGACTCCTGGGAAAGCATAATAAACTCTCGACTCACAAACAAATTTCTGATCAAGTTCAGCAGCACCAACCTGATTGACATCTCCGGCTTCTTTTAGAATGCATGCACGAAGAAGCATGCAAAATGTATAAGAACTGATGCTGAAGATGTTGTCTACAAAAGCCTCTATTTCACACCGGCAGAATGATAACCCCGTGTACCACCAGCTCGAAAAAAGTTGGGTAGCGTGAGTAGTGCTTTGCAAGCTTCCGGCAAATCTAACCTTTGCCACAAAAGCGCAATTAACACCACAAGATGTTTGCAAGATGAAAATTCAAGTATCTATATTTGCGTTTGCAACAAACTAGAAGTCTCCATCTCTCACTCCTTGCCTTCCTTTCCCTCCTCCTTGTCTTCTTTGCCCCCCTCCTTCTCATCGCTGCTCTCATCTTCATCAGACTCCTCATCTTCGTCGTCGTCATCATCGTCATCATCCTCATCGTCGTCGTCGTCCTCGTCGTCAAGATCGCCCCCTCCCCCACCTGCAAATACAATCCAAGGAACAGCTCCATTGTAATTTGCCTCAATATAAATGGACGATTCATAATTTCAGGTTCGGATGCTACAAGTTCATAAACTAATCGGGAAAGCTTAACCTAAGGACGGGCACCGAAAATTCTCTGCCCACTGTGACTTTCGACCATATGCTGGTCATCTGCACGTGGAAGCAAAACAAGCACTGGACATTAAAAACCATAGAATGAGTCTCCCACCCCTGGCACGTGTAGCGTCGTGTTCCACTGCACCAGACAGAGACGCAACCAAGGCACTGCACTTGAAACCTAAGGTTGGCTACTGAAGAAGAATTTCACCTGAGCCGTAGTAACCAGCGCCGCCATAGTCGTAGCCGTCGTCTTCGTCATCGTCCCTGCCAGACGACATGGCCTGCCTGCCGTAACTGTGATGCCGGGCTGGAGACGGGGAAAAGCGAAATCACCGACCAACATTTTTGAAGGGTCGCAGGAAGTCTACCATGTGCATAATGAACAACCCAGCCCTAGCAACTAGCAAACTGGATGAATCTGTAGTTAAACTCTAAGTGTCATACTCTTCTGCCGAGACATAACTGGGTGTTGCACACGAGTCGAAAAACCAAAGACTAAATAAATCCTAATTTTTTTTTAAAAAACTGACTTTATGTATTATGAAAGCAAAATTTCTTTCGGAACCGACGAGGGCCTTGAACTTGGTTTTCGGATTTTGGTCGCCCGACACAGATGGTGTAAGTGCAACTTCGAGAGAAGTTGGTTGCTTCCACAAAACTATTATTGCTATTCATTCCATAGTGTGCGTCTCCTACAGGACAGATGCACAGACGCTATAGGTCCTGCCAAAACAGGCACTCACTCGACATGCTAAGGTCCTTGGTCTGTTGAGTCTCGAAGCCACACTTGGGGCAGGGCACCGGTTGATTGCGCTCATACTTGAAGCCTTTTCTCTTTACGTGGTCGTCGCAGTAGCAAGTCTGCGGGATGCACCAAAAACACGACAAACGCGAGACAAACATTTGACGAACGCAAAAACACTACGACACAAACCGAGTCACTCGCAAGACCTCCACCAGCGCTTACCAAGCGGGCAACTTGTATTTCGAAACAGAATATTCCCAGACTTTTAATGCCGGCTCTATAGTGCACGATAAGTAAATCTGGATGCTTACTGACCGCACATATCTTCGTAAACTGCACTGTTTTAACTGTTACGATTAAGCCCCCCAGAGCACCTAGTCATCACTTAAGTCTATGTTATAGGCACATTGGAGTTCTGCCTTTTCTCAAGCCTTCTATGGGCACGGCCAGTGGTGTTAAATACGTACAGCGAACATGGACTGTCTTAATGGTGACTTGGACAATCGTCAAGAGTGCTCAATGCTTCCAGCAAGAAATTCAACGAGCCAAATCAAGGGGATAGCGAGAGGCAATGTTACATCCCCATTACACAAGTTCCAGTCAGGCGTGGCAACAAAATTTACAAAATTTATGAGCGAAATGGCCTGCCATCAACGAGCACGAGCATGCCGCGAAACTTAAGAAGAAATTTAAAAAATGCACACTGCTGGAATATTCCAGGTCATAAGCATTTAAACGTTGGTAAGAAAGCCTCATTGCAGCGCGCGCCCTACGCCTCCAATTCGGCTTTTCACAAAGACAAAAAAGCAAGCCACACTTACCTTACAGCGTAGACAAGAGTGGTGGCCAAGCCTGTTACAGGACATACCTGCATAGGGTGTTTATCATTACTGCCTCTTCTCAGATGGCTCAATGTCAACAGACGCCGGCATTTCCACTGCCGAAGGAACTGCCTTCGACATCACAAGCTTCTTCAACAGCTAGATCGTGACCGATTGATTAGTCAGGACAGTTGTCAAACTGTCACGAGCTTCTTCAACAGCTAGATCGGGGGAGTTCTCAAACTGTCTTGAGTAATCAATCAACACAGCCCATAGTCTAAGTTTATCTCAACGTAAAATGCTTTTGAACAACAGGTGCTGAAAAGGCCATCGACACCCTCGAAAACTTAATAATTTTTCACGTCAGGTACTAAAAACAAGTTTGTACTGCACGGTTCTGTATTCGCTCAGAAAAAACAGGGCAAACGAAGTGGAAGGAGACGTCAAAAACTGCTGGTTACTTCGGTTGTTCCATTCTTTGCAATTGTGAGTTCCAAGATTTTTCAAATAAACAACTTTTCGGCATTCCGACGGTCGTAAAAATGAAGACTCCATTATTCGTATTAATCAAGGTGTGCCTCGCACGGTTCGTTATACTTTCAAAACATTCCGAGCACTGTGCCCTCACCGCATGTGTCACTAAAAAAAAAAAGAAGAGGAAGAAAATTTTTCGTCATTTGCTGGGCTCTTGTTGGTCGTGCCTTCGTCAGAATCTAGAAACTTTATAAATGCCCCAACAGAAGCACTTTAAACCCGAATGCTCGACTGAGACACACAGTGGTATGCCACTACTCGACCTTCCTAGACAGTTTATGCGACGGTAAGGTCGTTTATAAAGTCATCGACCGTTTTGTCGCAACATCGACAAAAGCAGGACGGGGAAGTCTCGGCATAAAGCGAGACGCGCAGGTTTGGTGCACGAAAAGGTTCACTAATTTTAGAAAAATAAGGCAAGAAACATTTTTTGCAAGTGAAGAGGCGAAGACGAGTTGGACGAGAATGGCAACACCCGTCTGCCTTTGGAAACAGCGGCGTCAAGTCTGCACCAGGTCGCAACGAGACGCTCACACTTCAACGTCTCAGCCTCCAGGATCTGACAGCTGGCCTGGTGCTCAAATTGGTCGTCCTCGCACAGGAAGTTGTTGCAGAAGGAGCACTTGAAGATGCGGCCACCTAACACGGTGAAGAGGAACAAAGGATGGCGGTCGCCAAGTCAGGACCGCCCACCGGCACCGCAGTGCTTAGAACGCGTCTCCAACTGGTGTGCGTACTGGGTCCTCAAACCTGGTCCCCCCCCTTCCCGCCCATGGTTCTTTCCACCAGCACAACTGATGGCACTTTCTCTATGACGTATCGCCCACCTCGACATTTCGCTGATGCTGAACAAGACACCGTACAAGCAAATGCACGACACCCAAGCTCGTTGCGTCTGCTATACCCCCATGGTATGAGGCATAAATACAAATCTCTGCAAAACACAATCATCGCTACGTCGGCGGAAAAGGACTAAGAGTTGCACGCACAAACCGCCATTCCCGCCCCCAACCCCCCAAAAAATTGTTGGATGGCTGTATCTCAAAATTTTTTTTGGGAAAACCCAGTTTCCACCTGATGGCACAATAGAAGCAACGTGTTCTCAGCCGCCATGATTCTGGCAGTGGCACGGCGGCGGAGGCGGAAGTGGGACATGCCCGCTCCGCCTCCCCTGCCATTCACACTCCAGCTGGACGGTCCGCAAAAGTTTCAGCAACCAGCGAATGCGGCGACGACGGCGAACCTTTGCCGGAGCCTTGATGACCGATGGCGTGACGAGCTGGCATTTGCGGCATAATAAATTCCATTTCGGGACCACTTTCAGCATGTAGGCGGCATGAGACACTAATTGGGCCGGTCAAATACTCGTTTTAGGCGCCGCGGCGAAACGGGCGAAATTTCGCCTCCTTTTTGACCGCGGCACGACATTACCGTGTTCCCAGACGTAGCGCTCGCACTCGATGCACGTGGCGTCTTGTAGTGGACACGTGCAGGCGTGGGACGTCAGGCACTGCCTTCCGTGGCACACCCAGGCCTCGCAGTAGTCGCAGATGGCACCCTGCGGGAGGTCAATCGGTCAATCAATCAATCGATTGCTGCCTAGAAACACTTCTCGAACCGACACCTGGGACCACAATAAGGCAGTCGGACGATCACACTCATAAAACCGGCAAGCGCAGGAACACGAGGAGGGGTTCACAGAGAGTGCGACGAAATTTTCATTCTGGTTTCTTTCTAACATTTTCCCAACGTTGTGCGGACCACGAAACAACGTCAAGTCAAAACTTTACGAAAATAATGCCGCGTCGCACCACGTAAAACTCGCAAGCAGTCCAACGAGTCGTCCAATCAGCCGTCAACTTCATTTAGGTTGCTTTTTATACGCAACGGCACTTCGCCGTAAATGTGACATAATGAGGACAATGTTACACGAGTCAGCATTTCGCGAAATAAGCTACTCAATTTTGTTTTCTTGCAAATACCACAAAACCGGTAGTCTACACTAAGGCCGGAAGCATTTACTGAATATTTCCACACAGGGCTGCCATGTTTCAACTTCTGTGAGGAGGGAATGTCATGAAGTTTGACAAGTCGTTCCAAGTAGCATTCAGAAGAAGTCCAAAGATAAGTTTCAACTATGACTATGACACTAGCCAGTTGGCTAGTGTCATAGTCATAGTTTATGAAAATAATACATAGGATTTTGCTCTGTGCCGGTGACTCCCCAGACGAGAACCAAAAGGGACAAAAAAAGATATCAGTGTATCATTTCCCAATAGATTTTGTGCAGGAACATTTCCCTGGGATGATGGGTCTGTCACCGTTTGCTACTTCCCTCGATCGACAATGAGTCATGACTCGCCACGGCAGTGCCAAAACTAAATTTTTATCGGTTCAGTTCAGGTTCGGGTTTACGGCTTTTGGTTCAGTTCCAGTTCAGTTCCAGAAAACGAAAATAACAGTCCATATTGGTTCGAACCGGTTTGAGCTGCTAAAGTGAAAATATATTTTCCACTTTGTTTAGGCAATAGGCACTATATCTGCCATGAAACGAGTAGCTATAAAGGTTTTTTTACCCTTATTGCAACCAACTTCTATTTTCAGGTACCAAAAATGAGAATTTGCATTATTTAATTTTTACACCACAGTAAAAACTTCTAGACTAACATACAAAACATTGTCTTTATATGACTCAACAACCATTTGCTTACCTCAGTCACAGATATTTTACTTGAGTTGAAAAGTTGTCACGAAGTAAGCTAGGTCGCCTAAAATACCCTTAATTGGTACGACTTTGTGTCACCGGTTTAAAAGTTGAATCATAGTTCTGCTCTTGAACTAAGGTATTATTAACTGGGCCCAAAATTAATTACAGCGCATAAAATGTCGGATCATGAAGTCACATTTTGTGCTTCCAACGCTTCTATTTTTGGAGACAACTTTCTGAGGCAGTTCAGCAACAACGAAAGCATGTTTGGGTGCCTCAGTGAGGAGTATACGTGTAAAATGGGTCGTACAACAATTTTCATGCTTGCAGTAAATATTGTTAAAGGGGCCCTGCAATGACTTTTTGACTGGTTTTTAATTTGCACTGAACCTGAGCGTACTGAACGTAGTAACTTAATCCAACTTTTCTTTTCTCAAATTTCACTTCATTTTAACCCCTTGCCTACTCATTTTTTTTCTTTAAAGATCGTACAGAAAGCTTTATTTAAATCAAGCAATTTGCGTCAAAATAAAGAAAAACGTTTCCTTGGCTTTCAGGCGTAGTCTCGTGCTCTATACCAGGATTTTCGGTCGTCTCCTCTTCTTCAGTAGTTCTTCACAGTATGATAGAAATCGACAGATTAGCAGAAACCTCACATAGGACATCGTTTTGCCGAAAATTGGGGTCTCCACTATGGACCTCTTGGACCAGTTCATTTTGACTGTGTGTGTTTTCACTTGCGTCATAATGATGCGCAAGGCAAAGTATGCCTTTATCTCATCCGGAGTGGTGTCAAACCATTGCTCCTCATAGCATTTCTTGGGACGATCCTCGTCGCCCATCTCTTGTTCGGGGTAGCGATTTGTCTCAGTAGAGACGGACGCCCAAAAATCATGACTTGCAAACACGGAAAAGGTCGACAAGGCGCTTGTCTTCTCACCAAGACTGCATTGAACCCTTGCTGACACGTCTGGGGTTTCTACAAAGGTGAACTGACCAGGCTGGTTGTCCCTCTTCTCCCAGTTCCACTGACGTGCAGACGCCGAAGTCGATGAAATGCTTCCAGGATTCGCATCGTTTTCAACACTTTTCTCACTGTCCGTTGAACTCTCATCGGATTCCGAGTAATCGGAAAGGCAGCAGGATTCGTCGTCAGAAATACTGGCGCATTCATCACTTTCAAAACGAAGTCTTTGTATATATTCGTCCGCCAAAGTAGACCTCCGCGCCGAAGACATGTTTTTGGCGCGCTTGCTTACAATAACCCGCTTATTTTTTGTCAATGAAGCGCCCTCTCTCTGTCAAAAGGCAAAGCAAACAAGAAAAGAACCCAAGGTAAACAGGAGCAACAGGGGTAGTGCTGCCATCTGCCGCAGAGCTCACAAAACAAGCTCTGAAACCGAAACACGAGTCACACTCGTGGTCGGGTTTTATGGTCCGTAAATGGCGGCACGAGTGACACTCGTTATTAGTAGGCAAGGGGTTAAAAGTTATAGGCAAATTAGAATTACAAAAACAAGCAAAAAATAACCTCCTTCATGACGTCGTAGGTCCTGGCTTGAGTGGCCTTGAACTAGAGGAGGAGTAGTAAGCTCATCGAGCGCACACGGCTGCCGCACTCCGTGTCGACGGCTCGAGAGGGCGCCACAAAAGCATGTGTTCGATACGCTGTATGAAGCGGGCGGCCAGGGCAGCTCGCATTGCATTTGCTGAGCGACTAATCACTAATTCGGCATATCACTTCATTGGCCACAAACGACAGCAAACACGGGGTTAAAGACCAGTTCAGAACGGGAGCCACTTCGCGCTGACACACCGCCAAATGGCCAAAATCGCCAGCGGGGCCCGCGCCGAAGGCCTTCGGAACGCTCGGAACCGGTCGGATTCTTGAGCCGCTATACGACCACAGCGCCACCGCGTACATCCGGGACCTTTCTACGCTCCTCGTTTGTCGTAGCCTCATCCCACTAGCCTTCTCTAGTATGCGCCGTTTTTTTTTTCGCCGCTTGGTGGCGGGTATGTCGACGGGTCATTTCTCGTTTCCGTACTTTCTAAACTGCATTTGTTTCTTTTCTGACCTAAAATAGTGAACAAAAACTACTTTCATACATAATTGAAACGGTTCGCGACACTTTTATTTTGTATCTCGACTAAAAAAAAAGCTCTTAGCGGCTTTGACCAGTGGCAAGCCCAGGACCAAAGACGTCACATTTTGCGTGCTTTCGGTACCGCGGGTCGCCCTCGTCGGTGGAGGAGGTTTCCACGTCGTCCGGTTAAAATATGACGCACTGATATTTAGTTACTCTCTCCGTGCCCGCTGGCTTGCTTGAACCCCAAGGGACGTGGAAACCACAAAGAAGGTAGATGCTTAAATATGATTGCAGGGCCCCTTTAAGAACTAATCCCTGACATAGATAACCTGCGAGACACCCATTAGTTTTCCTCTCCGTGCAATGGCAGATGCAGAAAAATAAAGGAAAGAAAAAACTTTTCTTTCCTGAACTTGCAATTAGATCAAGCGGCCACACGATAAGATTCAATAAGATCACAATCATGGGGAGGGGAGCAGATGGAACAGCCAGGGAAATTTTAGAAGCGTATGGAATAAAGAAGGAGGGGGAACAGAACTGCGTGAGTCAAACTTCTGTGTATTTACATAAGAAGGAGATTACTTTCATGGACACGTGTTGATGCGAATGTGTTTTTTTGTGGGTGTTTTCTTCGTTGGGTCCTTTTCAATAAATATTCAGTTGTCAGTCCAGCGCTCGTCCTGTGTACTCCTTTTCCTCCCGTCCTTGTCGTTTGCGCGCTGTTTCCATTATTTCTAAGAGTTCGACTATTCTCATTTTTTATTGAACACAAGCCACTACCCCAATTTTTGGAGAGGCCGACTGTCACAAACCCAAGCATTAGACTTGAGCACACGACAATCAAGTATGTCACGACGTCACCTGACCCATGATGCAAAGTGGTGACGTTACAGACTCAGCAACGCCAATAAATCGAGCGACGCTGTCACTTCAAATCGGCTCAACACAGCAAGTCATGTGATCACGTCCCGTTACAGGGCCACGTTACATGACATTACTTGACAGCGTGTCTCAACACAGTGACATCACGTGACCACACACGGTTAATCATAGTACCGATACAAAAAGCGCTACAAAAACCTACAATTTCTCATACATTGCAAGTCTGTATATGACGATTTCACCAATACATACAAACTGCCAATATTTTATTATTGAATATTTAGTTTGTGATATTAACAAAAAAGGATAAAACAAACATTTACTGTGAACCATTTTGAACTGGTTACCTTTATATCTTTCTCCGGTTCAGTTCTAAAATGACGGCGAAGATTTTGGTTCGGTTTGGTTTGCGTAAAAATAACAGTTCGGTTCCGGTTTTCGGTTTGGTTCGGTTCTGGTTAGACGCTCTGCTTACCACCATGCTGAGTCCCGTGGTGAACTGCCCAGGGTGCTTGACAACGCAGTCACCGGACTTCATCATGCACTTCATTTTACCTGAAAGGGACAAGCGCTGTGGTAAGAGACGCCATGCCGCAACACAGCCGCAAAATATAACTCCGTGATCGGGCAGTTTCCAGCACTAACCACACTTGGCGCAGACCGGCAGACGCTGTAGGGCCGAGCAGAAATAGCAGAATGCCCTGTTCTTCTGTTTTCTGAGAAAGAAAAAAAGGAGAATATTGCCATGGCATTTTACACACACACTTATGACGTGTTTATGTATTACTCGTGGTCATCTTAAGACGGGATGCATCCATTACATAACAGTAACCCTGGAAATTTGGTATCCAGAAAAACGAAACCAATTGCGCAAAAGAATAAACTGATCTGACAGGGCCAACCTGAAAAACAGTTCTGTTCCACCAAGCCTTCATGGCTTCTTTGGATGCTTCACTGCATGCTTTGTGTGACTAACAAATATCCTGAACGGAGCACGAGGGCTTATGTATTTATAGGCACAATCTTGCTTTTAACGCTTGTTTTAAGGAATCTTTCAATGAATGTGTCCATTCTATTTGGACGTATCAGTTGGAGGTCCTGTGTTCCATGCACGGCTTCGCCTTGCACCCCCGGCATAGCTTCGCTTTTAAAATTTAGACTAGATTACCTAAAATACCACATTCCCTGGTGTTTTCCAGCATCTTACCATGGAGCTTTGTGGAAGGAGCTCTTACTTCTATTCTAAACGTGCAACAGACCATACTTCCGAAAAAATTATAAAACTGAAGGTGCTACGTACCGTGCACACTTGTCGCACTCCTGCAAAGTAAAAGACGTGCGTTAATCTCCCGTATCACGCCTCCAGTTAAAATGCACGAATCCATTATGATGTCATCTTACCATGACAGCATTGCAAGGATGTTCGCCCAGATTGACACGTCCAGCGCTGTCCCGTATCGCTTTCTGGCGCAGTTTCTGCTTTTCGGCCTTCTTTCTCTGACCTGTTTTCTTCTTCGGCATGATCTGTGACAGCATTAAACATTAGAGTCGTGTGAGATCGATATTGCACGGCTCAGTAACCATCACCAGATGCGATGGATTCGCAGTACTGGCGGTATCCCATGTGCAGACCGAACGAGTCATTCATTCAACAACTCGACATTAGTTCTCCAGTTAGAAACGCGAGACCTGAACTTACGCTTGCTTCTTTCGCGTGTCTCGTTCGGCCGTGGGCTTAAAATGACTTTCGGGAAACGCTACTTGATTTAATTATTTCACGATTTCATAAACGGCCACCGCTTACGCACTGAGAGATGAGAATTTCGGGAAGTTCAGAAAGTCGCCATCGTTGATGACGATGTCACGATGTCGGCACAGACCAAAACGCACCAAATGTGCAGTTTGGATAATAAAATATAGCACTCAAAATTATTACAACAAAATCAATAACCTCGTTACAAAAAAAAATATTTTTTTATATAAATTTACTTAATGCTTGTTATATTATTAACTCGATAAAAACGAAACGGGTGGGGCCGCCTTCGGAAAACTCGGTAAACATGCTGGCCACCGTGACTATTTCGCAGGATTTTTGTACGATTTGTGGCCGATTTTGCCGAGTCCGATGATGCATCCCGCGACGAGTACGGTATGTTGTTGACGCCCGTGCTGTGCCCCCCGTCGACGTAACCCCGACCGCACGCCATGGGACTCCTGCCGCTGGAGTTCACGGACTGCCTCACGGACAGTCCGTACTTCCGCGAGAATCTGCACGCTCACGAGAACGAACTGGATCGCACCAGCCAGGCCATCAAGGGAATCATCAAGGAGGTCAAGGAGTTGCTCACCGCCGCGAAAAGTAAGTCGACCTCGATTTAAAAAAAGAAAAAAAAGCGTCAACAACACGCGAACCCTAAACCGATCGACTCGTTCCGTGAACTCACCTTGATCAAACCTCCGGTCCTCCCTCAACGCGGGATAACTGGCTCGCGCTGGCATTCCTCGGATGCCAACTTTTTTTGCTCCGACGCACCCGGATTGACATCGAACTTTGGTATCACTTGTTGCTGTTGAAAGTTTCGCGTCGGCGTTACGGTTCGATTGTTTGCTATCAAATACGGCGTTTTTGTTTTTCGGGGAAACGGGGAAGCGATTCGATCCGCTGAATGACTCGCGAAGCGTAAAACGCGAGCGCGTTCCGGAAAATCGTGTCTCTTTTTTCGCGGCAGCATTCGTGGCATGAATTATGGAGCCCGTGTTTTCTCTGCACCGGGCTGAAGCGCGCACGGCGTGATAAACGGACACGAGCAAATGACAATGATTCTGAACGTAAGCGGACTGTTACGGCCTTTTGGGGGGTGTATTTACGATGGCGCGATCGTAGAAGTGATAAGGAAAAATAGTCATATAAAAGCAGGTTGCGTGTTGCAGATGTCTCCACGGGTTGGACGGTAGTTTTTTTCCCGCCCACAATCGTCGCTTTGAGACGACATATGTAACTCGCGCTGGTCGCCGATGAAAATTCGGTAAAAACAGCGCGTGGTTTCCCGTCGTTAACTTACAACAAACTGCCCGCCCGAATGAAAGAAGAAAAATAAAATTCGCTGTAGCGATTCTGTAAGGTGCCACACTAGGTGTCTCCTCCCAGGAAAGCTTCGGGTTGATTACAAACTGCGTTTCACTCTCGGAATTTTAAAATATCTAAACACCCCACTGATCGTCCCTTCCTGATTTATGTGATAGACCGAAAAAAGGAAGGAGCCCTTGTCATTCTCTTCCTTTTCCCGTGCTTTCTCATTTTTCACGCACATACAGTCATGTCGTGGAGACTGAGCCAGAATCAGGGTCAAAAACTCGGAAGAAAATGAAGATGGGTGTCGCTTGGTAAGCACAAGGAAGGGTCTGTCACCTTCAAGGTGTTATTGTCACCACAGGTTTATGCACTGTTCCCTCCAAGTGGTACAGGCGTTCTTATTGTGATCACTCGACATCTAAAGAGGAGTTGATCCCCTATTGATGAAGACCCCTTCAACAAACCATGTGCTTGTCCTCGAAGCTCTAAAAGAACTTGAGAAACATGTGCTTCTGCGACCGTATAGTGTTGCTTGGAAGTGAATTTTATACAAATTCTGCACTTGTCAGCTTGATGGTGTCTTTTCTGCATGCCACAGTGCAGTAGTTTCGTCTAAACTATCAGAGTGTATAGATTTGAAGGGGTCTACATCACACCGGGAAGGTTAGGAACGCAAATTCATATTATTATGTTCCTCGCATCATGGCAGCTGTTACATGGAAGGGTAACTTTTCTAGGCTCCCATTCCGTCCCTGTGGCGTTCACTGTACCAGAAACTCGGCAAAAGAAAAGCAGTCTGGTTCTGTTCTCAGCATCTGCAGTAGTCGAATAGCATGGCCAGTAATGTGCACCGTCGCCCTGCAAAAGGTGTGCATGTGACAATCACCACAGTGCTGGTGATTGTCTCTGCTCATTGCTTGCTTCGAAGCACCGCTTTGACGGCGTAAAATTACCGCAGTCAAGGCGACGCCTTTGCCGTGGCTAACCTGGGGCATCCTAATAATTTCCTTTCACCTTAGGCCTCTCGAGAGCGCAGCGGAGTTTGGCCAACACCTTTATGAACTTCAGACTAGAGTGTATCGGAAACAGCCAAACCGACGACGAGATCGTCATAGGTGAGTTGGAGACTCGTGTTGCGCGTCCATTCGGGTCAATTTCCGGCATTGACGACATTTGAAAGGGATGCATACACAACTGGTGATTGATCTTGTGTTACAGCCGGTTCCTTGAAAGAGTTTGGGCGACTTCTGACGACTATTGAGGACGAACGAGACCGAATGGTGCGTTTTGCCTTTAGATATGCAGCCTCGAGTCTCTTTGGCGATGTCACCGAGATTAACGTGTTAGGAGATAACGGCACTGTCGTCCTCGACGTACCTTTACCTTTATATTTGGGTTTTAATCTGTTTCCGAGGTGTTACACTCGAGCACTGATACGGGTGGATGTGATTTGAGCAAAGAACTATTTTAGCGGAGTTTCACTGATTACCTAGCTCAAGACTATTTTGGTGGGAGTCAGGTCTTTATTCACGCTTCATTGAGCACACTCAGTAGATGGCTTGCTATTGCAAATATCAGTTGCAGAGGAAAGCTGGCTGCGCTCGCAGATAAGGTTTTGCTTTTGGTTTGCGGTTATGCCCTTTTTAATTGCAGTAAGGTTTCCAGTGTAATTCATTGCTTTTGGTGCTCGCATTATTATATTCTGTTGAAAATAAAAAAAAATAAAAAATCAAACACTATAAAAAAGAAAATTGAAGGGCAATTGAGAAATAAAAGAGTGAAACAATTCACCTGCAGATAGCCTAGCTTCTGCTATATCTTTTTACATTCTCAAAACCTTGGGTGGGGTACAGTTTCTTCTGACAGGCTACCGTAAATTAAGATAAGGACTAGCTCTGAAAGTGCTGCAGCTTTGTTTTCATTTTTAGTTGTATGAAGATGTATGTGTCATTTCACATGTGTGTCCTTCCTGTCCAGCTCGAAAATGCGCATGAACTGTTCATTGCGCCCATTGAGAAATTCAGGAAAGATCACATTGGGGAGGCAAAGGTGAGAGTCCAAGTGATGACTGCTTGACCTTTCTGATTTTGGCCAGAGCTGGGCAGCATCAGTGATGTGATCGCTGCGCCAATTGCGTCTAACTGCGCCAAGGAGCTAACCCTTCTACATCCTGCTACATTTTGCCAAAGTATGGGTAATTTGCGCCAAACCTGCTTTAAAAAAACAATTTTGGTCGCCTTTCAAAACCGAAACTAAACTGAGTACCATAATTGAGCATGTGTGTGTTACGTGGCGCAAGCGGCCGCCCGACACAAAGTACCCTGCGTGAATTGTCCGTCCGGTCTTGCATGGTTTTCCCACCGTCTTGCGTTCTCGTCGTGTCGTGGGTCTCGTCTCGTGTCTTTTGAAAATACTTTCAACAATAGACACGGGTCTGTGCGGACGTGCCAACGCTAGCATGCCGGGTACCACCCATGCCGTCATGCTGTGAAACAAAACCACCTTTTTGCGAGGCCGGAGTTACTTCTGTGAGCTGAAGCACTCGCTCATGAAAGCAACGACTGTGGGAAAACTATCTTTGGCCCCTGCCTTCCAGTCACTGTGATCGCATGACGTCGCGTCTTGCCGTCCCCACATCGCTGAAGTTATGGCGCTTTCTAAAATGAAACTAAGTATTGCCGCATATTTATCAACATTTCTTTTCTTGTTTTATTCATAAGTTACTAAAAAAATCCCTCTTTAACTTGAAGTCCGTGTGTCGAAGTATTAATTACCTAGGTTTCTCTCGGTGGGCTTTCTTTCGAGTGGTACCCTGTCCCCGGCACGTGAAAATTCTGCTGCGAACGAACGTTAGTGAAGAGAAGTGAGCTAAAGCAAAGAAGGCAATGTCTGCACGCTGAACCTGCACAGCTCGCTTGTTTGTCTCAAGTTCAGTCGTTGCACAAAGCGCTCCAAGAATATTTTAACCCTGGCTCGGGATGTCTTGCATCGATGCGCTGAGGTTCTTTTTGTTTGTGTATGTTTAGCTTGTACATACCTTGTTTGCCAGCCTGGCAAGCATGTGCTGCTGGTGTGTTTTTTGTTATATGCTCGACAGTTACATTTTGCATACAATTTTGGGAATCAGTTGGCGACTGAGCGGAGTGCCATGGTTTCGGTTTCGATCGAACAGCCGTTGTCTCCGCTTGCGTGACGAAGCGCATGCAACTGCCAGCCTACCGAAGTTGCCCTCACGTGCATGCGAACATGATTGCACGACAGAGGCACCAGCCGGGGCGCTTGCAATCCAATGTTTCATGTTTGCTTACTTTTGACGAAAATCTGGCATGTCAGAAACCAGTAAAACGGTGGCAAGCGGTTTTTCGGAATTGCTCCGCAATGCCTACAGCACTGAACACTTGTGGGATGTCTCAGCAGTAAAAACACAAGCAGCGAGTTCCGTCGTCACATCAGAACACAACACAACACAATGTGCCCTTTGTTTGTACAGCACTTAAAACAAATATTTTTATTTTTTTTTTAAATATCTGCTCCAAAAGCCACTTTCGCTGCTCTGAAACACTGTCTTGGTTGCTACAAAAGCCACTTTTGCTGATCCAAAACACTGTTTTGGTTGCTCCAAAGGCCACATTTGCTGCTCCAAAACGTTGTTTTGGCTGCTCCGAAAGGTGCTCCAAAATGGCTTAGGCCAATCACATCACTGCAGCATTGTAAATGAACATACCCTGTTTTAACATACTCCTACATTAAGCAACACGTGGCTGATTGAGTCTATGCAGCGGTAGTTGAAGTGTACAAAGAGAAAAATGTTTGGGCACTGTCTTCTGTGTCCAACCTTTGCAGTGTTGGCTTCGTGCCATTAGCTTTTCTGTGCAGCTGGCTTTGTGAAAAACTTCTGTACGTTCATTCTCAAAGGTTATGTGCACTGCTGTCGACGGTGGGAACCGACGATTAAACTGCATGTCAGTTTAATGTGGCCGTGAAGACACACGGCCACATATTCGGCCGTGTGTCTGCTGTGCCTCAATCCGCCAAGTAGTCTCGAAAACTATTGTGGCGTTCAGAGGCATGTAGCTACTGAATTACTTAGATATAAAAGTGTGCCTCTCTAATTCTTTGTCTCCGACGTGTGTGTCAAGCTTTAGCTTTGTTGGACAACATGCTTCCACGCAGCAAAGGCAAACAAACAGCAAACACACCTCACCAACATAACAAAGGTGGGTTTTCACCTGCAGGTGATGTGCAAGCCTAAGAGTGGCTGTTGAAGAGGCACATTTGGCGTGTGCACAAGTAGCATTCATTGTAATTTTTTCTTGGGAGGGACTATAGTATGTTGCAACATATGACGAGCGAGAGAAGCCCCGCCCACTAAGGTCTCTATGGTGGGTTGTTTCCTCATGGCCAGCGTTCGTTCTGCCAAAGTGCAAAGAGTAGAGCACTTTTGGAGGGACTTGTCCTGCTGCTCTTCATTTGCTACGATTTCTACTCCATATCAGCTGCTTCGTGTTTGCACTCAGAGATTGATTAAGGGGTTTTGGGTAAGGCATTTATGCTTGCCTAGATTTTTATGGAACATTCATTAAGAAAATGCATTTATGACTTAAGCCATTATTTTTTAGACGAAAATTCTCAGTCGAAAACCATTGGCTCAGGACCTCCCTCACTCTCTTTTCCTCGGCTTCATTAGATAATGACAGAAAGCTTCAGACGTTTTTAGAGCTAAGTTTGTGTTAATAAAATATTAGAAAGCATGAGACCTAATTTTTATGACCACAGCAAAACACCAAATATGCACCGATTTAAACAATCTTTTAACAGAAGTTGTGGGAAAACGAAAAAATCTCAAGTTACTCTTGGTCGTCACGGTGATCCCCAACAATGCTCTGGACTTGTTTTGACTTCGTATGGTTTTCTCTGCACACATGCGACACCAAAGAACTTGTTGGGATGGTGCCTTGACAACAAGGTGTAACTCTGCATGAAAAAAAAAATTAGTTTTCTTTCTTTGTCAGCATTGCGTCTAGCACATCCAGTTTCTCCTAACATAGGGTATTTCGGCAGTCACAGTTATTTTTGGCATATCAAAACAGATATGACTGGTTCGTCTGCCTTCAGTTCCTTTGGCTACATTGTTTTTGTTGACTACGGGTGTCCCGTTCGCGGCTCTTCGTAATTGTTTATCCCAGGCGGTACGCAATGTGTTTGAGCGACGTGCTAGCGAGAGGGATGTTTTGCCAAGCCCCAACACATACAGAATTGCGTCCAATTCGTGAAACCAGGCATAGGAATGTCTTTCCTGCACATTCTCCTCTTGTCCGCCCTTTTGTCCGCGCAAGAACGATTGTACATTCACCCGGTGGCACTGGGGACGTTATTGCTAACGGAGACGGATAACACTTTCTTCTTTGCTTGGAGCTGTCGTTCATGCAAGATAAAAGTGTTGCTGAGCGCGTGGTTTGTGGGTTGTTTCTCTGGCAAGGTTTTTGCCCTCGAACTTTGTTTATTTAGTTAGGTTCTCTGGAACAAACCTTTGCTGGGGCGTCATAAAAGTTCTACACATTAGGACTGAGTTGTGGGGCTCGGCTCAACTGAGCTAAAGTGTGCACCCACTATCTCGTTGATTGGAGCTAATCTCGACGTTGGTTGTGCTGGTATTTAGTGAGGTTTTATATCTGTCTGGAACGTCGGAAACAGGGCGTGAAGGACGTTAGTGAATCATCAGCATTGACTTAATCGAAAGTATAATTCAGAGGCCATTCAGAAACGCATGTCTTCAGTAATAGAGGGAAGTATCACGCTTCAGAATGATTTTTAGTTTATAAAATATGTGATTTTGTTTTCCGCTCAACTAAAGGTTTTGCCCATTCACAGGTCTAAGCAGCGGGGAGTCGTCTCGCATTACTGTCATCGATCGGGGAACTGTCATAAGACAATGGACTCAACGCCCTGCGTAACATTTCCACAAAAATTTTTTTATCATGTTTTTGTTTTGTTTTTACAAGCTTAGCAAGATTACATTGCTGAGGTGCGACTGGTTGAATACACAAATTCAGTTTCCCCGCTATATTTAATAATAAATCTGATGTCACGGGACCTACAGGCAAATTCAGTGCCCCCTGTAAATTTAGCGAAAAATTTATGTCACATGACCCCTTTACATATATATATATATATATATTGATGTCACATGACCTATACAAGTCTGTATATAGACTCCTAAACAAATTAAAATGATCACTTCTTAAATACTGCATTTCATGCATCATAGAACTTGGCGTCCGACAGTACATTGTATGCTCGATCACCGTTCGTTTTTGGAATACAGTTCTCGTCTGAAAAAACGCTCCGGTTGGGCCGCTACTCACATGTTTACTAATGTGACGTCTCACCTAGTAGGAAGGTGTCTGACATGTCTGCAGAAAAGGGCTTCATCTTGCCCGCAGTCAATCGGGTGTTGAAGACTTGTCTACAAACTATTAATATTAGAATCGTCAATGGAACTTCGTTTCACTGAAGCGTTTGGTGGGTTATGCTAAATAACATTGCAGAATTAAGTCAATTTGGAAATGTAATTGATGGTAGTCCGTTTGCCTGCATAAATAATGCTGCCCAGCCCTGTTGCAATCATTCCTGTATTTTGCATTGTCTTTTTTTTTTTTTTTGTTATTTATATATTTCATGTTATCGGGAAGATGCTGACCACTATGTCTGAGTTTGTAACTTTCAGCCGAATGCATTTTTTCTGTTTATTTATGTAGGTACTTAAGTGAACTGTGAAGTACCAGTGCCTTTTCAGGCCTTTTGCACTGGCCTCTCTTTCAGACCCTGTGCGAAACTAAACAAACTAAATGATACGAAAATGTTGCCCCGCCCTGTTGCATCCAAAAGACGGTTCACAGGTGTGCACGGTCGGCTAGTGTGCTTGTTGCAGGCATTTTTTTTTAATGGCATAACGCTGCTTTGCAGGAGAGAAAAAAGAAGTTTGACAAAGAGACTGCTAAGTACTGTCAGTCCCTGGAACGTTATTTGGGCCTGTCCACCAAGAAGGGTGACACGCAGCTGAAGGAAGTAGGTGGCTTCTTCTTGTCTCCTAACTCTTTTTGCCTGGGGCCTCTGTGTTTGTGCGAGGGGAGCAGGAGGTGGTGATTTTACTTTCAGGTTGTAATTAGGCGAGGACCGTACGTTACCCTACTTGGACATGGTAATGCGGAGAGCGAGTCGTCTGCTTCTTGCGCAGGGGTCGCGATGGCGTCAGAACAATGCCGAGTTCCGATTGGCTTTGATTGGAAGGATAGTGGGTAGATCTCAATGCTAGATGCCTCGTGGTCTACCCACAATTGTTTTACGATCAGCCAATAAGAGCTTGGCATTCTAACATCATTGCATCCCCTGTGCAAGAAGCAGACGAACTTGCACTCCGCATTGAATTCAGTACCAGACCAGAGAAGTAACAGAATTCAGAATTACTTCTAAGAAGCTGTGCAATTATGTGATGAGTAGCTTAACATCATAATCTAAACCTTAAGACACGGAGGAGATAAAATAATGGACAAGACGACACAGAAACTCAAATGCAGCCTGGGTTTGTTCGTTAGAGAATGGCAATATATAGCCGTTTACATGGACAGGAGAGAGAGGAGACAGAAGACGTGCGGTTGCAGAGTTTTGCCGGTACTGAACCAGACAGACTGACTTGCAACTTGGACACCGCACAAACAGCAGATATTATAATTATGATTGTATTCCTCCGTGCCTCAGGCATGAAGGAATAAAATGTCTCCAAACATTTTGGCTAAGGGGCCGGATCGGGACTTGTCACGGTCTTGAGGGCCAGAAAATAATGAAGACAATATAAATGAGAAAATACGAAATAAATATGCCTTAATGAGCATTTAAATACAGAAGAACTTAAACTAGAGCAAAAAGTTCAAAATAAATGGGGGGGGGGGGGGGGGGGGGAATACATATGCTCTATTATTTAAATGCGATGTGTAGCTAGTACCGACATTGCAAATAATTTTTAAAAAATCTGCATTCTTTCGCTTCTTGCAACTGTTTTAACATTACTTCGACAAAGAGCTCTAGAAATGTTCGTTGTTTTGTTGTGCGTTTAAGGAAAGTAAAATTTAACTTGCATTTCCCCCCCGTTTCTAAGTTGTTGCTTTCTGGTGATCTAGACCAATATGAAAATTGTAAAAAACGTGGTAGCGCTTGAGAAGAACAAAGCAGGAGAGACTGGATCAGAAAATAATTATTACTACAGCTAGCACCGTACAACCCTCAACAAGCAAAAAAAAAAAAAAAGAATTGCAAGGTTAATCAAGTTTACGACTACCATCTGCGACGTGTGAACGCTCGCGAGCGCGCGGCTGTCGCTCCGACCTTGGCGTGACGTCATAACCGCCTTCTCGCCCCGCTCCAATTCGTTTTTGCGCGGGAGTGTCGTTATGGTGTCGACAAAGCGCGTTTGAGTCACCGACACGACTTCCCACATTTTCTCGACGCCGATGGGTGGACGCGCCGGACGAGCGGCTATTGATCCAGCGCAGCGGGCGGTTTCACTTTTCGCACGTTCGAAATCCGAGGCCATCGGCGTCTGGGTCGAGAGTAGTGACGGCGCTGACCGCGCCGCGTAGCGTCGCTTCCGAAAAGCGCGGCAAGATGCCCGCTGCTGGCTTCTCCGCAATGCTCGCGTGTCGTGCGGGAAGGTGAGCTTCGGCGGGGCAGGTTTCGCGCGATTTCGGTCGTTTGACTTTTTGAAAACATCTCGATTTCGAAGTTTGGCGGCTTCTAGAAAGCCGAAACGCGCTAGATGTACGCAGCCTCGCTTAATTAATGGTGTACGCGACGAGCGCCCTCGTCGCGGGGTGCCAGAATTTAGGCTGTACCCTGCAAGTAGCGCTTTTTAATGGGATCTGTCTGACTGCTACGAGGTCTCCGGTCGTGACATACGATTTGTGTAAAGGAGTTGCTAGATGTAGCTGTATCGCATGCTACGGGATGCGGTTGTAGCATTTGTGGACACGTTTGGCGTCGCTATAGATTCGTTGATGCTATGTCTCGACTGTTGCAGGCCTTTGCAGTTCTTGAGATGGAGAAGAGGCACTTCTTTAAGGCATCCCTAGAGTATGTGCTCATGCTGCAGAAGGTTCAGGAAAGGAAGAAGACCGAGTTTGTCGAGACAGTGAGTGTGAACCCTCCTTTGTTTGCACACTTGTGGAATCTCGATCCCTTTGATTGCAACGGCTGGTGACTCTTGCGGTTTCCTTCCAGATACTGAGGTTTATGTACGGCTGGCTGACATTCTATCACCAAGGTGAGAGTTTCGAGCTTGGGAAGTGGTCGTTGCAGTCTGGTTACGTGAATGCCGCGGTGAGGTGAAAGGAATGTAAGTTTTTAATGGTGACTTGTTTCAGGGCATGAGGTAGCCAAGGAGTTCAACAGCTTCAACACTGACCTTCAAGTCCGCCTGCAAAAGGCAAGTGTTGTTTTTTTGTTTTTTAAAGTGCACATTCATAGTAGGTTTTGAATGGTTCTGAAGCAATATCCTCTTAAATATGCTAAGCAATTTTGCTTGCAAAAATTGTTTTGAGGTGTGTTTTTTTCCAAAAGCGAGACAGGTGTTGTCATCTGACTCAGAACTGACCTCCTTTTTTACACCAATTTTGCCCTTCGACCTTACTCGAGTGTGTTAATTTATTTTACTTATTTTCATGCGCGAAATTTGTATGGAATTTATAAAAGGAAATTGTAATTGAATCGAAAAATAGATTTACTTTGGCATCATACCATTGGCTGCCAGAGAAACTGACGTCAAGCATAGAGACAGCCATCGGCTTTCGCTAGAAAGTCAATGCCTGTCTCTCTTATGTTAGTCGTTCTTGCAGCTAATGGGAAGCGTACAAATCATCAGCTGCGGCGAGGAGCGGTCAAACTTTTCAGTTGGCTCTGGGGTCGCTATCTGAATGTTTCATAATGTAATTTTGTCTCTTTTTACAGTGATTCTGGTTACTTACTTTGTATAGTGATGTTCTGCATTAATAATTTCTTTTTCTTGTTTACTCTTTTTCTTGCTAGACGAGGGAAAACTTCGAGGCAACTCACTGTGAGGCCGAGCACCTGATGCAGAAAATGTTGGAGGTGCGTACAACGGTAATGTCGCCCGTTCATCTCATGCACATCATGGTATCCCCCCCCCCCCCCCTTTTTCAACTGCCTCCTCCCCGCACATTCCTGCATGCCCATTGACACCTTGACCTACTTGACCCGTCCTCAATTTAATCTAATTTTTTCCCCGCTTTGAGTTTGCTGCCATGCTACGACGAAAAATTTGACGTGGTCATCTTTGGTTGCGATTTTGTAGTTCTCTCGTTGTTTACGTGCACGCAGATCGCAATCAATGTTGTCTCTGCATCAATGTTTACCTCGTCCGTGTGTTGCTAAGCATAACTTTTTATGTTGACTGCCTGTTTGTGAGGTAGTGTTACTGAGTTCAGTGCGGGAAGTTTTACGGTTTGGAGCCCGTGTCTTGTTCCCTAAAAAAATGGCGTCTGAATCAGTGTATCTTTTTAAAGGGTAACTCCGGTTCCTTTTGCATATCAAGAAAACAATGCAATTCTCTTTGGTATTGCCTAAAAAGACTACACACCACATATTTCCATCTAATTTCGCCTAAAAGTTGATGAAACTGGCTAACAGAGTCTGAGCTGCGCAAAATTACCGAACTCTGCTAATCCTAGTGGATTTGGCGCAGCGAAGCCTACGGCGCAGTCACTACCGCCGTGTCTGTGCAGCCCACCCTGCGCTACCTACGTCATGCTCGGGGCTCTCGGGAAAATTTCTTTGCTTGTTTTGTACTTTTTTAAGCAAAGCCTACAGGCGACGCTAGCAGCACTGTCATCGTTGACCACGTGATTCGCCAGTTTGTAAACCCTGAGATGGGGAACGATAAGAAAACGGACGAACACAACAAAATCTCAAACGCAGCGAACCACGCTGCCGGCGTGGTCAACGCCGGCAGCATCAGTCGCGTGCGAGAACCAATTTGCGACATTGAGCTTGGGATTCTTCTACAAACCCATTGCCACTTATTTATGTGTAGTTTACTAATTTTCACGTTCTACTAATGCTTTCAAATCTTCGGTAAACTTTCCTCTTTCTGCGCTAAAACACAAGCTGAGGCTGCGGTAGTGCAGGCACCGTTGGGTATAGCAGATTGCCAATCTCTGCTGACAACACTTGTCCTTGCGCCAAGTTGCGCCTAGCCTCCCGATATGCGAAGCCACGATTTGTAACATGTGCGAGGAGCCATGGGCGGATTTATGAGGGGGGAAGGGGGGGGGGAGGGTGGTGACTGCTCCCCTTAAGTCCCGAGGTCAACTTTTTTTTTATGAAAAAATTGGTATACCGTATTTGCACGAATATAACGCAACCATGAATATAATGCGAGGGCAGGTTTTGATGCCCTCAAAAAGAAAAAAATTTATATTTTTACTATTATAACGCAAGCGGAGGCCGCATACATTTCCCGCACTCAGGAGCATAGCAGAAGTGAGAAGGCAATGGAAATAGAGAAATAGAAGAAATATTTGTTTATGTTTCGACTGCCTTCATCCTCACCGCTCAGGTCCTTCCATTTACAGTGTTTACAATCCACTCCGGGACTAGGCACATAAGCAGCAGGAGGGGGCCGGGGCTTGTCTGGTAGCTCCTTTTTCTTAGGCATGAGCTCCTCGACAGCCCACAAGCAAAGCAAGGCTTTGTGTGTGTGCTGCAAGCAAAGCAGAAGGTCCAACGTGCAAACACCAGACCACTCTGGAGCAGAAACTAAAAAATGCACAGGCAGAGAAAAAGACTGCGGAACCCGATACACAATCACTTATTCTTGTTCTGGTCCCACCGCATAAACAAACACCTCATATTGCTTAGTCGTAGTGGGTGGTCTTGGCTTGGCTTCCGTTGATTTGACTTGGCCTGCCTGACTTGGCTTGAATTGGCGAGTGCCCACATTCCCACATGGCCCCTGCATTTCTGCAAGGTGGGCGCTTTGTACAAACACAAAAGCCATAAAAATGCTTTTTACGTTTTCTATTGCCCCTTCACGTGGCCCAGTAGCTAATAAATTCCCTTCCACGCCTCCACTTCTTTTCCCACCCGATGATCTGCATTGAGACGGAGGGATGGCTTTCTCCTCTGGCTTTCTCCAGACTCCGGGCCTAGTGGCTGAACTCAATTCCGAATATAACGCGAGGTGCATTTTGGAGCACGTAATTCTTTCTGGGAAAAAAAAAAACAACTCGCGTTATATTCGTGCAAATATAGTACATTGGCCAAAAGTTTAGTTTTTGGTGACATAGCAAATATTGGGTCAACAAAATAGATCTCGGCAACATTTTGCTGTAACGTCATCCCCAAAACCTGACCTGTAAACCCCCCCCCCCCCCCCCCCCCTACCAAAGAGCATGTAGATGATGACACAGAAGCAGTTTTGCCTGCCGCAGGCAAGGTTTCGGTTTTGGTTTGTGGTAAGCTTTAAAGGAAGACTGCACAAAAAAATATTGTACTTTTTTTTTGAAAAAAATTACATCGAACCGTTTATTACTACGTCATGATATATTTGTCAGCCATTAACTCAAATTTCTTGGAATTTACCGAAGTTGCCCTTTAAGTTGAAAAATATGTTTTGAGGTTTGGTTGGGATTGTTTGTAGCAGTCAGCTCTTCCAGCAAGGTCTTGAGTGGCTTTCTTTTTGTGCTCAATATGCCCAAGCTTGGTGCATCATGTACAGTTGCTTCACTTCAGCTAACTACTAAACATCTTTTGTTGTTTGCCAAGTTATGAGACGGAGTATGGCCTTGAGAATAATCCGTCTGCATTCACGAAAGGTGGAAAAGGTGTTTGATGAGGCTAGAATTTCCTTTCCTGCTGAAATGGATGAAAGAATTCTTCACTTATGCCCCTCTCCCCCTCCACAAAAACAAAAAATTAAGTTTCATAAACTAAGTAGTGACATTTTTTGTCAGTTTAGTTCATCCCAACTTACATTCTTATTTGTCGTTTCAACATTTCTGACTTGCATTATCAGCATTTACTTGCTTCTGCAGTAATGTTTTTTCTCCTCTTAATATGTGCGTATAAAAGGCTATGGTCAGTGTACAAAAAAAATTCATTTATTACACGTATCACTATTCCATTTCATTAGAACAAGTGCTTGCATCAGCCTTCCAGGCTTACCTCCAGTTGGCTTTACTATATTCATATCTTGACTATCCTGTGAAACTTTTTCATAGTAATTTTTTTAATGTATGTTGCATCATTGTCTTCATTACATGAACTTTTTCAAATATTCCTGTATTACAAGCTTTCTCTAGCTTTTCACTGTAGTAAGACAACTTGGTTATGGCAAGCCTAGAAAGGTTATTTGATGCATTTCAGTTACTGATAAAGTAAAACTACTAGCATACTAAATGTGACATCTCTCATTAATTTATTATTTTTATAGGGAATCTTTATAGTAGAAAGGTGCAGCGCATTACTAATGTTACGCCACCCAAATGATGTCACAGTTGCATGAGCTGTGGACAGAAAGCTTTACGTTTTGCTGCTTGACAAACATACTTGCGACCCTATGTTACATTTGAGGATGTGTATGTTGCTAACAGATTTAGGTAGTTGTAGTTATGGGTCATCAACGAATGCAGTGGAGAAACTGAGGTATAATATTATGCATTTCAGTAGGCTCATTGTTACCAGATGCTTAGCTACCCTGTGAGAGACCTGTAACGTTTTCGGGGTAAATGCATGGCACTGTCTGTTTTGTTATAGCCTTTTTCGTTTTTTTGCAAACAACTAACTTGTTTCTTGAATTAGACAAAAAGAAACTGTTTTAGAATGTGCCATTATGGAATAAAATGTTAAACAGTATTGGAAGAAGAGCAGTGCCGGATTGTTGGCAAAGGTTTTCCACCCCTCGGTGCTACCATTTATTTAGGGAGGCAAATGCCGGTTTCCAACATCTGCATTCAGTCTGGGAAATTTGTCACATAGCTAATGAACATTGCCCATTTTCTTTATTCAATAGTTTTAGCCACTAGTAAAAGCCCTAGTTTAAATTTTAGGAAAAAAAAAAAGTTTTTCTTTATTTTTAGAAGGATTTAATAATGAAGCAATGCTTTCTTTCTGTCGTACGACAGCTAGATTTTTCTGTTCTCATTTGAGTTGAGCAGAATTGTAGGTAATCGGTCGGCACATTCAAGGGCTCTACGATTCATAAATTTTGAATAAAACCAGTTGACCGATACAATCACTTGATTTAGAAAAGCAAAGCTTCTCATTGGGGCTTAGCCCTAATTATAGCTTGGTTCCACCCACCCAGACTTTCTCTCTAATGAAACGGCTACATTATAGTTGCATTTGGAAGGTGTTACGGAAACAGTAGTCTGTCATGAAGTGTGTTGTGTGCTGTATTTTGAGGTGTGTTCTCTTGCTTTTGCCACATGCTGCATGTGGGCATGCTCATTCCCCCCGTGTGGTGTGCCTGCCCCTTGTTTCTCCCCACCCGTTGTCTGCATCCAGAAACCACAAGATGCGGGGTCCCTAAACAAAATGTACACTAGGCAGGGCTACCTCCTGCTGATGGAGAAGAGTAAGTGCAGCCTCCGTCTGCTTTCTCTTCCATTGCCGTTTTTTTGCTCATTGATTTTGGGGAGCGAGTCCGTCCCGCGAAAGTTTGTGCCTTACTATTTGGTCGAAACTTGCTTGATCTCAGCTTTTTTATCCGATTGTGATAAAGTTGCAGTGAAGTTACAATCTATCCACTCCACTTCCAGAAGTCAAATTTATTCTTAGCACGGCCAACCTCGAGTGCATGTTGTTTCTTTTGTACATAATTACAAACTGCTCTTTCGAAATGGCCACCAGAACTCCAGAAGTATGAAGTGTAGCCATTTGAGCTTGAGTGTGAACAGCGAGAGGTATGTGAGAACTTCCTTTTCAGGCCGTTTCGACGGAATACTAGTTACTTATTTGCTTGTTTGCTTATGAACAGTGGTACAATGTCTGCTTATCAAAGGTGGTACCGTAATATACCGACAGATAGGCCACGTGAAATCGAGAGCAAATCTCGTAAAAATATGGAGTGGGCTAACTTTCGGTGTACAGCCAAGAAAAGTTGAAGAAATGCTATTTTTAGGTCATGTGTCCCTTCCATGCTTGTTATGGTGGCGAGGGGCAATGAAGCAAGGATGACTGTACTTTTCAGTCAGTAATGTTCGCTTGTACCCCGCCATAGCTAACTAGCTGCATTTACACCAAGGCCATTATTGATCCCAACACTACTATTACTAGGGGTGGGCCATCTTTTGGTGTCTAAAAAAATATAGTAGGTCAAGCCAAACATAGCGATGGGCTATCTTTTGGGGTGGGGCATCTGTCGGGATTTTATGGTAGTTCATTTAAGATCACAAATGAAGAGTCCATGCAAGATTCTTTGCTTTCGCTCTATGAGGGTTCTTTGTTCTTTAATTGAGAGTTGACAATACTTTGACCTTTCCAGAGCACATCTCGACAATATGGAGCAAGCATTACTGCCAGTACCAGAAGGAGAATCGCAAGTTTACCATGATCCCCTACTCGCAGACAGTGGGCAAGATTGTGAGTGACCCAGGATGCCATTTAAATCATGATTAATCCATAATGCTTTCCTTGCCTAGCAGACCTTTGCTTGCATTTTGATATACCCTATGTGACACACAGAACTGGGATGCGGCATTTGACTGTATAAAATATCAGTGACCCGTCGTTTTTAATGGTGCTGCGTGAATATTTGAAGTTTCGAATATTAGGCTATTTGAAATTAGCTTCGATATGAACTATGATATTCATACTTTTCCAAGTGTCGATTGCGGCATAAGAAAGAGTGCAGGGGGAAAAGGGCAGAAAGTAGGAAAGCTGAAGTAGAGAAGAGTGACCTCCTTTCCACAACCACTTTTCTTGTGCACGCCCCTCTCGCGCTCACACTGTCTTTCTCGTGTTGTATTTGACTGTAGCCCCGTTGAGAGCGCTTCTTATCGACAACGGGTGTAGTAGGAGAAGCAACACCCGCAGAAACGAGCTCCGCAGATGTCGTTTCTTTGCAGTGCACCAGTGCTTGGAAAGAAGCACCCTCAACGGGCCTAAACCGCTGCAATCAACACTTCGAAAAGTACAATATCGCAGTGGCGTGTACTGCAGAAAAGCTGACTTTGAAAGCGGGACTGTGCATGTGTGCGCCTGGTGTATTTAAAAAGAAACACTATTTGTAAAACTTGATACCTGCATTGCAGTAACCTTTTCAAGATTAGACTGTGAGCATAATGCAAGAGTACATGTTCAGAGATGCCCTGACAACTTGTGCCTATCATTTCAGATACTTTCTTTGTTCTTATTCGAGATTGTAGAAAAAATATTTGCATTTGGAAGATTTATAAATCCTCTTGATTAGTTAGGAGTGTCATCCCCATAGGTTTAATTTTAGGTATGTCAAATATGTTGTTTTCTTACCCGCTCAATATAGGCATTGGACTTTCTGAGGCCACAGTCCATAGATATATACTAGTTAGCTTAAAATGAACTTAGCTTCGAAAGGGATAAGTGGAAGCTGGGGAACAACCTTTACACGTTCAACTGGGTTTTTGTTTAAGCATGGCGCTACAGCGGTGAGAGACTTGGAGAAACTATTCAATATTTGATTAAAAAATATTGGTCCAAAACTACTATTCGCTTTGAATTCGCTTCAAACTCAAAATCCTCTATTTGCACAGGGCTAGTTTTTAACCAGTACTATTATAGGAATGCCGATTTTGTATACATCCACCATAAAAGATATCTGCAATGTTTATGTAGCGGTTTCATTACTTCTTTGGTGCATCTGTTATTTGTTGGCTGCCATGGGCAGTTGATTAAAGCAAGGGGATAGTTATCTTTGCCAGCTGTTCAGAGTTAATGAATTTGGTGTCTGGTATCATTTTGTCATTGAGTCCTTTTATGTGCTTCGTTCGGTCTCAAAATTTACGCTTTGCACTCATGCATTTGTTTTTTTTCTTTTCATTTTCTAGACAACAACAGACACATTCATCCTCAAGGAATGTATCAGGTGAGAGGCATTTGAACCCGCTATCTTCGTCATAGTTCGCCTCGGTTTAAGCAATTTGCAAGTGGTGTAATTCCTGAGGCAGTGCTCGTACGCATGGCCTTTAACGAGATAGAGTAAATATGCCACAAGCATTATTTTGCTTCTAAATCAGAGTGGTAGACATTCTGTTTAAATTTGGAGTTGGAGAAGGCAAATGCATAGAACTCGTCACTCTTGCTTTTACCAGTGCTTCGAGACACTTGTCCTTACAAAAAGAAAAGACACTCATTTGGAAATTTAAAAGAAAATTCCCTAGCTTCCCAAGCTGTCTGGTGATAGAAATATGCGTGAATTAAAGGTTTTGAAGTCTAATGTTTCATTAAACCGCTCGGGACAAACACCAAGCATTTTCTGCCCTCTCGCAGCATTCGGGTTGTTGCAGTAGAAGAGTGGTTCTCAAGCACGGATGTGTTGGGGGCCCCTTGGGGACCCGCCAAAATGATGGGGGGGGGCCCATGCCAGCGAGGGAAAGGGAAAGGGGGGGGGATTGTATAAAATGAGACAGCTAATTGCAGTATGAAAGGGGCATCCTTTACTGTTATAGGCAGGAGAAGCGAAAAGCATCTAGTAGAAGGATGGATAGATGGTAACGGCTGCATTCTTTATAACGGGTGGTAGCTTGCGTCACCTAAACAAAATCAACAAAAAACTTTTTTTTTTTTTTTCAAGAAAGGGGGGTTGTGGGTTGAGGTGAGAACTTCGCGAACCCCAAATAGGACTTTATGGACCCCGGCGGGTCTGCGGAACCCCATTCGAAAACCGCTGTAATAACAGCTTCCTTGTGATTTGAGCGATCTATTATCGAAATAACGGAGAAGATGCAGAAGAGGCGCTGAGCTTTCAACATCTTAAACATCCGAGACTTGGGATTAAAGAGTGGACAGCAGACACATAGGTGTGTGCGTTGTCTGCTTTTCATTCTTTAATTTCGGGGGTTTAATCTGTTGGTCTATTATCGCTCACAAGCGCCTTCTTTCGTTGTCGGTTGGCAACACCCAAGAATAAGAGAGGTGCACTTTGAACGTGTGTGCATGCAGCATTTGTCGTTCGTCTGCCTGGTGGGGCCGGGTTGATGAGCGTTCCCTCCACGACCTCCCCGCACAGGCGCATCCACGAGAGCATCGACAAGCGGTTCTGCTTTGACCTGACGACGGCGGACCGTCCCAACGCGACGACGTACACGTTCCAGGCGCTCAGCGAGGACGACTGCAAGCACTGGCTAAATGCCATGGACGGCAAGGAGCCTGTGAGTGCGCGCAGGTGGCACCGGTGTTCTCGTTTTTGCCGCATTATTGAGGGACTTTGAGGCAGGCTCGTGAGCTCTCTTTCCGGTGCATGGCCTTTTTCAAACACGTCCGATAGCTAAAGGTTTCGGGGAAGTACTTCTTAGGCTCCTGATCCTGCTTGCAATCTTAAAACACTTACTACTACAGGAAGCTCGAAATTGTCTCTAATGTCCCTATTGAAAATTCCATCAAGCTACGTAATTTGGGACACTGACTGCCAGTCAGCAGCCTTGGTGGAACGTGATGGACCATCAGACGTCATCTGATGGTCCATCAGATGACGTCTGACTGCCACTGCCAAGGGAATTTTATCAACAAGGGCAGCATTTATATAAGAGTAAAGCTATACGCACTCATAAATATCGCCAAATGCCTCGATAAAACAAAATGTTCGAGAAAAAAAAAAGAAAAAAAAAAAAGCAGGACCACCGCGGATCGAACCCGCGACCGCTTGCGTACAAATCGGGCACCTTAACCGCTATGCTACACCACCGCTAGAGACACTCGATTTGACTATTCGTTTTATACGAGATGCTTCGGCTGCAAATGCAGTTAAGCCGTCAGCATGTTGTGCAAAGCACTCGTACATCACTCGCCGTACTTCAGTTCTACTCACCTGCCATGTAGAGTACTTTCGCGTCGTAGAACGATCCTTCTGTTCGCGCGTCATCGGCCCAGTAGACCTGGTACACCTTGTCGTCTTCAACTACACCGCCAAAGTCCCTTACATCGCCGGAACTCACAACAGGCTGGGTCTTGTCGAGTAGAAATTCTACTAAAACATAAGTCATTGTAGAGCCCGGGCAGGATCGACAAGTTGGAGCAAGCGGGCAAACAAAACGAGTCGAGAGCAATCGTTCATGAAAGCTCGGCGAAGTCTCTATGGGCGAAGCGAAGTCGGCGAAGTGTCGTGTTCGGCGCTTCGGCGGGCTTCTGATCAAGGTTGTCGGTCGGTTGCATGTCATATCTCTAACGTCAGCGGTTTTATAGGCTCACGTCCTGAAATCGTTTTCTCGTGCATAGATTACTTTTCGTATTCATAGATTTGACGAAATAGTGGTATCCGAACGGACTTTACGTCCTTTGACCGTACTTCTGTCTGCATGTCAAAGCTTTCTGACGTACAGTCAGAGACAATCGATGTACAGTCAGAATCACCACCAAGACATCCTGATGGCATTTCGCGGCGGCCGACTGCCACCAGGAAACCATCAGAAAGCCGACAAGCGGGGTCTGACTGGAGTTTGACTGTCGGTCAGAGTAACTTGTTGGCCAATCAGACATGCTTGACGTACAGTCAGGCACAGTCAGCGGTCCACTAGAAAACATTGACTGCCAAACAGCGTTACATTGATGGATTTTTCCTTCGGGGTCTGGGATTGTGCAAATATTTGAATTTTCTAACAGTAGTTTTTAATGGTATGCTTTCTATATTTGTTTCGAGATGAACTGCAATGTTCATATTTTGCGATGTTTCAATCATGTGCTTAGGAGGAAAGCATGCTTTTAAAGCTGGGCGGTGCACAAGCGCATCTGGGGTATATAAAAGGAAACCGAAACTTCCGGAATTGATATCTACACTACATTAAAATTTCCAAAAATTAGACTGTGGCTATTGTGCAAGAGTATATGTTATGCAGAGAGTTTCCGACGACCTGCATTGATTATTCCTGACTGTCTATTTTTATTTTTTTTTTTTTTATTTGAGATTTCAGAAAGGATATTTACATATAGCGAGAGTATTTGTAAATTCTCTTGATTAGGTATGGCCAGGCATATCTATAGGTTTATTTGTATGTCAAATATGTTGTTTACTCACCATTCCAATCTAAACTTTGAACTTTCCGAGTCCACAGTCCATAAATATAGTTATATTAAAATGAACTTAGCATAGAAATTGGATAAGTGGTACCTTGGGAACGACCTTCACGAGTTCAGCTGGGTTTTTTTTTTGTCTAGGCATGTTGCAGTAGTGAAAAGCTTGGAGAAACTGTTCAATATTCAATTCGAAAATATTCGGCCTGAACTACTATTCGCTTTGAACCTGAAAATACACAATTATGGGACAGCCCAACAAATCTTTTTCTTTTATTGCATCTTGCACATAAACCGATTCAACTGTAGCGTTGTGCTGACGTAAACAACTCTAACAGCTTGAACTCGGTCAGTTGGCATCGGCTTTTTTCTACGTCTTTTACCGTAAAGGCTTGCCGTATTGCTGTGTCATCTTTCTGTTGAGAATGGCAGTCTGATAGCAAACAGAGGTGCACTTTTAGTGTTTACTTTCCAAACAAGATCATGGCAAAAGAGGAACAAAAAATTAGTTTGAGAGATGAGTCCATTCAAAGAGTAGAAGATATTAAATATCTAGGAGTGACTCTTCAATCTTTTTTCATCTCGAATGCACACGTTGAAACAACATGTAAGAAATTGGGACATATTTGAATCACACCTTATTTAAGACCGGGCAGCGTTTTCATTCGAAAACATTAAAAATAATATACTCAGTATTTTTCACAGTCGTCTCGAATATTGTGTAGATTCTAGGAGATTTACATATCAAACTTATTTTCAACCAATAATGATGCTTCAGGAGCGGGCATTGTGAATAATATGTACTAGTTATAACGCTAATTCAGCTATTTTATTTCAAAACAATGAATAATGCCATTTCAAATGTTAAGAGATTATAAAGCAGTAATTCAGGTACGTAATATTCCAGTGAATAATACACCATTCCCATCTTCCGCACTTATACAATCACGTAGGGTCACGAGAAACATTATAATAATTATACTCCACCCTATAACAATGCATACGGTAAGCTTTTAATACAGTATACAGGTACGAAACTTCGAAAGTCATTAAGTCGGAACATAAAAGAGACGAGATAAATTATACTGACTCTAAAAAAACACTATTTAAAAATGCTATGAAAAGCTAATATAATTCATTGAATTTCATTTGTGCTGCACAAGCATATGCGCCAGGATGAATCCGCATTCCTTATTTGTTCATACAGGTATAAATCCATAACTAGCCAACTAGGCTAAGGATCCAGATGCGACTGCAGCATTTTCAATGTTTTACTGAAGCTGAATAAAGACTGATTGATTGATTGATTGAATTGATTCATGTGAGTAAACCTTTTTTTTTTTTTTTTTTTTTTTTGCAGAGTTCTACACCACCAGGACGAGTCACAAGGCAGGAAGGATGTAAGGGATTTTTCGTGAAGTTCTCCACCCCAACATTGTCAGCCTCGCTCTTGGAACGTTTGCCTCAGCCTTGGAACGCTTGGAATGTTTGGAACATTTGAATCTGCCTCAGCCTTGGAACATTTGGGTAGTTTTGGTACTGCCCAAAATTGCCAATAGAAGCCTCGCTTGGGGAAAGAGAGTTTTTCACTGCACTGGAACTCAACTTCTCTATCTAGTGATTTTGATATCTGTGCCAAAGCTGTCTTCACCCTAGTGGGGTTTATTTTGAGACGTGTATCAGTAGATGCCAGTGTAAAGTGGATATGTACCTACACTGTGCAGCGCACTTAGCACAAACAAGCAATCATTGTTTTTTTTTCTACGTATAGAGTTGAAATGCTGTCATCCAAAGTACCGGTGTAACCTAAGGTGCTCACTTGGGGCAACCTTCAATTGCCTTCAATACCCTTTTGAATTAAAATGCAAAAAAAGTATACCGATGTCGTGTTCGTGCTGACTGTGTTGCGCAGTGTGTAGTTTTTACGTTCGGTAACGGGGGAGCAGAACACAGCACCGTGAATTCGGCTAAGGTTTCTCAAAACACGTACAGTCTAAGCTTGTTATAACAGACATCTGGATATAACATACCGATTTGTGAAGTTCGGTTGGTTTTCCGCTACGTACCATTGACTCGACTTCATATCTGCATACAACATACTCCTTTTACAACAGACCGAAATCTTGGTCGAAATCAAGGTCTGGTATAACGAGATTCGACTGTAGTTTGAGTTAATGCTTCCCAAAGGGATCATTCCTCTCTTGGACCTTCGTCTCATTGGTCTTCAACGCTCGCCTGCAGGCTTACTGGACGAGAACGGCTTTGCCTTTGTGAAGGGCTGCATCGACGCCATTGAGGCCAGGGGCCTGGAGGACCAGGGGCTGTACCGGATTGTGGGCGTGAGCTCCAAGGTCACCAAGCTCACCCAGACCGCCTTTGGTGCGTCTTTCCATCACGTTTCTTCTTTTCTTCTAATTTATTTAGGGGGGCAAATGGCGGGATGCTGTGAAGAGAGCAAAGTGAATCAAACTAAAGGGTTTTCATGCGTGATCTCCTGGTGTTTTAAAGCAGCTATTGGCAGCACTGTTTTTAATGCAAAATCTGTTTTAGGGCTAAGTTTCAAACCTGGGGCATCACAAAATGTTATTAGAAAAATAAAATATGGTAACACAACTAGCTGTGTCTACAAAAAACTGTGTCCCTTGGTGCGAATCGTAACGCTGATTTCTCGCTCAGTAGTCCGATACCCTGTGTCCTTCTCTAGCAGAGTGTCTTTAATTAAAATGGGAATTCCTGGTATATAGGTAGCCGTATTGCCATAAAAACCTTTTCCACACGGGTGGCAGGAGCTAAAAAAAAACTGCCCGTTCTATGTCTCAACTTTATCTTTAAGAGCCGTTCAAACTTTTTCTGACATTGTCTCTGTTACTTCGTATAAACGCAGTTCAATTTCATTCTCGTCTTCTTCTTTCTCCACCTGTTCTCTTATTTATATATTTTTGTTCCCCCGTTTTGCCGCATCTGGGGCTTGTTTTCCCCGCCTAATGACTCCCCATTCCTCGGATGTTAGTAAAGGTTAAGTGACCTTGTGTGGCGTCGTAACCTCTCTCCCGTAGATCCGAAGAGGACGGAAGGCGTGAATCTGATGGACCCTGAAGAGTGGGAGGTCAAGACCATCACAAGTGCACTCAAGAACTATTTCAGGTGAAGGGGAATTCACCAGTGACTGCACTCGTCTGCATGGCTTGCATCTGAGCTCTCACCTTCAGTCACCTTTCAAGAGCTTGGTTTTCACTTTTTCTGTGACCGTTGTTTGTATGTAGACGACTAACTGCTCACTTCTGACAAACGTTTGTGCAAATGCACGTTCCCACCTTAACATAAGAGGGCACATTAGTAGCGGCAGCTCATAATAAACAAGGACAAAAGGACAGCACTGTGTTTGTCCTTCTATGTGTCCTCTCCTTTTGTCCTGGTTTATTATGCGCTGTTGCTACTAATATAAACTCTCACCAATTTGCCCAAGCTTCCATCTTAATAAGAGGGCATATCATTTACTGTTCCTGTCTGCGAGAAAAGTTGGAACATTTTTCAAGAGCTTCATTTTTTGCAGTGATTGTCTTATAGTCGATGATAAAAATTGGGACTACGGTATAATCTCTAAGCTGAATGCCAACAAACTACTTGGCATTTTCATTTACTTATGCTTTTCAAACTGTCGAGAAGGTCAGAAGCTACTTTCACGGTGTTGTCTGCTGTCGTTAGAGTTAGTGAATCACAGTTTTGGCTGAAAGCTTTTCCACATTGTGTGAAAATATTGTTTGTTTTTAATGCGGAAGCGTTAACTGGGGGTCTCATGGAGCGAGTTGACGTCATCAGCTTTGAAACCACGCCAAACGGCTTTTTTACACCGCTTCGATCCCATCGGCTAGCGCGCGTCCACAGCCAATGGCACCCTTTACACCGCTGCCATCCCATTCGCTAGCGCGCGTCGACCAGGCTTTCATTCACCGGACACGCAGCGCCATAGGGTGGCCAGTCGTTGAAGCTGACGCTGCGCGTCAGTTTCAACGACCGGCCACCTCATGGCGCTGCGTGTCCGTCAGCGCTAGAGTTCCTGTGTAGGCTCCCTACAGAGCCAGAGTTGTGCGTTCATCTCTGCAGCACCGTCTTTCCTGCACGGCATGCTGATCCCGCTCCTCACGTGACTGAGTTTGGCAAATGGTGCCGCGCGTTCGAGGCGCGCAGCACACTCAAAAGCAGGGGAACGTACACCGCGGCACATGCAACGGCTGCTTTCCTGCACGGCACTTGATCCGGCTCCTCACGTGATCGGATCTCGGCGCATAGTGGCGCGGTAGCACGTGGAAAACAGACGCCCAATTGTGGCTCCCGTAGGGAGCCTATACAGGAACTCTAGTCAGTGCCAGTCAGTGCGCCAACACGCGTAGAGCAAGATTGATGTACATGCTTTCTCATTCACAACTCATAAGGAGTGCATAAGTGTACCTCAATCTTTTTTTACGCTCGAGGTCGTTACTGCTGCGACGTCTCATTGCCTTCAAACCCCTTCCCCTTGCAGAAACCTGCCTGAGCCTCTGATGACGTTTCGTTTGCACACTGCCTTTATTAGCGCTGCCAGTAAGTCGCCCCCTCCCTTTAACCGCTGTACGAGCTTACTGATTCATTCAGGGGCGTCGGAAATTTTTGGTCGAGGTTGGGGCGGCGGCAATTTCGCCCCCCATACCCTGTATTGTTTCCTTCAAATTTCTGAACTGTGAGAGAAGGGGGTTTCCCCCCCACCGCCCGCCCTTTTCCGACGCCACTGGATTTATTGGCACAGTTTTGTGCGCGTCTACCTTGTACCAAACTTGGGGGTTGGGAGCTAACTTCTTGAAAGTGATTGTCTCGAAAAGTAAGTGCAATCTTGTTCCCCACAGGACTGCCTTTTCACTCTTGGGATGATAGCATGTGTGCCTTCGTAGTCTTGCAATCAAACTCACTCATAGGCAGCACCTTTGCCAAGTCAAGTGTTTCTCTTGTATTGGTTGCTTGTTATAGTGAGTGTTCTACCTTTATGCATAACGTGGCTTACTTCAGATTTATTGTTTTCTGTGTACAGGATGCTTCTTTTAAGACCAGGATTTTTCTTTTCTTTTTTTTAAAAAGGAAGGTAGCATAATGGTTATAGAGCCCTGGGGCTAAATTGTCCCATAGCCAAAATTGGGTTAATAACCTAATTAACTCAAAAGCTTTACTTAACTCTTTCAATTTTCAGTTTTAGGCTATAATGCAGCGGAAGGACTGACGCTCGACCTCGTCTAGCTGTGCCGTAATATATTGATTAAACAATTTGCAGTCATTGCTACGGGGCGAGAAATGTTGCCTTGCATACGACTTCAAAGCGAAACTAAGCGGGCAAAGAGAGCCCAGGACGTCTGTGCCTCTGCTCTGCATTTCTGTCACACTGATCACACCACCTTCGGTGCGGACAGGTGGTTTTCAGAGCCGGCGCAAAGTGGAGGAATCGAAGTCGCGGGCGCTCTTTGCTCGCTTAGTTTCGGTTTGAAGTTGCATACAAGGGGGACATTTCTGGCACCTGTTTTAATCAAACTTTCATGTTGCGACTAAATCATAAGGAGGTTAAGGACGGACACTACCCAGATGGTATTATTGTCCTTCCAAATTGAAATGGACAGCATAGAGTACAATGTTAGTTACGACAAAGGGGACAGAAAAAAGTTTCAGCTGCGTAGACGAGTTGTGAAAGGAATTACAACAGTTCCCATCATACACCCACATTGCTTAGTTAATCTATCGCAAGAAATCTAATTCAATATTCATTAGTTTTTTTTACCTGATGCAAAGCACAATGCCTGAAGAGTGCACCTGTGGAAACATTTTTGTCAAGTAATTTCTTTCTCTAAAACTGTTGTTTTGCAAAATCAAGCTATCTTTTTTAGCCTCTGTGTCTCCAAACAAATGTTGTTGTTTTTTTTTTCTTTTTATACTTGACATTCAGAAAATAAAAAAACAAAAACATTCTACGGATGCATTTCATATGAAATTTCAGTGAGAGAAACAAAAGAATATTCCTTCTTGTTCTCTTGTGAAACGGCACATTAGTATCTAAAATGAAACCTATATATTGAAGCCATGAAATGGTGGAAAATGCATTTAAAGTGTCCACATTTTTATCATTTATATAGCATCAAGGCACTGCAAATAATTGATAGCAAGATAACTGTGCATCAGAAATGAATCAAACTTTGTTTCAATATTCTTTAGATGTTAGTGGACCCAAATATAATTTTTCAAAATCAACAATTTTTTTTTTTTGCCAAAATTTATTTCTTATGTTATGACCCATTTAAAAACATGCGGAGGAAAAACAATTTAAACAAACTAAATGAAAAAAAGATGTGATAAAATAAATTTGCAACGAAAAATAAAATCTTTTTTTAGCTACATTTACGGCCTGAAACGAATTTGTAGGTGGTGCCCACGGAAAAGTTAATGTCAAGTGACTCGCCATTAGTCGTGGTAGACCTGCGCGCCGTTGCCACTGAAGTCCCCAGATGCCCCATGCTGCCACAGCACGCTGAGCGTTTTGCGCCACCGGCTGAACGCATTTTATTTTCTTTTTCTTATGTGCAGAAAGTAATTTAAAATATTTTTTTAAATAAAAATTAAACTCTTCACAAATCCTATCCTATCCGATCGAAAAAATAAAAAAAAATTATAAATTTTGAAAAAAGTCATTATGATCATCACGACTTTTCTCCATGCCGGAAGGGAACACTCCGGCGCGCCGTTTTCGTCAATTTCAGACCAGCGCACTGGTCTATCACGTGGCACTTGCACTCTTTTGGGAGCTTCCTATGGTCTCTAAGAGTTACTTATTCGTATTCTTATTGCGGTTAAAACGACAATAAATTAGTATCTTTTAGAGACCATAGGAAGGCTCCCGAAAGAGTACAAGCATCACCTGACTAGTGGCCAGTCAGGTGACTTTAGTAGCCACCATGGTTGCCAACTACAAACTGGTTCCGCACTGTAAACGAAACCCTAAAAAAAATGTTTCTTTCGTTGTAAATTTTATTTTATGACAATCCTTTTCCAGCCAGTTTGATTAAAGAAAAACTTTTTCCTTTGCATATGTTTTTTAAGCGTGAATTCTCCCCATTATGCCTCAAATGCACATTATGCCCCCGGAAATAAAAAGTTTCCAAAGTAAAATTGAAACTCTCGAACTAACGGTAATGCTTGGGCCTCTCAGAGCAAGAGAACAAGGCCCAGAGGATGTCGGCAATCGAAACTCTCGTCGGTCAACTTCCACCCGAGAATTACCGCATGGTGGCCATGCTGGTTCAGCACCTCAAGAAGTGAGTGGTCCTTTTCCGGCATTCCGGTTGCGACGACGGTTTCTTGTTTGCGGGATGTTGCCGTGAAATACCGAAAAAGAACCTACCCGAATTTTGCTGAAAATGGGGCCTAAATTTTGAAAAGCAAGACAGCTGCTGTTACAGGAACATTCAAACCAATTAAAAATGCTTTTGGGGTTGTTTGTTAAAGGAAAGAAAAATGGTAGGTACGTAAACTGCAACATTTACAGCAATGTCTCCGAGTCTGAACTCGGTCATCTAGGAAGCTTTCGTGCCACAAATTAAACCTCCACAAGTGTTGTGTATCTCTGAGTCACTTGTCTCGAAATTGTGAAAGTTGACAAAAGATAGTTTTCTGCTTCAACAATTGAAGTAAACCTTATTAAATAATTCCCACTGAAAAAGTGAGTTCATTAAGAGTATACAGCCGTCGGAATGCAAGGGCATTTTTCTTTCTTTTTGGAGATGTATAGAATTAAGTGTGAAAAAAGAGGTGGAGTGGAATCATGGACCTATGTCAGTAAAGTATAGTAGCTTTTTGTTTTGTTTGTATGCTTTTGTCAGATTAAATACGAGAATATTTTGGCAAAGGACAGTTTTCAGACGCTCGATACGTTCCACTATCTGGCTATGAGTTTCTCCCCCCATTTTACGAAAATATTGGCGTTGCTACAACTCCACTTGGATGCATCTGTCGTTCAAATTCATTACAGAAAAGTTTGGCACCACCTTCCACAGTCAAAAGCTTTAACTTGCTTTACAACATTTTGCGGTGTTCTTGCTTTACGGAGCAGTTTATTTTTGATCACCAAAAAACTGGAACCTGTCGTTAAATAATCGGCAGCATGGGACAAACACACGAGCCTTTTAAATGGCCTAAGCACTTCTGTTAGTGTGTATGGTCTAGTCTCCGGTGTTTTGTAGTTTTGCTCAGTCATTTGTTCGTCTCGTACTCCTAACCTTTTTCAGTGCCAGATGTCGTGATGTCTGTCTAAAATGTTTCTGCCTCGACACTCTGTAGGAATGTTTGCGAGCTCCGTGTTTTGTTTGCGCGTCGTCGCCCAATGTTTGACAGGAAACACTGACAGTTGTTTTGCGTGGGGGGGGGGGCCCAGAGTTGCCTGCTACGCCAGCACCAACCTGATGACGGTGTCGAATCTGGGCGTCTGCTTTGGCCCCACGCTCCTGCGTCCCGAGGAGGAGACTGTCGCAGCCATCATGGACATCAAGTTCTGCAACGTTGTCGTGGAAATTCTCATTGAAAACTGTGATAAGGTGAGGGGCAGCAGGGTCAATCGGCTCTTGGCAGATCACCCGGTGGGTTGTGAGAGCCCGTGAGACCTTCTGGCGACTCGTGAGAACTCGCGAGTTCTCAAGAAGGCTACGATGATTGGTTTTGTCCATGCACTTAATAAATTCCTAGATAAAAAAAAAGAAAGGAGTTAAATTTTCTAGAAATAGAAACACAAGATCCCGAAATATAAATTGAGTCTCTAAAATCTTTAGAAATCGAGGCATAAAATAACTAGGTAGCTCGAGAAAAATCCCTAAAAGTAGGGACATGGCATCTGTACATAGAAATGAAAAGCCTTTAAAAATCGAGTCACGGTGTCGCATGACCATCAGGAAAGCATGTTGTCGTCTGACATCAAGGTGTCACAAGACAACCGTCATGCTGATGACTGTCAACGTCATTGAGGCGACATTTCGAACATGGACATTACACTGCAAAATATGGCTTCCTAAGCGTAAAAAAAGAAATGTGCGTTTAACACGAATGTTGTTTTCCCACCGTCTGCCTCGACAGATGTTGAAAATGCCCCCTTCCAAGGCAGAGACAAAGTCGTTGCTGGGCGGCAGGCCCCACGAAGCCAACCACTCCACGGTGGAGGCCGTCCAGAGAGATCGCCCGTCCACAGTCTACCCTCCCCCCTCCCACCCGGACACGGGGCAGGGCTACTCTTCCCCGGCGCTACCTCTTGAACAGGCAAGTCTCCTTCGCTGTCATTTTTAAATACCGAAATTGCCCGACTCTAACACGCACACAGTTTTCAGACCCGAAAATGAGGATTCAAACGTGCCCCAGATCCTAACGCGCACCTGGTTTTCAGGCTCAGTATCTCATTTGTCACTGGCATTTGGTCAGCTCTGAGCATTCTTGCCTCTTTGCTTTCGCCAATCACGAACAGAAGTTTCGGGCACACCAGAAGTATGCGAAGCGGCTCTGTTGCCATTCGTCTCGGTGAATAAACAAACTTTCTTCTTAAGGTCGGCCTCGTAATGGGAACGCCGCGCCTTCACTGGTGCAGTGGCCATTTGAGCTCCGCAAGTGTGGGTCGTGTCAGTGGCACTGACAACAAAGCAAATCGCTAGAGAAGGGAGCTCGTCAAGTTGCGAAATTCAAGGCGAGATTGCTGCCATGATTGTCCGAGACTCAAGTGTTGCGCAGAAAAGCTATACCGCCACCTTGTAATAGCAACGACAGTGGGACTGTTTGTAGCGCGATTTCGGTTTTTGTTCCGATTTCCTCTTCTATTGTAAAGTGCCTGACATTTCTAGCTGTATCTTTCTTGAAAAAGATGTGCGGGTTAGGATTGGGTAATTACGGTGTGTGCGCCCAAGCCACGTCTCTGATTAACGCAGCCGCAAAAGGCTACTATGGTCTGTTTCACTTTACACGCGAGTGAAGCCAAAGCTACGAGCCCAATCTAAATTAATAATGCAGTGCACGGGGGTGGACTGAGAACAAGTAGAATTAAAACTGCGGTTTGGGACGGTTGTTCTGAAATGGCCATCAGGGTAGAAAACCTTAGAACGATAAACTGGCAGCTGAAAGTGACCCCCAATTGGCCGCCACCATGTTGCACAGTTTTTTACTATGTGACGTTATAGTTTTACGTCTATATTTTAACGAAATACTGCGCACAAGTAATTGCTTATTGATCTTTAATAACAGTACTGGCTAGATAAGTTATGTTTTGTTTGTTTTGAGTTCGAAATGTGCTCTTACGACAAAAGTTCGGGCAGCTTCGTAATGCCTCCGCTAGGTGCCGTCAGCCGCGGTGCTGTGTTTTGGGTTTTGATCGTAGCTAGACACTGATCTCTGGGGCAAACTGTATTGAATAAATAGTTTATCATGTTTTTTACGGCAATCGCAATACAAATTTTAGCTCAGTTTTGCCTAAAAGCCTCAGGATTTGGTACGGTCGCATGTCTAGTGGTCAAAGTTGTACAACATGGCGGCAGCCAAGTAGGGGTCACTTTTGCCTGGTGAACGGGACACCAGTTTATAACTCTAAGCCCCTCTACCTCATTGGTAATGGCATACAAGCACTGACCATTGCTTGTACACGTCGTTTGTGTTTTCTGCTTTACCTCATCTCTTTTGCACTTCTTAACATTTTGACAAGTAGAAGACAGACACAAACACAGGGTAGTTCTTCGTCTACATATCCTCGGGTCCTTCCTTGTACTGTTTCGTTTATTCCAGTCACACACCGACTTATCCGACTGTATTACACACCTTTTTACATGTATGAGAGTGTTACTACAAACAATGCTGAAAGTTCGGAGCTTGCTCTTGCAGCCACTGCAACGCTCACGCTTACATTGAAACCGACTGTAAACTCTTTAAAGGGGGAGGCGGCAGCTTTCATTATTTGGTTTCGTGGCGTCCCGGGCAGTAGCAGCGATTGAGTGGGAGCATTCAAAACTCTTGACGGTGAACCCAGGTTTGAGCCAAGTAGCCCCATGTGGCAGGCAGAGTACAGCCCATAATTTAACCGGGCCACATTCGAATTGCTCATTCTCAGCTTTTCCTCAGCCACGTTGCGACAAAATGTATTGGTATCGGAGCTGTTCCAGCCCTTCCTTACCCAATCCTTTGGAACGAATGGTCATTTCCTCGGTAGCCAACAATATGGGGAACATGTGGACCCTGTGAAAGTCTCATATTTTGAGGTATATTTAGGTTCAGCCAGGATTTATTTAACCTTTTTTCCAAGTAATCTTCAAAAAAGGTGTTGTTTTTTTGTCTCGTGCTACACTCGATTCTCGGCAATCGATAACCGTTTTGTCTGAATTTACGGTTAGGTGGAAGCACGGGTGCGGTCCAAGATCTTACGTACGAGTTTGTAGGAAAAAAATGCACGGTAGTTTGAAGTTTAGCCTCTGCGTGTAATTTAATTTGATTTGTTCTCTCGTGTGCTCCAAAAGTCTGGCAGCGATTTTCGCAAATGCAAGAAGCGAGCTGTACCGTATTTTCCAGACTACAGTTCGCACCCAGTGCCTCAACTGTGTAGAACTGTATTGGGGTCACTAATTCAAGTGTAATTGAGCGTCTTCAACGAAAATTAATTTCTGTATTCTTTTATCATTATTTTCAACCAAATTATTTCTACAGTTACGAAAGGATTCGTGACCTCATGAAATTGGACACGTTGCACAACAGGACGACGATCCGTGAATTGATGATTCAGTATAAGATTGGAAATGGTTCAATTGATTCGCCAGCGCTACTAAGTCGCATCAAGTTGCGCGTTCCTTGTAGGTCTAGTGGACTTTACTCTTTGTTTTATCCTGCTGATTAATATCACGCAGCACCCATGACACGCCTTCGATTGACATATAATCATATTCAAACAGATTTGTGGCAATGTTAGCTTAGATATTTTTGATGAAGAGCGTAAATTTAGAAAGTGTGTAGCTACCATTGTTTTGTCCTAACTTTCCGTTTTTTTTATCGTGTCCGAATAATTTAAATACTATCTGAGATTGATGAGTGCGTCACTAAGGAGGCGTGAAGCTGTTTGTGTGTCACCCGAAATAAATAAATAAAGAAATAGTCTGCAGGTGCAAATTTAGGGTAAAGTATAAAAGCTTTCGCTTAGATTATCCGCACCCGGTGCATAGTACGCATGCAGCACATAATCCGCACTTAGTGCCTAATCCGAACGTAAAAATTGTTGCACACAGAACACCTTGACAAATGCTTACTGTATTAGCTCACAAAGACGCTTGTGTCATACAAAGGTCACCATTAAATACTTTGTTATTCATCAAATCCTTCACACAGATTGAATGATCTAAAAAAATACAAAACCTTGTGTAGTCCACACCGGGTAAAATTTCAACTTTTAGACATGTATTGTCCGCGGGCTGCGCTCCGAAAAATATTGTAATTGCACGTCTTTTCACCCTCGCGCGTTTTCCTTTGTGCCGTGCAGGGTCACACGCAGCGTGCGTACGCCCGACCCCTCTCGCAGCCCCCCGACGCCAGTACAAAGCGGTACGGGCAGGCCCTGAGCGCCACGCCCCCGCGATCCATTCCGTCGCACCCCGCTCTCGCCATCTACAATCCATCCTGGCCTCGTAAGTACCGCCCGCCTCACTAAGCATTCACGGAGTGTTTGTGTATGGATCGACGTCGCTGTCGTTTGGCCGCCGTCCGAGCGTTTGGCGACGTACAGTTTATTTTCCTCTCCGAGAAAAACGCGGTTTGCTTTTGTCTGCCTTTGGTGTTGCTTTTGTGCGGTCTTGTTTAGAGATAAGTTGAGGGTATTTCCGTTCTGCCGCCGCCCCAACAGCTCAAGGCAACCTTCCAGGGGACAACAGTCACATCAACTCCAACAGCAGCAGCACAGAGTCCTTGAGTTCACGATCCAACGCTTCCTTCAGTCACCACTCGCCTATTCCAGGTGAGTCGCCGCCGGAAATCACCGTGTGTGGTGTGTCTACTGCCGACGTCATGCAATCCACGGGCAGTTTCCTTGTATGATGTTAGAATGGCATTTGGAGCCATCATAACATTTTAACCTTGTCACGCTCACCCATGGGCTCTGATCTTGATTATATTGTAAGTAAAACATATAGGGGGATAATAGACATATGTATTTTCATATTTCAGTGGGATGGCCATTACTGGGTTTTGTCGTTTTCTTATAGTAACTCCAATTTTTAGCATGCTGAAATTTGTTCTGCGCCACAAAAGGACAAAACAAAAAAGGTTGATTTTGCATGAATGCTGAAATGACTGCGATTTGATCATAATTTGTCGAAGATTTACCGAATTGTTTGGGGTGTCGCCTTGATGCTGCACTTTTTTGCAAGACTTTTATGCTATGTGATTTCATACGCGAGTGTTTTATTTCCCAAACATCGAGATGAGGGTGGTTTGAGCTCCGATGGAGTCGGCGTGTTTCTGACGTCCCCCGTCTTAGCCACTTTCCTCTGATTCTTTTCGAACAGGTGTGAGAGATTACCACTCGCCAGCACATGCAGCAGACGTGAGCAAGTAAGTTTGTTCTTAATATTGCTTAGCTTTTCGAACTTTCACTACAACACACAACTGTGTTTTCATTTATATATATATATATATATATATATATATATATATATATATATATATATGATGCCTTTTAGCAGCTGATTTGCCTTATATTGAAACAGTTGATTAGTCAAATGTTGCTCCAGGCCACTATACTCAATTTTGCTACCATTTGGAAACAGCGATGTACTGGCGGCTTGTACAAAGATTTTCTGGTGTTCATTCGGTGTTTTGAAAAGAGTAGTGTGTTCTTGTCTCGGCACTGGCACGGTGATCTGCAGTGATTTGAAGTTTTCTCCAGACATCCCAAGATTCAAGTCAAACTTTCAGATCTAAAAATCCCACTTTCCTAACATATTTTATTACGAGCAGTGCATGGATTGAGAAATCAATGTTTTTAGGTTCCGGCCACTTTCATGCGTTCGTTGCACGCATATGCCTCTTGGCGTTTTGTTTTAGGACATCTTCAGCCCATCGAAAATGAACCGTCGTGCAACGTAACGGACGTAGTAACAAGTTCCCTTATGCCTTTCCGACATGAAGGAAACTGTTTTGTTTTGCAGGTCTAGTCAGTCATCAACCCCAGTTCCTCCATATACCGGAAAGTAAGTGATTTGTTTGCTCAAACACATTAAAGAACTACTGTTAGGTAGAGTATAGCTCAGTTAAACGACGAGAGCATGCTTCTATGCTTATCCACAAGTGTGTTACACGTTTTACTCTTTCTCCTTGACGAGTCGCTTGGGTGTTGCACATTGCAAGTCAAGCTCGCGAATGTGGATCACCCTGAGACCTCTCCTCTTCTTGCTCTCAGGAGAGTGAGGACTCTGTATGCCTGTGTGGGAGAAAACAAGTCGGAACTCTCCTTCGAGCCCAACCAGATCATCCACGACGGTGAGTTTGGAACAGATCAGCTACAAAGAGCACAGGTTTGGAAAAGGATATGGCTTATTTACAAAAATAATACAAGCAAGGCAAGCCTCCGACCTACTTAACGCTCATACGGGAGACTTAAAGGCACTTTAGCCACTTTGACATTGTGGGCACGAATGAACCAGTGGACAGGAAGCGAAACAAACTCACTCGTGCTTAAAGGGATGCTGAACCGAAATTTTGGGTGGAAATTCTTGGTCGCAATGGCATACATAGCATGTCCTTTACTTCTAAATGACGTTGTTTTGAGCGAGAAGGCGTATAAAATTGAATAAACACGAAAAATACAATTTTACGCGACCCCTGGTGAGCGTCGTGGAAAGCTCGCTTCGTGACGTGCGCATTCTCATTCGCCTCAAAAGACAGACGGAGCCAAGCCAAGCCAGGCGCTAAGCCGGGTGGCGTTTGTTATTGTTAGTACCACGCGGGCCAGCCGCTTTGAGAACAGCCGCCGAGCGAAGAGTCAAGGTGAGCACGAACAAACGAGGAGAATGCGCGAAGGCACCAGGGGCGCTGGGGGCGCCGAGAATGCGCACGTCAGTTCCGCTACGCCTGCTGTCAGGAGGACTCGCTCGCTCCGGCGGCTTCCGGCCGAGGATTTGCTCTTAATTCAAAGAAATACAATAATTCGGGCCCCATCCGTCTGATTGAATATCGTGTTTAGGTACAGTACCATCCCGTGAAGGCCGTTTCATGCATTTGAACTTGAGTGTGCTCGGGCACATTGCGTTTCTTTGTAACCGCTTACGACGAGAGAACATCGGCGTCAGCTACGAATCACATTGTAACGACCAAAACTGGGGTGCGAAAAAACTGAGAAACTTTCTAGTCGAAGAAAAAAACAATAGTAGGAAGACAATTTCCTACAGTTGTCATTTTTTTAATTTTTTTTTCAATCTGAAAATTTACACATTGGTTGTGGGAAATAGTCGCATATAACATTTGCTGCGTTCGATTTACCTGCATTTCCCGCACTGCCTGTCATGCTGCTGTATTTGATTTTTTGAGCACAGCCTATAGCCCAAAACAGATTGCCCTGAACTTTTCTGCACGAGTGCAGGTAGATCAAACGGACCCACGGTCAGAATTATTTCGAGCCCATGGTGGAAGAGTGATGCGAAAAAAATGGAAAATGCATATAGCGTATTTGAAAAAATATAACGCGACTTGTTTTTTTTTTTCTGAGAAATTAAGCGTTCATAAACACACTTCGCATTATGTTCGAAATTGAACTTGGCCACGAAGCGCGCAAGAAAAAGCCATCCCTCCAATCGCCCCCGTTTTCATTTGTGTCCCACAAACGAAAACGGGAGCGGGTGGTGGAAAGTTATTAAGGCAAAAGCCTTATATGTCTAATCGTTCATTCGACCTTCAAAGTCCTTGAGCAAAAACACGCCGACGACACAAAAAGTATGAAAACACGTCGGCAACACGAAAGGTACCAAAACCCACAGTTCGCCACTGGACCACGAGATGGCGTTACTTGTGCCAGAATCGGGGGAGGCACGCGCACAATGCAAAGCCAGCGGGAGAAGGGGACACACTCGCTCGGGCAACGGTGAAGGGCGGGCGTGCGACATGCCGTGAGATTAACGGCGCGAAAAGTGCATTGTCAGAGAGCGCACTGTCTTCGGAGGTTTGCTATCACCGGGATCGGCGCTTGAGCTTTCGCCTTCAAATTGTCTTGGGGATATCATAAGAGACCCTGTCAATTTTTACAGTCACGGACCGATGTTTTGGACGCCAATAATTCGGACTTGTTCAATATTTCGAACCTAAAGGAGGAACCGTGACCTACCCAATTGAAATAGTGCATATTCACAACCAATGTTTCGGACAGCTTGAAGTCTGAAAGTTTGATTTTTCGGACATAATCGTTGCAAGCGATCGGCAGGAAGCACCACCAAGTAGTGGCCATTTTGGATTCTATGTTGGCTGCACAGGGATTGGCTTCGTTTGGCAGCGCTACTTCAGTACTGCTACCTCTAAGTTCTAGCTGTACGTCATTATCATCATCATTGTTGTTACAGTGAAATCTCGGTATAACGAACTTCAGGGGCTGCGGAAGATTGTTCGTTATTCTGAAAGGTAGTTATAGTGAAAAGCACGAAATTAACCATAATTACTTATTTTCCAATTATTAAAACTTCCTACCTTCACAACGGTGGATCCTTGAACTCGTTTTTCACAAAGAAGCAGAAGTCAACATCAGACAAAGCACATTTATTTAAAGTAGTCGGTGATGTCTTTTTTTATGTGTGCAGCACAAACTTTGCAGCACGAACGACTCCAACTTATCCACATTCCTCTGGAGCGATTCAGTCACCGTGGTGCTTTTACCGAGGAATATGCGAAATTTCCGCACGATATCCATCATATCTGCGGTCGTCACGGTCTCGTCGCAATCTTCTGGTGCCGCCGCACCACCCTCACTGTCCACGACATCGTCGCTGCCTTCATCATCGCGAATGCTTTGCACAATGTCCTCTGTCGTGAGCTGTGCCGATGTCATCGTTGCCTCGTCACACAGCACATAATCGTCAAATGAGACCGAATCCACGGCGAGCATCTCGGTTACCTCTCTCCACAGCTCACCAGGATCGCCTTCCTCTGCTTGTGGAGCGTTTTGCGGCTGCTCAGCATATTGTGACTGCTCATGTCCTTGCATTAGGCCTGCTTCCTTCCAGCAGTTTTCTATGGTTGTTGACGTGACGCTCCACCGTGCGCCGGTGAGCATTTCTGCAGCCTGTCGGATATTGGTAACAGTGGACTGCTTCAGTCGCAGGTTTATGAGCACACGCTGAACGAGGTGCTTGCGGAAGTGTGCCTTCACGCTCCTGATTATTCCCTGATCTAGGGGTTGAAGTACAGATGTACTTCAACTCCTAGCCTTCTTCTAGTTGCCGAAGAATATCCACTTTCTCACTTAGTGAAAACTGTTTCCGCTTTTTCGCCGGAGGGAGAGATGAGCTCATGGCAGCACTGCAGCACAAACGCCGGCTTGCTTTGTGGATGCAATGAACACCGAAAAAAGCTGCATCTGACAAGGCTGAGAGCACACGCGGAAGTGAGAAACAAAGATGACGAAGATGAACTTGGTGCGTCGCCGGCGACGCAGCCAGAGAATGCCACCGCAGACTGGCGTGCTTCGTAAAATAGCCGTCAACGAAAAAAAAAAAGAAGAAAGAAAATCGTCAACGCAAAAAGAGTTACATTCTCACCATGCTTCCTCCACAAAAAAAAAAAGAAAAAGAAAAAAAAAAGTTCCCTTCGGCGTTTCTTTTTTTTCCCACTTTCTCCTATTTTTTGCGCACGTGCTCCCTGCCTTCCTCGCCCTTGCCGAACCCTAGCCTCTGTGCTCTACGCTGTCCCAACACCTCCTAGAGGAGAAGGCCATACCGCTCTTCTCGTGACGTCGCAAAGGAAGGCCATTGGGGGCGCGCGTCGAAGCAAAAGCAACGCGCATGGATCGACCGTCGTAACGCGCTTTTAGTCACATACGCATGTCTTATTAGTTAAAATGAAAGCTGCACATAGCAACGGGTCTAAGAAACACTTTTTTACACAGGAAAAACATTACACCACTAAATAATCGGTACGAAGTGGCACAAGGTATCGTAGAAGACGTCTATAGAAAAATGTGATTGTTTTAAGCTAAAAACATTGGATCACGCAATTATTGCTGTAGAAATGCATATTTTATACAGGAGTACTGGTTAGACACGTAGTGATTGGACACAGCAATACAGATAGTTAAAAATTGGGTAGATATAGCCAACGCGGGCACGGCTGACAAGTGTCACTTACGACCATGTAAGCAATGTTATCGCGTGCAGTCACCGAATTAAAATGAATGTAATTTCGATCGAATGACAATATGGGGGTTGACAAATCAGCTAGCGACGCTCGTATGATCACTCAAGACAGGGAGCTGATTAAATCCCGTATCATTTATTCAAAATATATTAACTTTTCCGTGTGGGAGGGGTGCTAAACTTGCTATTTACAGTCAACTAATTTACTTCTCCTTATGGGCTCGAGCTGCCTAAGCATAGGCGTAGACTATGGGGGGGGCAACGGGGCTCGTGCCCCCCTAGTGAAGTCCGGGGGGGAGGGCAGAGCCCCCCTGGGCCCGGGCCCCCCCCTGGGCCCGAGCCATGATCCTTACCGAGACTCTGTTTACGTGCCATGTAATGAGCTTCTAGTAGCGGCATGTAAACAAAATAATGCCCACGTTGCCTTTATTGACAAAATACATGGGAAATGGAATTCCAGCGTGTGTTCGTTAGCTTCAATCTCTAGTTCTGGCAAAAAAAAAAATGCGCAGCCCGCCAAAAACCCTTTCCCCCCTTTCCCCCCCCCCCCCCCCCCCCCCCCCGGGAAAATGGAAAGTCTATGCCGCTGTGCCTTAGAACAAAATATAACCTATTTTGTATACAATAATACTATTACCTTAATACAGTTAAGATTCTGGTATAAACGCTTTAAAGGCAATAATATGACATTAGTATAAATAAACACATAAGCACAAACAACGCACTTTCAATAACCACAGAAACTTGCTATTTACCTGCCAGTAAAAACTAGGATATCACCACGCATATTTACAAATGTTGACGCAATAGCAAACGGATAATGGCAAAGAAGAAGATTCCATTCTATCACGAGATTTAAAAAAGAAAAAAAATAGACTGCAGCACTTTACTTGCGTCTTATATGACCAAAAAAGCCCGCAAATAAGTTTTCTCACCTGTCGATCGTATCCCTACGTCCCGCAATATCCGTGACGAAAACATTTGAACACATACTTTAAGTCTTTCTCTGTCGAAAGAGATGTCTATCGATAATCTACCAGTGTCATCGTTGGCTAGTTGCCACACATGTCACTCAAACCGTCGCAGGACTTGTTCCACGAATCCACGTAAATGCCGTAGTATCAAGCGAACACAAAGAAACTACCGAGGACTGCGTTAACAACAAAAATATTACGGGTAGGAGGTTCAAAAGAACCACACAGGACACACGAGAGCAGCGGCAGCAGTGTGGGACGAAAGGCTTAACATTGTCGACCCATCTCTTGCTCATGTGCGCTCCCTCCCTGCGGCAATGACTGGATTTTCTTTCGGTTCCTTTCCCTTCTGAAATGTCTCAGCGTTCCCTTGCAGACAGTCAGCAGCTCACACACAGTGTAAATTTACCAGAATTGGAGCCCGTACGAGGAAAGAAAATGTCGCATCGAAAATTCGGAGCCGGTTCATTCGAGAAGTGTGGAGAGCTGTGGGACTGCACATAGTCCCGCGGTTATGGGGATAATCATAAATATAAATTTGGTATCTTCAACCTGGGTAACACGTTGTATATTACGTTTATATTACCGTATAATTGTGTGTGAAGGCCGCACCCGTGTAAGGGCCGCACCGCCGTATTTAAGACAAAATATTGCAAAAAAAAAATTAGAGAAATTATTGGTGTATGCGCCGCACCCCCTTGTTTTTGAGGCGCGCCGACTGCAATGCATGAAAGCTTCTATGAATATATATCGCTAGGTGGCTCTAGCCACCGCCCGAGCACGTAGCGGCACGTCTCCGCATCCCCGATATTTGCTCTCCACTCATCTGTATCACCGTATGGCACAATGGCTGCTGACCTCGATCGTGGTCGGCCGCGCCGTCGGGATGCGTTTATGTTGCAGCCGGAAGACATTGGGAAAAGATAAAGGGTATGTCAGCTTCCGTTGCAAGCGCGAGGAATGGCGATTCAGCGGGCTCGGCTCGCGCGTGCACTCAGGTTTCTGAACGCCAGTGTACACCATGGGGAGGCTTTCTTTTGTTCTCCGATTCGTGTCAAAGCATCGTGATTTGTCTGCCTTTTCGCGCAATCAGAGCTATGGGCAAGTACCATTTCAACAGTCATACGGGATTCAAGTCGAACGTTGACGCGCATGCTATGAAGTACAAAAAAAAAAAAAAAAAAGATGTGTATTGCGCAGTATGTAAACTAATTAAATCCGACTGACGATTCAGTCCGGATTCCGGAGTGAAGGCATTTTTCGACCAGTGCAGCCGAGCGCGCTCATGTACATTCATTTCAAAATGTGAATACAGATTTTTTTTTTTTTTATCCGTGTATGGGTCGCATTTTGAAAATTTTCCCTCAAATCGGGAAAAAATAGTGCGGCCCTTACACAAGTTTATACGGTATATATATAATAAGTTGTACAAGGCTGCGCTTTTAAAATGTATGTTAATGTCGGATAAACGTGCACAAACGTCACCGCGCCGCTCGAGAAGGAACATTTTTTTCACGTCGATAGCAGAAATTGTTTTACGTAGCTGCGGCATGGCCTTCCTTCCTCCGACATTGTGATGTAACCACTCGGAGCGCTACGGCCTTATTTCTAGGAGGTATTGGCCATCTGCGCTGGTAAAACCAGTCGTTGTTTTGACAACAACAAAGAAAAGAAATAGTAGTCCGTCTTCCGTTACCTCTTGCGCTGTCTTGCGTTTTCAACGGAGCGAGTTGCAACTTGCAAGGCGTCCGCTCGCCGTGTCGTCTGCTAGCCTGCCGCTCCAGCTGCCGTGTCAGATTCACAGAAACCTTAGAATTCCCGCACTTCAGAATATGAGTTCGTAGTACTGAGGTGTTGTTAACATGATGCGGAGCTAAATATAGTGCTTGTTATTTTGAAGTGTTCGTTATTCAGCATTACAACCTGGCACGTAGCCAGGGGGGAGGCCTATGGGGCCTGGGCCCACCCCCCAAATCTTTCATTTTGCTGGGACCTCCTCCCTCCTCTCCCTCATACAGCACTTTGTCATGGGCGGGCCCCCCCCCCCCCCCCCAAACCAAAATCCTGGCTATGTGCCTGATTACAACCATAGGCAGTCAGCACAGGATTTTTTTAGAAGTTTGTTAATCTGAAAAGTTCATTGAAGTGGTGTTCGCTGTACCGAGATTAGACTGTCCCATTTTGCTTTGTTCATTTGCCATTGCAGTCGTGGGCTTGCACCTCTCATCTCGGCCTCGTCTCGGTGATTCATGTTTTCGGACTACGCTAAAACTGTTGATAAGAAGCGCAGAATATGTCGCTAAAAAGCGCAGAAAGTACCTACTCAACCATAACGCTAAAAAAGAAGGCAGCAATTCTTAAGCTAATGGAAAGTTGCCAAATGCAAGCGGAGACTTAACTTGAAACAAGGCGCGCAGGCATAACCTGAAGCAGGGCACTATTTACGGCTTTTTTAAGCCCGCTTAGACGTAATAAAGTTTTTTAATCTGCTGACTTTTCGGACTGCTGTATTATTCTGACGTTTTTTCGGTCCGTGCGAAGTCCGAAAAATTGGTCGGCGACTGTAGTTCTCGTGCCACTTAGAGGGAGGGATAGAGAATGCCGAAGGCATTGCCCGTTGTTTTCATGTTCTTACAATAAACGCAACTGCAAAAATGGCAAAAACACAACACCGGCCAGCTCAAGCCAAGCCAGGCCAAGTAAAGGCACGAGCCAAGCCAAGATTGCCGGCCATGCTTGTGCCGTCGTTAAGCGCGAGGTGTTTGTCTATGAAGAGGGACCGTAGCAGGGGTGAGAACGATCCTGTATTGCTTCCAGTAGTCTCTGTTCTGCCTGCCCATTTTTTTAGTTTCTGGGCGAGTGTTCCAGCGTTTCTGCATGGTGCTTCTGCTTCGTGCACTCCGTGAACCAACCGACTTGACAGGGAGCACACGAAGCACATTCATGGTTGCATTATGTTTGTGCGAACTCATCTCGAGTAGGTTCGTTCTAGATGTCTGTACAAAAGGATAGAGTGCAACCTCTATTTTTGTCTTTTTCAGTGAAACCGTCCCGGGAACGCGGCTGGCTGGAAGGCTGGCTCAACGGCCGCTGCGGGCTGGTTCCCGAAAACTACGTCGAGTTTCTGCAGTGACGGGCGCAGAACTAACCTTCTGCGCCTCTTTGTGCCGTGCCCCTTTTTCGCCAGGGCAAATTCCGTTGGATGGTACTACCGGGACATATTTCGTTGGAATACCTTCCATTGAAACGTGTTTTGCCGAAACACATTTCGTCGGCATTCGTCTGAACACATTTCGTCAGGGCAGACTTTGTTGAAGAACAGTCAAGATGCGTTTCGCTAGAGCGCGTTTTGCGTCGGAACAGTACCACAGATTTCCCATCCATGCCTCGTGGCGTCGGAGTCCGTCTTCACCTGCCGTCGGAACCCATTTTGTTGGAGGGACATTTTGTTGGCACGCTTTTTGCCAGGATGCTTTCCGCCGTCACGTTTGTTTCGCACGCCTGGACAATGCCAAGAGCTTTGACGTTTGGGAACACGTCCTGTGTCCACTGACGTTCGTTCTAGTAAATCATTCCGCCACCCGGCTCTCGACGTTTTGCCATGGGCAAACTGACCATTAATAATGTTTTGTTTTCTCTTCTTTCTAAATTTTTTAACGTTTTCTACGAGTCTCTCGTTTTGTGCGTGTCATCGTGGCAGGCGTTTGCGCACGTCCAGTGCAATACGACACGTTTTCGCTTGTCCCTTATTCTGCCATTTGAGCGCTGCAAACCGCCTGTGACAGACTTGCCAAACTAGGGACACTTTGTGTCGTCGTCGTCAAACTCTCTTCCCATCTGCATGTGCAAAAGTGTGTGTGTGTCTGTTTGTGTACACAGTGTCTTATCCCTGTACAAAGCCGTGCAGTTTCAATGTTGAGCGAAAACAGTGTGCAGTTAGGAAAGGGATGCTTCATCGCCACCTGCCCAGTTCTATTGTACATAGAGAGTGTATGTCGTTAAAGGTTACAAGAGTGCAGTAACTGAATTTCTTTTTACGTCACTTTTACGTTAAAGCTGCTCAGTTAAACATTTCTTCCTGTATTCTTATTCTTTTTACTGTCAGATTTTTATGTTCTATCCATTTTGTGTTTTATCCATATCTTCTTTTTAGTTTTTGTTGACAAGAGCCCCAGTGGCAGTGATGATGTAATTCACGTGGTTGTGCACTCCGCGCCACCCGGGAAGTAAGCAATACGAATACGACGATCGACAACGTTGTAAAGGTTACCACTCATATCTGTTATGCCATCGTATTAATTCAAGGATCAATTGCCAAATCACCATCGGCTTTTTCGTTTTTTCTTTCGTGTGTGTGCGTGCATGCATTTTTTAAGACATCTTTTTGCCGAATGTTGCTTTTTACACAACTAGAGTTTAAACTTGTTTAGCGTTGAGACAACGTTTATTTCTCGCCATGCCCAAAGGCACGTGAAGGTATGTTTTAGTGCGGACATATTATCTTTTTTATAACAACACATCGAAGCTCTCGTTACCGTGTTCCCCCACTTTGACGTTGCGGTTGTGCAGATCGGAATAAATTATTGCCTAGAACGGTGGCGGTTTTTTTTTTCTATTTCTATACTCGTGGGTATGAATACAGAACTAAAAAGTTCTACACTTACTAGTTAAAATCGTGTATCATGATAATGACAGAGGGGAAGAAGGTAGCGGCAAATGCCCCTCAAAGGGAATCGTATATCCCTCCACCACCTCTGACGTGGCGGCCAACGCGCGAGGAGGGTCTTGCCTTCCTGTACATATTTGCCGACTTTGCCTTAGCATTGTGGAAGCCACGAAAGACTTTGCTAAGGCAAAGTCTTTCGACTTTGCCTTAGCATTGTGGAAGCCACGAGAGGGAGATTAGAGTTTCTCCCCTCCGATGGAAACAAATACGACTTTCGGTGATTAGGTTCCCCCTCCGATTGAGACACAGGCTGCTCTCAGGGGCTCGGTCCCCCTAGGGCACTATATAGCTCCTTCGGAGCAGAGTACCGCAATCTAGAACGCCGTCTCTCGGCGACTAGCGGCGAACGCCCGGGGGTTCCAACTCCGGCCACAAATGTATGGGGAACGGGAGAAAATCGCTTCTTCCTGATTATTTTGAGGATCTATGGAACGACAATAGTTTTTGACATAATAAGGGAATAGTTTACAATAATTTGCGCTGAGTTGTGCGCCATGAAATAACTTTATTTTTTTTTTAAAATTGCCTGAGCAGCATTATGCAGCAAACAACGCGGCGAAGTCACACAATTCACGTGACCCGCTCCGGCCAATCCATAAAGTCCATCTCCGCTGCGTAAAACAATCGTCTGCTTCAAACGCCATTGCTTTGAAAATTGCTTTCGCATAATTTTCACACGCATCCAATATGATTAAAACTTTGATAAAGTGTTTATTGCTTTACCAACTTTACGACAGTTTCGAAAAGTGTGAACTTGGCGTTTATTTTTTAATCAGCCGTGTTGAGTAGATCTCCATGTATTCTCCCATAAGGCGGGCCGCCTCCTGGAACCCTGAGTACCACGTGACTCGCACCGAGCTGCTCTGTTGGCCATGTTGTCGGCGAAACACACGGATCAAAGGATTGCGCTACTCTGCTCCGTAGGAGCTATATAGTGCTCTAGGTCCCCCCTCCTATGAATACAAGGGTCACTTTCTCAAAAGGGTCCATATCACATGAGCGAATGACGTTTTAGCAAACAGCGACATTTGAGTGAATTGACGTTTTAGCGAATAACGGGGGCGCGCGTTAACCCATCCACCGTGCTGCGCTTTACGCTGCTTCGCGGCGACAGTCTGCGGCGGCTCATTACAAAAATGTGAACCCATTTGGCCCACCCGAAAACGCCGCTTCGCGGCGTCCGACTATTCGCTAAAGTGTCATTCGGTAAAACGTGGGCGTTCGCTAAAACGTCATTCGATCAAGTGAGTGCCTTCCTTCTCAAAAAGTGGGATCGGAGACAAGTTGGCATTACTCTGTAGTCAATATCTATCCACAAAAGCGGAACAAAAAGCGTTTCCAGTAGGGGTGTCGTGAACTTTTGTGGAACCGGATTTTTAGGTCGAACTTTGGGGGTTGAACCTGTTTGACGAACCTTCGAAACTTTTCACCAGATTCGACCGGTTCGACCCTGCAGGCAGTGTGGCCAGACCTTGATACAAGCATGTCTAGGTTTGGAGAATTTATTTTTATACAAAGGGTTGTTTTATTTTATGAACAGTTGCAATTAAAAAAGAAACAATCCTGATCACTGAAGAAGTTAATAACTTAATTTTTTTTGTTCTTTATTAACTGAAATGACCAATCAGCGGTGCCCTTAATTAGGGGTGTCGCAAACTTTTGTCGAACCGGATTTTTAGGTCAAACCAACGTTACTAGAATCACTCAGTTGGGAAACTGCCATAGAGACTGCTCTGAAAAAGTGTCCCCGATCTGTCCTCCAGAACCGAGCTAATGGCGAACACAGCGCCACCATTTCTCCCGCAGCGGCCACTCGAGGAACTGCGCGTTACTTCTATTTTGGCTTTAATCGGCCAATTTGGTGCCGAAACAGATACAGCGGAAGAGGTTACAGGGGTGCCATCCCCGTCTCCCTAGCGGACGCGCCGCGACTTACTACCGAAGTTAAAATGCACCTAGGTCGGGACGCGCTACCTGAAAGAACTGCTGAGGCATGGATGTATAAACCTCAAAACCTTTCAAACTAAAGATAAAAACCTCACACGCCCTTCATTTTCTACTAAACTCAAAGATATTTCATACAAAAAGTCTTTTCTGTTTGTTTTTACACAAAAACATGCTTTCTAAAATCTCAATGTGACCACAGTAAAGACAAATGATAAAGAGTGGCGCTGTTGTCGTATTTAGCTCGGTCTCGGTGGACACCAGCGGCTCAGGTTTCGACAGCGAGTTTCCCAACTGAGTGTTTTTAGTAACGTTGTGTCGAACTTTCGGGGTTCGACTGGGTCGAACCGGTTCGACGAACCTTCGAACTTCACCATATTTGACCGGTTCGACTTTGTGGACAGTGTGGCCAGACCTTGATACAAACATGTCTAGGTTTGGAAAATTGTTTTTTTATGCAAAAGGTTATTTTATTTTATAAACAGTTGCAATTAAAATAAACCAATTCTAATCAGTGAAGAAGTTAATAACTTAATGTTTTGTACTATATTAACTGAAATAACCAATCAGAGCTGCCCTTAATTTATTCCTTAGCCATAACCATCCAATCCGAAGCCAACTGACCAGCCTGTCGCGCATGCGCACACGAGTCGAACCGCAATACAAGGTTCGTCGAAATTTCCACTTAAAGGTCGAAAAAGTCAAACCTGGTCGAACTCGAACCTCGGCTGGTTCGCGACACCCCTACCCTTAATTCATGCCTTAGGTATCAATCACCATCCAATCCGAAGCCAACTGGCCAGCCTGTCGCGCATGCGCACACGAGTCAAACCTCAATACAAGGTTCGTCGAAATTTCCACGAAAAGTTCGAAAAAGTCGAACCAGGTCGAACTCGGACCTCGGCCGGTTCGCGACACCCCTACTTCTAACCGACTATAGACCTTTTCCACAAGGGCGCCGCCATCTTGAAATGTCGTCACTTCCAGTATGGGCGAAAACATTGTTTTGCCGTCGCCACGCCAATAGAAGGCATTTAGGACATAAACCTAACCGTCACACATTCTCGTTTTGGCTCCCCTCCATTTTTTTTGCTAGTTACATTTTGAAACGTTCTATTATTTTGTCTTCGCCCATACTGGAAGTGACGACAATTCAAGATGGCGGCGCCCCTGTGGAAAATGTCTATAGGGAGTACTCACTGGGCGCCATATTTGTGGGTGCTGTCTAGAGCGCAGGCTCAGAACGAGCCCACATTAATTAATAGGCTGGTAAGACCGGCATTCTTGAGGGTGCGGAATGCACGTTACAAAAGAACTGTGGAAGCTCGGCTTGAGCACGCGCTCAGCAGTCGGGTACGCAGCTATGGCCGCCAGTGAATACTTCCTATAGAAAAAACTTGTTTTCACTTAACTTTAAATGAAGAGTATGGGTCATATGGGGGCCATGCTATTTAACACCACTAGGGCACGGTTTTAATATGTGCATGTTTTATTTTAGGGGCATTATTGATATGAAAGCAGACTAAGTCACACGTTCAGCGGGTGTTTTTTTCTTACGTTACTGATAGGATTCTGTGTTTTTGAAGTTCATTTTTCGTCAAATTCGGAGGGTAAGTTTCGGAAATATTGTACAATTCCCCACAATTTTGAGTTTAATTTTGCAGTGTGTGTGTTTTTTTAATAAAAAAAAATATATGGGTGTGAACGTGTGGCAGATTATAAAAAAACGCGCTTTTATCAGTTAATATTTTTTTCAGCTTGATTTGGCATTGGTGCAACTGCCCATTGGCAATAATAATTTGTCCCACGACAAAAGTTGCACGTAAGTGTTGCTTCGCTAAACGTCAATAAACTTTTCGAGGTAGTCGCTGGGATGCTCGTATTCAGCCCGTCGTCCTATTCCACCACCCTACCCCGCGGCCGCGCGAGGTGGATTGGTAAAGGATGTAATGGAGAAGCTTCGACTGCTCCCCCTCCCCCTCTTCCCCATTTTATGCAACCTTTTTGGTTTCATAGCTTTCACTGCCACAAAAACACAGCCCCTACTTCCTCTAAGAAGCAGAAATGGGATGGCCCAGGCTGGTAACCAAATCAGTGACTTCTGTCACGACCCGAAAGTAGAAGGGCCTGTTCTCCTAGCTGAATAAACATTGACGAGGTAAGCGGTAAGCCCTTTTGACAATGGTCCGAGATTTGAAAGGTAACTGTTTGTGGCATTTTCTCAGGACCATTGACCCTGTGCGCTGAACAAACTTGATTGTAAAATCTCTTTCGGTATTGGGAGGAAGTGTGTGTGTGTGTGTGTGTGGGGGGGGGGGGGGGGGGAGGGGGGGGGGGTAATGATATTTCGAGTTAATCGGATAAATCCGAATTGACGAAAAATATTTTACCGGCGCGCGATTTTGGGATTTGTCCGAAAGCACGGAACCGCAGTTATTGATTATTGACACGGCCGCGGCAGAAACTACGGGGTTTCCGCCCATCCCTTCGAAGGATATTTAAAAATATAGGGGATGCCTTGCATTTCAGAACGCATTTAAACGAGCCTTTGAAATCGCTGGAGTGTGAAATTGACATTTCGAAAGTTTTTGATAGCGTTTGTCCTTGAATGATAATCGTCGTCAGATGCTTCAACCTGGAAACCTTCTTTTGACCGCATTAAAATAATGGTTTGCTTGTCTGACCTAGAGTAACTGTATAGGCTCTGCTCCGCAAGCGGAGCATATACAGTTACTCTAGTCTGACCCAAACAATTTTCAAGCTAATTTTCTTTTTCTCGTATTTATACTGCCAAGGGATAGAAGCGGTACTCTGAAGAAAAGTCATTTATGCTGCTGTTGCGCGAAAAGCTATTATTGGAAGTACTTTTGCTTCATCTTATGGAAACAGTATAAAGTGCTTACCCTGACCAACGCCTCCTGTA